AGGAGATCCTATATGAAAAGAAAAAAATAACGAAATTTTTTAAAAACATCTCATATTCGATCTCATGATCATTTATTAAATAGGAGATTTTCTACATGAGGGGGAAAAAAAAAGGCAAGAGAGAGAGAGAGATTCTTCATATAAGGAATTATTATAGTATAGCTCTTTAATTAAAATATCATCGATTTGTAGGTAGCTAGAATTTTCATTTTTTTAAAAAATTCTTTGAAAACCAATAGGATTTTTGTTTGACATAAATAATTATTATAAAATTATACAGACAGAAGCTTCATAATATACTATGTGATGAACCATGCGCAATAATCCATTTATTTTATTTTTTGTGACTAATATTCCATCCAATTTTTTTAAGTGTAGATATACACAACTTGTTAATGCATTTTTTTTTTTTTTTTTTTTTGTGTGTGTGTGTGTGTGTGGATATTTTAGGTCTAAAAATTAAAGGTTCAATGTGAACTAGTTAGTGAAGTAGAGAAGGCCAGTTATTAATTAAGAAATGATCAACGAATGATAGCGTTTTGGCAATCTCAGCAAGTTATTGTTTCTTCATGATTAAAAAAAGAAGAAGTTATTTATTCATTCTAAAATAATAAAGTAAGATGTTATACAAGGCACGGTACAGTTTCTTAATTGCCCCCCACACAGAGATTTTCTTCATTCAATTTCTTACCTAATTGGTAGGCCAAAAGTTCGATTTCAAGAATCAAGGTTTAGCTATCAAGATTAGACATGGAATTGCCATTTTTTTTTAAAAAAAAAAATATATATATATATATATATATATATGTGATCAAAATAGTACAATAATTGCCTAATCGGAGTAGATTTCAACCTTTTGTCGGTGGGGTTATATTTTTTGTTTTTTTTTTAAGAATGATTGAGTTTTCTTTCCAAATTCTATTTGTTACATGTGAGAGGAAATTAAGAATATTTTACTTGTTTTTCATGAGATTATTTGGAACCTTTTGTCGGTGGGGTTATATTTTTTATTTTTGTTTTTGTTTTTTTATAAGAATAATTGAGTTTTCTTTCCAAATTCTATTTGTTACATGTGAGAGGAAATTAAGAATATTTTATTTGTTCATGAGATTATTTGGAACTAAAAAGTTGAGATACTTGATCATGGAATCATGAGCTTCTTGTATTTTAACTCTAATAATTAAAAAAAAAAAACTAAGTTAAACGATATATGAGTAAATTATAAATTAGTACCTTTATTTTCGAGAAACGAATTAATTAGTACTCTTAATTATAAAAATAATTTATTTTAAAAAATATCATATTTTCTCATCAATCCCTCCATATTTTTTAATGATTTTTTTTATTTCTTGAAACAAAAAAAAAAAATCAAATAAATTGAAAAAGAATTTTAAATGATTAATTACAAGAAAATTCAAGATTATAAAGACTAAAAAATTAGTTAAAATATACCAATTTTCTGACTTGTTGCAAATAAAAATTATACAGTCTCTGTATAAGAAACATTTTTCCTGTCTCTTCATGGAAAGCAGTGGCTTCTTGCTCAAAACTTCAATGACTTTGGCCTACCCATCTTTAATTGGCTTTCCGTTGTTGCTAAGTATACGTAATCATGCAAGTGTCAATTATTTTTTGCATTAGAGATGCTATCCTATCCTATAGCCAGCAAAAGCCATCAATCTTCCACAACACCCTAAACGTGTAAAACATAGCCTAGCTACTAGGTGAAAATAATAATAATAATAATAATAATAATGGTAGAGTCTACCGTCTAGCCCAACAAAAACTACTATACTAAGCACATCATCTGTTAACGTAGTTTATGCCTTGTAACAAGTTTTATTATTTAAGTGATTCGAAGATTATAATCAAACTTTGTACAGGTATTGAAAGTGAGTTTTCATAGTACATTTTGATCTCGAAAACGATCTTTAGTACTCTTGTATTATTTACAAAGGTATTCTAAATTTTGACTTTTTATCTAATAGTTATTGAAGCTATCATGCTCATTTACATTTTTATACTGATTTCTCAAACTTTTACCTACCAATTTGATCCATATATATTCATCAATTAGTTATCTTATATTACTGAAAGAAGCATTTTAACTTCCATTTTAATATATACATATATTTGTCGAATTTTTAGATCAATTTTCATATTAAATAAAATAAAATTTATTATTTTTTGAATTAAATCAGTATTGAATCACACTTAATTTTAAATCAATTTTAAAAGCTAGACTTTGTAAACTCACTAGCAATCTGTGTTTGGTGCCATTAAAAAAGAAAAAAGAAAAAAAAGAAGCTTTTAAAAAACATATGAATCTAACTTTTGACTTGACGAATCAAAGTGAATCTTCTTACAACTCCATTGGTGTAATTTATTTACATAGGTATTCTAAATTTTGAGTTTCTATCTAATAGTTATTGAAGCTATAGTGCTCCTTTACTTTTTTATACTGATTTTTTAAACTTCTATCTATCAATCTGATCATATATTCATCAACGAGATATTTTATATTATTTATATAAGTATCTTAACTTTTATTTTAATATATATATTTGTATATTTAGATCAATTTTTGTGTTAATCAATATTAAATTTATTATTTTTTGAACTAGATCAGTGTTGAATCACGTTTAATTTTTAATCGATTTTAAAAACTGAATCTTTTAAACTCCTTAACAATCTTTGTTCAGTGCCATATGTATATACGAAAAAGAAACTTTTAAAAAATAAGAATCTAACTTTGAACTTGACGAACGAAAGTGAATCTTCTTAGAACTCCATTGATGGTGGATACATGTTAATACAATGTGACAAGGGATACTTTAAGTGCTTATTTTAAATGTTTATGAGTGTTAAGAACGCAATGTTCAATCCATTTGTACAATCATTTTTTTCCTGTAAAACAACGAAGGTAAACACACATATATATATATAGTTTATTGTAACCTTTCCACCCCAATGGTAGTAGATATGGCGGCTTAGAAGTCATTGTTAATTAGCTAGTCGATTCTTAGACAATCATTTTAATTTGGACATTTTTATGACTTTAATCGAACTCTTAGTTGTCAAAGTGTTGCCTTGAACAAGACAAGAGTACAAGCCAGAAACCTTATGCATAAAGATATGCATGCCATTGCTCAGATTCTTTAGCATCGTTTGCGTGACTTGAGACTTTTTTTCCACTTTATTTTATCTAAGAATTAAGGAGTAAATTATGAAGTAATCCTTCTTATTTCAAGAAACATATTAATTATTCTTTTTTTTAAAAAAAATTAATCAATTAGTCATTTATGTTTTAATTCTGTTAACAACTTAATTCTTTCATCATTTTTTATTAAATTAATATATATTTTTTTAAATTGTCATTCATTTGATGTCTTATTTTTCCTTTTCACCTCCTTATTTTATTTTTTTAATCATTTTTTTAAAAAAGCAATTCGAAAACAAAAATCACTAACGAAAAACCAATTAAATAACTACATTATTGACAAAATTAAAATATAAAGGACTAAATAACTAGTTTTTGAAAAAAAGAGATCAATTAATTCATTTCTCGAACAAAGAGGGACTAATTTATCATTTACTCAAGAATTACGCCAACACTTCATTTTTTACAGAGAAAACTGTCCCATTTAGCCCTTTTGTTTGTTTTAAATCAGCAAACAAACCTTTGTTAATTCTTTTTTGATCAAACTTACCCTATAATCAGCTCATTTTTCAATTCAACCCAACTGAAATAGTGAACAAACTCATTTTGTAGGTCCTTATTTTGGAATCTAATTTTAGAATATTTTTACAAATGAAATTAATTAAATCAAAGTTTATCATATTTTACGTAAGATAATATTCTGTGTATTCATATAACACATGTTTCAACCCAATTAAATTATATGCTGAAATTAGAAGTCATGAATAGGTCTTTTTTTTTTTTTTCCTCGTACATCCAAGACTCTTAACAGAATTAATTTATTAGGATTTGAATACGTGGCTTTTTGTTATAAGAAATCATTAATAATAATAGTAATTGGCTTAAACAAATTAAATACCAATAGAGTGCGAGGATGCACAAAACTTATTAGATAACCCCTTCAAATTAGGTGGTCCAGGCCAGAAAGGCTATACATATTCCAGAAATATTAACCTGCCCAAGTAAACACGACTTCTTAAAAATCAGGTACTTAAAAGTCAATAGCACAGAAATAATTTTTTAGCACTAATCATTTTTTAGAATTAAAAATTTAATCCGTTCGTATATCTTTAATCGAGTTAATTTTATTTTTAATGTACATTTAGTTTTTAATTTATTATTTTCAGAAGATTTTGTTCATATCAAACCACTCGAATTAATCATGTAATTTTCATATGAAAATATTTCATTTATCTAACTTGTAAAGATATTTTAAAAATAAAAAATAATTATGTTCAAATCAAGTAAAATACTTTTAAAATGATAGATACAAAACTTAACGTACATTAAAAAATAAAATTGACTCAATGAGAAATATAAAAACAGACCGATCCGAAAAATTATCTTACTATACATAGATATATTAAGCCTTTAACCTTGTTTTTTTTTTTTTTTTATTTAAGAAGAACCCTACTCAAAATCAAGACATGAGCTCTCTTTTACTCTTTTTTTTTCCAAACTATTTTCATCTTAATAATTTTTATCTCCCGAGACTAAATTTATTTTTTGATCTGACTTTCATAATAAAATTAGAGAATTTATGAGATGATGCTAACTATCGGACCAGTTTGTATCTAATTTCGTACTTGCGCATGATATTACCAACAAAAGAAAAGAAATATTTAAAAATTCTATCAAGACAATGCATGTGAACAATTTATAATATGGTTTACATCAACTAATCTTTTTGCTTTATATACCAAAGCATTCATGGTCAGCTGTTCATTGCACCTATCCATCTCAAAGTCTTTCGCTCTCTTTCTCTCGTATAAGTCATTTATCCTTTCCTTTTTGTGCCAAAATGGGGTGCAAATCATCAGACAAGCCAAAGGTAAAGCCCAAGCACAGGAAAGGCTTATGGTCACCTGACGAAGATCAAAGGCTCAGAAACTATGTCCTTAACCATGGCCATGGATGTTGGAGCTCTGTCCCCATTAATGCTGGTAAGTTTCCTTTAACATATTATTTCACCAATTACTGCATTACAATCCAACATCCCATTTTCCTAATGTACTTGAAATTTGAATAGGAATTAATGAAAACTAAATCGTTATAAGCACCTAACATGGTTATGCGATGTTGTATCAGATAGCATTGTTTAGGAGGGATGAATCTGTTCTTATATTTCCAGAAAATTTGAATTATTCTTGAGCTTGAGCGGTTCAAACTTGGAAGTATATGTACTGTTGCCATGATCTTTTCTATGGTTGGACAAAAGGTGTCATTTTGATGGGATTAATTTAATTAATTTATTACTGTTTTAGTCTGTGTTATATGGTTTTGTAATCAATATTTTAAGATGATTGTTGACAGTTTCTTTCTAAGTACTTTTCTCCAAAAGATTTGCTAAAAAAGGCCAAGTATTGTGTAAAAAAGTCATCAAAATCACTGAAAAGTCTTCACGGTTCTTGAGTTAAGCCAAGCTTACGATTTACCTATACCTACTTCTCATCGTCAATTGGCTAATTCAGTTGGCTCATTCTTTGGTTAATTAGTAAGAAATTTAGATGGATGGCAAGTTGCTTGTTGAAAACAGCATTTGTAGCAGAATCTCTAAGTTTCAAGAGAAAAGGATTGATGATGACTCCTCTAGAATAACTAAAAAGCCCTGATCATTAGTTGACTTTTTTAGGTCTTGATCAAGAAATTAATAGTAATTATTGTACTAATGCAGGCTTGCAGAGGAATGGGAAGAGCTGCAGATTAAGATGGATTAATTACTTGAGACCAGGATTAAAAAGAGGGGTGTTTTCTGCACAAGAAGAAGAGACAATCCTGTCCCTTCATCGCATGTTAGGCAACAAGTAAGCAGGCTTAACTCCAAACAATAATAATTTATGTACTAAAAAGTATCACTTTTATAGGATTAAGGACCAACCTTAACACTTTTCTGTTGTTAGGTGGGATAACCCTTCAAGAAAATTAATATGTAGGAGTTAGGACTTGGATGATGATGATCATTTGGGTCAAATAATAAAAATTTACAACAGATGTTATGATAATATAGGTTATTGCTTAGTGCTAGCTAGCCTAGAATGTTTTTGTCTTTTTAACTGTTTAGCAAGGCAACTGCCTCCACCAAATCATGCCTCCCAGCATAACCAGATAACAGAACATTGTAGGTCAACTTTCAATTTTGAAACCTAAACTAAACAATGATGCAAGAAAGTAAGTACAAGATTCCATTTAAAATCCCTGAATTCATTGTACCGAATTCACAAAACATTAACCAAAGAGCTTGTAGCTCAGTGGTAGTGGTCTTTTGCAAGAGGTCACGGGTTCAAATCCTGGTAGACTTGTTCTGTTAGGAGCGTTGGGAGTGTGAGTTATTAAAATAAAAAAAGAAAAAATCGCAAAACATTGTAGAATTAGTGTCTCTGAATTTAGCATTAATGTAAAATATGGTGATCCTTTGTGTTGGTGAAGAGGAACTAATGGAGACAATCTGTTTTGAATTGACTAGGTGGTCTCAAATTGCACAACATTTGCCTGGAAGAACAGATAATGAGATAAAGAACTACTGGCATTCCTATTTGAAGAAAAAGTTGCTCAAAGATGAAGGAATGGATCAGTGTTTGAAACGAACTCAATCTGCTAGCTCAAACTCAGACATTAGGGAACCTTCACCATCTCCCAAAAGACTCAAAGTGCAAACTTCAAGTTTTGAATCATCAATGAATATGGAAAAGCCATCAGCTGATATCCAGTACCGGTCTGTCCCACCGATGTTTGACTCTCCTAAAGAACCTAACAGAAGCTCCTTATTACCAAAGGTTATGTTTGCAGAGTGGTTTTCACTTGACAGCTTTGGAAGTTCAGGTGAGCCTGTGGATTCAAAGAGTACATTTGATCATAATCCAAGCTTCCAGGACAATTTCATGCATGATTACTTATTGGATGAAGGAGCATTTGGCGGTGAGTATCATAATTCACTGAGCGATGGTTCGAGCGGAGACATTTTTAGTTCAGAATTCAAATTTGAGAGCCAGAGTCCAGGAAATGAGTTTGATTTTAGGTCTGGAGAGGATTTATGTAGTGACTTCAACTTGAGCAATATTGGTGACGTGATGTACATTTGAGGGCTTGGTTTGCAAAAGAAACTACAAGGAAGAATAATTTCTCATTAAACAGCAAAAAAGAAAGAAAGAATAGATTGACTCTCAAATAAATGGCCTGCAGAAAAAATATTGTAGCTAACAAGGCCCCTTTCAGCTCTTTCCACAAAAAATCGTGTATAAAATGTGAATAGGCCTTAGAAATTGTACTATCAGTCGAGTTTGAGGTTATTCTTCCATGTAGTTGCTTTTGGAGGCACCTTGATTGTTTCAAGAATAAAGAATCTCTGTCAATTTCTTGTCTCTTGATGATGCTTAATAATTTCCATGTTTTCAGCACGGAACTTTTTAAGTTATCCCACCTCTATCGGGAAAGGGACTGGATACTTGGTTATAAGTATGAAAAAAAACCTCAATCTTTGAGCTAGTTTTTGGCACTGAGAAGATCCAACACATGTTGGTATCAGAGACAGCTTAAACAATTTTCCGAATGCTAGCGCTACATAAATTAATTAGAAATAGCCAACTTAGAGTCCAATATGTATGTGTAAAGAAATAGCCAACTTAGAGTCCGATATGTATGCGTAAAGGGAGAGATTGTTGGGTTATTCCACGCATAGTTTTAAATAACTCCCTTTACGTTATATAATGGTTGTTATATAATGGTTTCAGAGCATCCCGTTATCATTATTTTAGTATTATAGTAAGTTGAGATTCGCGATGATGACCGCGATCGTTTTTTCATCTGTCCGTTATTTAAAACTATGATTCCACATCGATTGAGAAAGGGAACTATTTCTCATGTGACAATGCGGCATAAATTGATAAGAAATAATCAATTTAAGACCTGATGTATGAAGGGTATTTGATGAAATGAAAGAAATGAAACTCGAAGTGTGAAGTGCATTTGATGAACAGGAAAAAACACTAAGGAGTTTAGGGCTGCAGCTTGTAATAAATTAGATAAACAACACATGCAAGGTAAAAAAAAAAATCCATGTTGTTAAAAGGTTACAGATCCATTGACTTTCTGATAAATTCAGAGCCAAAAGTTCAATGCTGGCTCCAATCCACTTTGACCAGGCGTAAGGCTGTAAATGGAGGAATACAAAATTCCTGCCTAATCCTGGGATTTATTAACATAAACTTGAAATCAGGACATATATAATATTCATAGGTAGGTACTGACTCGTAAGTAGTATTCAAGTTCACAAAGAAGATGATGTTTCTAATATTACATTGTGAAGCACAAGGGCTAATTAAACAAATTCTTGCTGCATGAAACTAAGGAAAAAACAACCTTGACAGACATTGATGGATCATTATAAAATTAACTTTGTTTGTAATATATTCAGCAGAGCAATGCATACTTCATTGTCTTCTAACTTCTAAGCTTTCTGACTATGATTTTTTTTTTTTTTTTTTTTTTACTTCATATTATGAATTTTAAATGACAAAATCATCTGTGAGAACTAGGCTGGCCCATAACAGGATAGTAGCAACTGCAACAATGATAGTAATTGGTGTCCATTTCAGTGCAATCACCTGTACAGAAAAAATATTATTTGTTTTTTTTCAGTAATTTCTACACTGTCTCTTTATTAATTGAGCATACCTCTAGCAATGGAGAGCTCCAGATAGGAGAGACAGTTCGAGGAGTCTCCGGTAGTCTTTCAGAGATTTCTGACAATAGAATGAAGAGCAGAAATATCAGATTTTTTTGAAAAAAAATTGTCTAAACATGGGTTTTGATCAATGTATCATGAAAATAAGATTAGTTACCTGAATTTCTTTTTCTTTGCAGAATTTCTGATATGTGTTCTGTAATGATCTCTAAATCTTTCTTTCGATTTGCGTTTAGTTTCGATAGATTAGTCTGAGTTCTTGTATCAATATATTGCTTCCTAATATTCCCAATAACACCATCTGCAGACCAAAGTTGAACACAAGTTGCTAAGACAAAAACATTTTGTTTGTAATTTTTCCCTTTTATCTGAACAGATGCTCCAAGAACACCAACTGCCAATTTTCCATGCATATATATATGGCAGGCACCATTTAAGAGAGTAGGGTTATAGAGTTTACCAAATTTAACAAAACTATATGGTCTTGAAATTTTCTGAATTAGGAGGCTATGGTGAAATTTCTCAAACTCCTTCTGCAAATCTTGTAGGTAATGGAAAGCTAGCTTTCTTGGATACGAAGAATCGCACAATGTCATGAAGCAGACACCATTCTCAATCAAGTAGCTTAATGTCCGAACATCAAAAGTTAAAAATACACACCAAAAAAAAAAAAAAATCAATCCTGTTTTTATTACATTGTCCTTTCCATTTTCCCAATTCAGTGTACTTATGCCTGCATTAATCTCATATGTCCAAAATTAGTTAAAAATCATCAAGCAACTAGATGTGTAGAAACAAGTAATCAAGGCTTATAACGAAAAGAAAAGGATACTTGAAGGAGTGATGATCAATCCGAATTGTCATCTTGGTAGGTGTCAAGTCTCCTCTTGAGATTTCTCTGAGTATGAACTCACCTTGTTGCTTGTAACATAGGAAATTGTCGTTCTCTTCATTTACATACCTAGGGCCTTGGGCAAGAGGAAGCCCATCACTCACCCTTCCAACCATTGTTAGCTTAACCATCTCAATAAAGAACCAAATCAGCTTTATAAGAAGATCAGATTTTATGGGTTGAGGCTAAATGCCTAAGCACAAAGCTTGTCCTTTATAGGGCCGAAAGAGAAGATAAGCCTTGGCGTTGAAGTTATTCCTTTTAGATGTGCAAAAGAAAAACATGGGGTGGTGGAAAAAGATTGGAAAGTTTATTGAAAAATAAAGAATATTCATTTCCTTTCTTCTACATCTTTTCATCTCTTTCTCTGCTTTATTGCTTTTAAGTTGGACATGATTAGGTTTTCAAGAAAACCCTGCCGGAATGAATTTTCTTCTTGCTATCCGAATTAAGTCATGAGAAGAGGGTGGAAATGATTGCATCTGACCTGTTTTCGAGGTCCAATTCCAAAGCCCATAAATAGAATGTCATTTTCTGAATCCAGTCACCAATTGGCCCCAAAAGCAGACAGGCTCAGATGACCAGCTGCACTTTTGTAAGAAACCCAATAAATTGCAACTTGTACTATAGAACAGTAGCAGTAAGTACTTACGAAGCATTCCAGAAAGCAAACTCATCAATGGAGCTCTATAATTCAAGACTCACCACTCACCAGGTCGTCACTTTCGTTCTGGGCTAGTACCATATGGATTTGATTTAGCCTTTCTGATAATGCAACATCATTGACCCCATGGGATGCAGTGACAATGGCTCTGTCAACTTTGTTGGACCATGCGTCAACCAGTGACTCAATGGGTTAATTCAAGGGTCAATTTTATTTTTTCATTTTTCCTTTTATGGTGAAATTGAGAAGTTCGATGACCTGAATGGTCCATTAAAACTCGATCTGATCTAGATTATAGAACACTAGATTTTTAACTTAATCTATCAGGTTGTTTACAAATAGCCGACAAAGCCAGTGCAAGACTTGAATCAATGGATGACAAGAGAGAGTGACAGTACAGGATTAAGTCCTGTGATTTACAAACCTTGGACTCCATGACTCATCACGAGCATAACAATACTCAATAATAACTTCTGTTTCTTTTTACAATTCATTCCAGGCCATTTCTTACCTAATTTGAAATTATTGAGTTACGTGTCTTGTTTGCCAATACACAATCTGAGTCCTTTTGGGCAATGATGATGTGAAGTTGCCCCCACCTTTTCCATTTGTGCTTTAAAAATAGAATATGGATGTTATTTTTGGACTAGTTTAAAAATACATTGTCTACATTAATTCATTAAAGTATTTCGAATAATAAATTATTGAGGTTGTGTTTGTTTTCGGAAAAATAAATTTCAGAATTTTTTTTCTTTTTTTTTTCATTTTTTGATATTTGTTTTGTGTTTAGAAAAAAAATTAACAAAATTTGATATCTACTCAGCAAACATTAATAGACTATTTTTGAGAAATGAACTTTCGAACTAAAAAAAAAATTTTTTTCTAAAAAATAGCTTTTTCATAATTGTTTTTTCCATTGGAAATTATTTAAGTATTCTTTGAATGTCAAGTATAAATCAATCTTGAGTTTTGACCTGAAAACACACACATAATGCCCAAATTATTATTGGATAACATATTAACACACTTGAAAAAAATAAATTTTTCGGAAATTATTTTCCGAAAAATAAATTTTTTTCTTTTTTTTTTCATTTTTTGATATTTGTTTTGTGTTTAGAAAAAAAAAATTAACAAAATTTTGATATCTACTCAGCAAACATTAATAGATTATTTTTGAGAAAGTAATTTTCGAACTAAGAAAGAAAAAATATTTTTCTAAAAAATAACTTCCTCGTAATTGTTTTTTCTATTGGAAGTTATTTAGGTATTCAGTGAATGTCAAGTATAAATCCATCTTGAGTTTTGACCTGAAAAACACACACACAATGCCCAAATTATTATTGGATAACATATTAACACACTTGGTAGCCAACTGGTTAAACTAAAGTTTGACCTCATACATCAATCTCCAGGCATATGGTCACCGAAGTAGAGCATATACCAAGTACTGGTGGATCTAAGATACCACTGACTAGGCCCATAGAACAACGGCTGGAGCCATATGCTTGATGGGCTATAACCATCATGATTACTAGCACACAAAAGCTGAACTTAGGCGAGCCTCGGAGAGCCATAATTAACTTAGATATATGCCTTTGATGGTTTGCTATGTGATGTGTTAGAGTGGAGAGAATAAGGAGGAAACTTGCCTATTAAAAAAAAAAAAAAAATGGTGACTATTATTATATTATTTAAAATATTGTTGATCCTGACTCGTTCATATTGTTCATTAAGATTCATAAGCATTATTTTCTTTTACTATGCAATAATATTTTTATAATTTTTAAATATTTTAAAGATATTTATTATAAAAGTTATTTTAACAATACATTTTAGCTTTTTTTAAATATTATTTTTTTAGTCTATAAATATTTTTTGTTTTATTTTGGTCTTTCTTTTTTTGTTTCATTTTGATCACTTTGACCTCTTTTTTTTTAATTAAAAATTTTAAGGCAAAAAAATATTTTAAAAAACAATTTATAAAATAAATTTTTAGCTAAAATGCCATTAATTTTGACATTTTTTATAGGATTATAAATTTTTTTAATTGTGGATAAAGATAAATAAATAATGTTTCAAAAATTTATGAAAAAATAATAAAAATGATAAGTTAAATCTAAAATTTTGATTAAAAAAATGATAAAATTGAATGAATTTATATTCAATTTTGATTTGATATATTTTATTATATGTACAATATAATATAAAATATCAAATTAAAATAAAATTTTAAAAATAATTTTATTTGTTTTACCCGATCGTAGCATAATGCTAGTGAAAAAACTAATACATAAGAAAAGAAAAGGAGGTACCCCATAATGGGGAAATGAATTATTTTCTTGGGCCTAAGTGACTAGTGAGATTCTTGGCATAAAGTTGGGTTCTTTTTTCACGTTATATCCAATGACGAGGGAATGGATGTTGTTCTTTTTTCAAATAAACTACCTTCTCTTTTTTTTTCTTTCTTTCTTGTGAAGTAGCATTGCCTTTTTCTTTTTCTTTTTTTTGTGAAGCTTTAACATGGCGGCCTGGTTCATCGCTTTCAAAACCAGAATAAAGTTAATGATACGATAAAGAAATAGGAGAAATGTTATAATACACTAGGAGCAACTAGTGTCATATACGATAATTATTCTATGGATTCATTTTTAAGAAAGAGATAAACACATAAAAAAATAATGAAATTATATCCATGCCCATCAAAAGTGATAAGAAGATTTCTACGTCCGCTCAAATTTTTTTATTTTCTCTCTCATGTTTCTCTCTTTCTGTTTTTTTTTTTTTTTGTCTATCTCTCTCTTTAAAGTAGGCTTATGGAGTAACTACTATACATGTCACTAGTTACTCCCGGTGTATTATAAAATTACTAGAGAAATAGGTACCTAAGCTACGAGAAGTTTTATAATCCACTTGGAGTAACTTGGGCTCACTTCGAGAAGAGAGATAGACATACAAAAAAAGAGAGAAAAATAGGAGAGATAAAATAAAAAAATTTGAGCGGACGTGTACATCTTCTTATCACTTTTAATGGGTATAGATGTAATTTTCATCTTTTTTTATGTGTCTATCTCTCTCCTTAAAATGAGTATATGAAGTAACTACCGTATATGTCATCGATTACTCCCGATGTATTATAAAATTTCTTCCTAAGCTACATGCATTTATTCATTGAATTGAATTTGATATGTAGCACGTTTTTTATTGCTTCTTTGTCCGTTACCAATATGTCATCGATTACTCCCGATGTATTATAAAATTTCTTCCTAAGCTACATGCATTTATTCATTGAATTGAATTTGATATGTAGCACGTTTTTTATTGCTTCTTTGTCCGTTACCAAAGCGTAGGATCTACAAAAGATATGCATGATGGTACCACATCCACTTTATTTTAAGAGTGATAAATAAATTAATCTTTTCGGTTTTGAGAAATAAATAAATAAATTTATTTTATTTTAAAAATTAATTTTTAATTTTTTTAACTTAATCTTTTCATTAATTTCTAAACCTTTAATTTTTTTATTTTAATAAAATAAAAAAATATGAAAAATTGAAGAAAAAAGATAATATTTTTAAATAAAATAATATTAAATTAAACGTAATTGATATTGATAAAAAATTAAATAATTAATTTTTGAAATAAAAAGATTTTTTTTTCTAAAATAGAAAAAGTAATCTATAACTCACTCCTACTTTTAATAATCCATGGTTAGTTTCATAAAGGAGAAAAGTATAAACAAAAAGACTTGAGCGTGACTTAGTATAAGAAAAGATTTTTGTGTTACAAAAGTGTTCTTATTTAACAGTTTGAAAATAATGAAAGGCTTATCGAAGATTCGATTACTATTAAGGGGAGGCAGGATAAATTATTGGAATAAATTCATAAGTTTTTCAATTTTTTTTTCTTAGTTGTTAATGAACTACAAAAAATTTCTTTCACAACTTGCTTTCCCTAGAATTCCTATTGGACTATCAAGAAAACAAACATAGATTAATTACTTTAGACTAAGGTAGTGTTTGATAAAACTGAAAATTAAGTGCTCGAATCTATTAAGTACCGAATCAGTTAAGTACTCGAATGATCATGAAAAACTCGTTTGGTATTTACTAAAAATTAAGTACCGAATATAATAAGCATGTTTGAAGATGATAGAATATATATGATATTTTTTTAAGATTTTAGTTTGAACATATATATATGATTATATTACTCTTATTGTTTAAATTTTATTTTTTTCAATTATTTTTTTCTTACTAAAATTCTCATCAAATTAATTATTGATATAATTTTATTTGTTAATAAATTTGATTTTTTAATATATGAATTTTGGAATAAAATTTTATAACATCGATGTTTTATTTTTTAAAAATATATTATTATAATTTATATAATGAATTATTTTTATGCTTTTCAAATGAGTATTTTATTTTTTAAAATATATTATTATAATTTATAAATATATATATATATATATAGAGAGAGAGAGAGAGAGAGAGAGGAATATGTTTTAGATAGTTTGACTTAATCGGATAAGTTAAAAATTTTAACTTATCCGATTAAGTAGATTTTAACTGATCTTAAAGTTTTAATATGAGATCATTTAAGTTATTAAACAAGATTTTGATATTAAGTAATATAACTTAATTTTTTAAATTACTTGATTAGATTATCAAACACCCTCTAAGTTCGTGAAGTTGAACCGATGCCTAAATTCAAGTCTCTGACTTTAAATATCCAAGACAGAAAAATGAAAAAAAAAGTGGAAGCAAAAAGAAAAGTGTTATCGATTCGATTCAACATCTTCCACTAGCTGCGCTCCATCTGTCTTTCCAAGATTAAAACATGTTAAAAAGCCGACCATGAAACATGGAATAGAGGAGATCTTTCGGCTATAGTTTTTTTTTTTTTCGATTTTTGATTAATCGAATTAATTAAAATAAAAATCAAATCAAATTGAGATTCAACTTTTTGATTAAAACTGTTTTTTTTATTTTTTATTTTTTATTGGATCAAGCTGAAATGTCATTTTTTTATAATTTTTTTCCGATTTTTAAATAACACTAATAGCTTAAATTGAAGTTTTAGGAAAAAAATCATAAAAAAATACTACAAGCCTTGAGTGTGTGTGTTAAAAAAAAAAACACTAATTCGATTTTTGATAGAAACCGAATTTTTTTTAAAAAACCGAACCGAACCGAAATAATTTCGGTTTTTTTTTCAAATTTTGTGTATAAAACAAACCGAAATTACTAATTCGGTTCAGTTCAATTTTTTAGTTTTAATCAAATACTGTTCACTCCTAGAACTTCCTGACTAACCTAAACATACCTTCCAGCTCAATTTAAAAATTTTCCATTTATTTTTAAAACTTTTCATTTATTTTATATGAAAAAATTGACTTTTTTTAAAAAAAATCAAACCATGTTATTTTATAAGAAAATTAAAGTTTTTAATGTTAATTATAAATCCATGGTAATTTATTGTGAAACTTTCAATTTTTTGCTGTGAATGATCTGTCTTTGGAAACTTGATTTTGATGCATGCAAATTGATTGAGATATGACACCAGACATACGAACAGAAGGGGAAAGGGAGTAAACAATACACTTATTCTTCCATACAATTAGTCACCTTTCAATTATTAACAACTCATTTCGTGTCAATAAATCATATTTTGAATAAACAAATCTAATGATTGGTACAAGACATACATGTCTACTTTTGGAATATGGCTAAACATGATAACATCATTATCCCTAATTAATTACAAGTTAAAACGACTTAGTTAATCTCCATAATGGTTATAGATAAACTAATTATAACCTTGTGAGAACAAAATCCATCGGACCAAGGGTTGCAACCCTAGCCCCCAAAGTAGAAAAATACTTTCTGAAGGCCAATCATAGAGTGGAATTGGGTCACGTCCCATCATTGATATTGATGTGTTTGAATGAATAAATAACCCTAGAGAGAAATAACTTGAATAATAGTATAAAATTTGGTTAATTGGTTACAAATTATTCTAAACCATTCGTTTAAAAGAAAAAATAATATTTTTTTATTTATGTTTTTAAAGTTTTTTTTAAAATTAAATTAACATAAAAGACACGTGAAATTATTAAAATAATAAAATTTGTTTTATCCAAAAGAATTAATTTGAGTGGAAAGAGTTTTAATTGTTCTAAGTAAATAGTTTCGAATTCGAATCTTTGTTTATGTAAAAAATTTTTTGAATAACTACTCTTGTCTTTTGCATCAATAGAATAGCGAGGAATTAATCTTTTTAACTTGAGATATCTTGAAAGATAAAAAAAAAAAAAACTCATATTTTAAAAATCATGAACAAGAGATACGCGTAGTTGTTTTATGTTTTTATGTAACTTTTATGTATAATTAATATAGTTTGAAATTGGTTAATTAGACAAAAAAAAATGCAAATAAAAAATAAAATTAGGAACCTATATATACAATTTTTTTATTATAGACTTATAGTTAAGAATATTTTATAGCTAATTAGTCTTCAAATTTTAGTTTTTTAATAACATATAAAAGAAAATGTCATCGACTTGTTAAATCTTGTCATTGAAGACTCACAGAAAGAGCATGAGAGGGTAACTTGGAGTAAACTGCTGAATTTTTTTTTTTTTTTTTTTTTTTTGCATTTTCAGAAGACCCATAAGCCAACTTTTCAGTCCAAGATCATAGCAAAGGCATGTCCTTTCACTTCTCCAGCAATTTCTCTCAATTTGCTAACCAACCTTGCACTTGTCATTCTTTACCCATTACTAATTTCTTGGCAAAATCTTTTTGCATAAAACACACACAAAAAGAAGTTCTCTTTTCTTTTTTTGTTATTACTACCTCATACTTGGAAACGAGCACAAAGATTTATACCTGCTAAGTTGACAAGTTCTTGTCTTTGTACATAGAACTCATGATTCTCTCCGAAATTAGGTTCTGATTATGGTATCTTTCTTGGTTACGTAACTTTTTGATGAAACCTGGCACTCGACAGTAGGCTCTTTTTTTTAAGTGTAGTAAAAGTAAATGCTGACCTTATAAAATAGGAATAAAAACAATGGTTTGCTTGTTTCAAGCATTAAAACATCAGATGACAAATCCCATCAAATGATTTATCTTTTCTCATTAAAAGGTTAAACCTTTTAGTAGTACCATCACTCATATCATATCTCTTATAAGTGAGAGAGTTTAGCGGGGTTTGTTTTCTGACAGGAAAGAAGAAGATGGGAAGAGGACCTTGTTGTGATAAAGATGGAGTAAAGAAAGGACCTTGGACTCCTGAAGAAGACCAACTTTTGGTTCAGTACATTCAAAAACATGGTTTTGGCTGTTGGCGTAGCCTCCCTAAGAAAGCAGGTTTTACTTCTGTTTTTGTTTCCATCTTTTGGTATGCTCTGCTTCATAGTTTCAAAATTTATTGAACCTATGTTAAAATTTGAAGAAAAGAAAATGTGTAATGGCTCTGGCTTGAGATTTTGGAACGCAAATGGCCCTTCTTGTGATTTATTTCTTATTTCTTGGTTGATTGGAATCTTGCTTGGTGTTTCTGCTATTTCAACTTGTTAAAAGAGAGTTTGTGATTGCCCTTGAAATGATTTTGGTTTTGCCTTCTTTTATATGGGGTTTTATTTCTTTCTTTTCTTTTCTTTTCTTTTTTCCTAATGCCGAATGTGTTGTACTCTAATTTTCTAATCCTTCATGTTTTGCTGATCACTTGTGTAGTTGTTTTAGCTGCGTGTCCTTGAGAACTTTTGAGTATGCTGTCCTTCAAATTGGTAGATTTTCAGTATTTCCGGGCATCTAAAATAAATAGATACAATTGTACAAAAGTAACTAGCTAGCCTTCAACACAAAACAATTTTGATGAAACACAGTTAGATACTTGGAAAAGCTGCCCTCAACTTGGATGAGTTAATATTTGAAGCTTAATTAGGTGAAAGCCAAATCTAATAATAATCAGGCTTTGCCGCTAGCAATTCCTTATTAAACTCTGATTTTGAGTTCCTAGAAGTTTGTGAAAGGTGATGTCCTGAAGTGTTAATCATGAACAAGATATTATGATCAGGCCTCTTTAGATGTGGGAAGAGCTGTCGGCTTCGATGGACAAACTATCTTCGGCCTGACATTAAACGCGGTCCCTTCTCTCCTGCAGAAAAGGCTACTATTATTCATCTTCATGGCATGTTAGGTAACAGGTAATGTGCTGCTTGCTTTCACGTTTTCTGTGCATTATCTTTTGTTTAGAGTTTGGAAGATATGTACATGAAGATTGTTGAATTCCTACTATATTTCTATTGCAGTTCTTTTCAATGCTAATATTTGCATAATATTCAACTGAACTTCTCTATGGACTCTGTGTCATGGAGTGGAACTTTTGTTTCCCATGTCAATCTGTTGATTAGGATGAAGAAATTAAGAAATTAATCTTTGCATAGATGTTGCTTTCTGTTTTATAGTGCTTCTACAGGAAAACTGCATAAGGCTTAAGGTCTTTATATGGGGATAGGCCATCCATCCAGATATTCATGGATTGTTTTGAAGATGAGTTGCTGATTTATGGATTTTGTTTGAATGTTTCAAGCCTTTTTGCTCGTGATGATAATGAGTGATTGATTCTGATAAGTGTGTCATAAAACTAAAGTATGTTAAAAAGATGATGCAATGGTAGAATATGCTTCCTTGTTTTGATAGTATCATATAATTACATAAGCCATGCCACATCTTTTGGTCTTTCTACCTATTTTGTACTCGATGCACTACTTATCAGGTGGGCATACATAGCATCTCAGTTGCCAGGAAGAACAGACAATGAGATAAAAAACTTCTGGAACAGCCACCTGAAGAAGCGTCTAGCTTCCATTAGTCCGAAGTTGCAGATCAACCAGTCCTCATCCTCTTCTGAACCTATCAATATCAAGGGTGAATCTCCTTCGACGAGTCACATGGTACAGTGGGAGGGTGCTAGAGTTGAGGCTGAGGCTCGTTTGTCGATGCAGTCATTGCTCTTTAAACACACATCAAGAGTTAAGGGCAATCCTGACATCTTTGTCCAGTTATGGAACTCTGAAGTTGGAGAAGCATTTCGCAATATTAAAGGAAAAGATGGAGAAACAAGTGAAAGTCTTGTATCTGACACACCTCCATCTGTAAAAATCGAACCTGTTTCACTTGACGACACAATTCCAGCAATGCCTAACAAAACAACTAATTCCATTGACCCTGCTCAGGAACAAGAAGATACTTATAAACCAAGTTTAGATGTTATGGCTGTTTCAGATTCCATTGGTTCCAATGAATTTGCAGATTCTTCGGATACAGCATTGAAACTATTGTTAGATTTCCCAGGAGGCAATTGTATGGACTTCATACGAGAAGAAGAATCAGAAAGTTTTTCCAACTTCCTTGGTTTTAGGTGCGACTGAAACTGCTTCTTGCCTTTCCCATACAACGGTGGCACTCTAAGAAGGAGCTGATGGTGATTTCGGGCACCCTTTGTGTTATATAGGCTATCTAGCTTCCTGTTTTGGTTGACAATTCTCTGCTTGATCTCGGAAAAGTTACGAGGCAGTAGATGTAAAAAGTGGAATCCAGCAATAGGTTACTGTTGCTCTAGTTCTCATTTCTGTGCCCTCTTTTCAGAAACCAAATGGGGTCCAATGGAAAACAATGTAGGATAGAAGAAAATTTTTTGAGGTCTGCGGTTCTTCAAAGGAGTACCAGAGATGTTTTTGTCTGCTCTGTTATATTACCAAGGTATCTTGATTGTTCTAATAGCGAGCATGAAAGGGTGCTTTTTTATGTATTAAACACTATAGTAAGCTTAAATATAAGTTTCCGTTTCTTGCTGGTTTTCATCTACAAATATATTTGATCTTTTGCATACACAACGACGGCGAGAACAACGTCAACGGATAATTTTGTGCATATGATAGAAGTTTTGCTTGATTTTCTTGTCAGCAACTGGTTTATTGCATTATGCGATGTTTTTTCCTGAGCCTGCTGATGATGAAAATAACCTGCAACATGGTATTCTTATGTCTGGATGAACTATGAATATCATGGTCCACCCCTTGTCTAATCTGAAATTATCAAGAAAACAATACTTTCTATTTCTTTGGGTCCATTCACTGGAGAGAGACAAGGCAAGAGAGTTTCAGAATCTTTAATATTCTGATAAATTGAGGATTATCTCCTCCACGAACATAGGCACACGGCAGAACCACACATCTTCTGTCTCTGTGATTTGCAGTTTCCATTTACTTCAGGATTCATATAAGCTTCTTACAAATTCAATAAGTTAATTTTCCAAACATTATCTTGAATTGTTCTATGCACACAAATACATCAACATGGACACAGAGAATAAATCAAGACTTGCCAACCCTCCCCTATTGAAATAGAAAACAAACAAACAAACAACAAACAAACACTAACAAATGAAGGCATAACAAATATACATATAATACAAATTATCAAACCTGAGAAATTTTTAGCCTAAAAACATCCAAGAAGCTTCTTTGGAGAAGTTCCAGTGGCACGATATTTCGCAGACAGCTCTTCAGCCTTGAGAAGATCTTCTCTGCGTTTAGCTTCGACAATCGCCTTCTTTTCTTCTGCTTCCTTGTGAATTATTGCTATTTTGTTCTTCATTTTCTCCACATATTCTGCCCTTTTCTTCTCGAGTAGTTCCTGCTCATATGCAATTATGTTCAATGATGTCAAACAAAATTTACCAGCTACAACCATTAAACAGCCTGAATAATTTGGTTGCCGGCATTCATAATATATGGTTAATTACTTCATATCCTCAATAATGCGACAACTAAACAATCAGGGACCATATGGATAATTAAGACAAAGTCTTACAATTCTCTCATGAAACATAAACTAAGACTTGTCATTACCTCCATCTTCTTCAACTCAGCCTCCACAGCTGCTTTCTGGCTGTTCTCCCATGATGCAATGGAAGAAAGTTTTTTGTGAGCTCTGCAGAATGGATTTAGCAAATTCAATTTATTACAAATTTTCATCATTAAAAAAAAAAACCCCACAGTTTTCTTTGAAGTCTTTGATATTTAAGAATCATAGCTCAGTAGCTCTTACTTGTTTTCTGCTTTGGACTTCTCACTCTCTTCCCATGCTTTGATGAGTGATATCTTCTTCTCTGTCTCAACCCTCGCAAGAACAGCATCTATACAAAAGAAAAAGTTGATTGCTTAAATTAATAATTAATTAATCGATATTAATAATACACAATTAAAGAACAGAAAAATCTTTAAGATCTACAACAGATACCTCTATTGACAGAGCCCTCTGTTTTCTCCTCAGCGGATTCAGAAGCTTCTGCCCCAAGAAAAAAAAATATTAATCAAAATTCAAGTTTTTTTTTTTCGTTTTTTATGTTTTCAAGATTCTAAAAAGATTCATCATATATGGTCCGAGCAGAAACAAACAGATCCTCAAAAAAGAAACAAGAAAGACAAACATATTGTTACAAAATTACCAAACACCAGAAAATTTAAAATCTATACATATCAGAAAGGGGTTAGTTTTGAATTGCACCAAAGAATTCAAAAGCAATTTTTTTTTTGGCTGAGCTAAAAGAACAGATAAATAAAGTGGATAAAAGCAAGAAGAAAGAACATATTACTTTCAACAACAGCAACTGCTTTTGACTCCTCCGCCTTCTCTTCAGCAACGGGAGGAGGGATTACAGTTTTCTCCTCAGTCACATCTTTTGGAGCCTCAACTACAGCTTCAGGTTCAGCTGGTGGTGGAGGAGGAGGAGGAGGAGTTTCTGATGGGGTTTGAGTTTCCACCTTCTTTGGCTCCTCCTCTGCCATATCCTTCAACACGAGCTACAAAGAAAGTTATTGAGCCAACAAAAACCAGAAAAGGATGTCTATAAAGGTACTAGAGGTGGCTAGTAACAGTGAGAGAGAGATATGAGGGAGAGAAATAAGAGGGATTGCTTGTGTTAGTTGAGATATTATAGTTGGAAGAGGGTAACTGTATCTTGAAAAACTGAGCTGGCTGGTAGGTCTGGTCTTTGTTTCTTCGCACTTTGCATTGTCTATGCGTTGGCAGAGAGTGACACTGACTTCCCTACTTGCATTTTTGTTTGTCTTGAAGCAACAATTTTTCCATTTTTGTATTCCTTATTATTATTATTATTATTTATTTATTTATTTTTTTGCTTTCTGAAGTTTTATCCAAGATTCTTCAATTAGGTTTCATATATCGAAATTAATTTTATCATTGATCCCATAAATATTCTTATCGGAATATTTAGAAAATCGTAAAAAGCATAAATTCATATGTCCTAAAGCCAAGAATATATATATATATATATATAGAGTTGGTGGCTTAAACAGGGTGAGTATTATTCGGTTAAAATTGAAAAACCGAACCAAATTAAATTAACAATTTCGGTTTTTTTTTGTACAAAAAATTAAAAAAAAAACCAAAATTATTTCGATTTGGTTTTTTTTTTAATTCAATTTTCATAAAAAACCGAATTAGTGCTTTTTTTAATACACACACTCAAGAATCTTAGCATTTTCTTATGATTTTCTTTACTAAAAATTCAATTCAAGCTATCAGCATTTTATAAAAATTAAAAAAAAAATTACAAAAAAAGTGGTCTGTCAACTTAGTTCAAGAGAAAATTCAAAATTAAGAAAAAAATGATGAAAAAAAAATGATTTCTAATCGAAAATTGAAAACCAAACCAAAAAATTCATTTTTTTAATCAAAAAATCAAACCTCAATTCGGTTTGATTTTGGTTTTTGTTTTAGTCAATTCGGTTTAGCTATTAGCATTCTATGAAAATTAAAAAAAAAATTACAAAAAAAAGTGGTCTATCAACTTGGCTCAAGAGAAAATTCAAAAGTAAGAAAAAAAAAGATGGAAAAACAAAATTTTTTAATCGAAAACCGAAAATCAAACCAAAAAATTTGGTTTTTTAATCGAAAAATCAAACCTTAATTTGATTCGATTTTGGTTTTTATTTTAGTCAATTCGATTAATTATATATATATATATATATAAACTGAATAAAAAAACTAAATATCATCTCTAGGCCTAATCTTCTTCTTCTGTTATCACTGTGGGCACAAAGAAAGAAACTTATCATCAATTATTAATTTTGGTATGCATGACGCACATAGAATCTTATATGAAAGAGTGACAATAGCTGATATGATTTAATTTCGATTAATATAAAAATATATCATTATTTATAAGTATCGAAAAGAAAAAAGAAAAGAAAAGAGCCAGAAATATATTCTGTGTATTATTTTTATTTTTATTTTTTGGATTGATTGGTTATGGATATTTTCGAATTATGTTGCTTGACCATGAAGATCGAATCATCTATTTGGACGATTTTCAAAAAAAGTATCAGATACTCAACCATTCGAAACCAACTATTCCTTTTCAGCAATAAATACGGCAACAAGCAAAAGAATTCCATATAAAACGACGTGTCGTTATCCAAAATTCCAAATCAGCTTTGTCCCCATTGCATGTCCCTGATTAAAACGGCGCCGCTTCATAGCCTTAAAAAGATTCAATCATATAAGGTCATAAAATTCTTTGTATTCGTGTTGGCCACGGAATCTTTGTGGACCAGGTTGTAAAGTGACTGAATTAATAATGACTAATAAAAAATTATATAAAATTTTAATTAATCCAATTGTGAGCCCATTTGCATCTCTTTTCTCTCTTTTTCTCCCCTATACTCAAGGGCCTTCAAGATAAGATTATGAAAAGAAGAATTAGGTTTAATTACAATTTGAAGTTGACTAAGTAAAATATTCTAATCCAATCCTCGAGATATTGCTGATCGAGCATAGACCCTGCCAACGCATATAACATAGACAAATAGGATAAAATATATGCATAATTTGATTTTAAGAAGTAAAATTAATCTATACTATATAACTCGAAGCAGTCATAATTATTGAATTCATTTTAAGCAATTTAATTTTTCAAAAAAATAGGATAATTCATCACTCATAGAGAAACTATAAATATTTACTTTATGAGATATAGCGATAAACACAAATAAAAAAAAATATAAAAAAAAATTATGTCAAACTGAAAATATTTTTATCATTTTTAATAGATTCGAATGTGATTTTTTTTTGTTTATATCTATATCTTTCTTCAAAAGCTGACATATATAAAATAACTATTATAAGTATACAATAATTATTCCTCAAGTATTTTAAAATTTTTTGGATAATCTATACATCATCAAGTTACTTATTACTTTTTAACAACTATTTTATTCTTGGTATGTAATTATGATGATATAATATGAAAAACCAAAATCCTTAAATTAATATTTCCTTAAAAAGAAAAAAAGAATGAAGTACTCGGAGAACTGTTTTTAAGTCAAGTGGAAGCAAGCACCAAATGTTTCTTCTCCCTCGACTATAATTCCTTGAAGAAAACGAAATCTCAACCACATAAAGAAATAGATTGGAATTAACAAGCTACATGAAACAGAAAGTTGTTGGCTTTGGTTTTCAAGAACTCAATACCAAAAAGCAATATGGGACCATGACCATGTCCCCAAGCTAACCCTTTCATCCCTCTCCTTTCCATAAATTATGGGCTCAACTCTTTGCCCCCACAAATATACCTAGGGAACTTCTCATAAGCATAATGTAACCCTTTCCTATTCTTGGATTGCGCTTAAATGGAGTGTTGTTCATTGAAAAAAAAAAAAACGTAATTAAATAATAAAAATTAACATAATAAATAAATAAATTTATCATATATTAAAGTAAATAAAGAATTTAAATTTTTTACTTTGATTTTCAAAGGATTTTGAATCAAAATCACGTTATTACATTTCACGGTGTAAAGATGATTGAACCAGCAATGTAACTTTGTACAAGCATAATTAGGTTGTTTTTTTATACGATACACGTCATTTGTAGAATTTAGTTAATGCAACTGATCAAGTAATGTTATATGCCGTTTCAAAAATACAACAAGCTCATCTAGTTTGTCATGTCTTACAAGTTTGCATCACTTATAGGACTTGAAATTCTAAATAATTTAGTACTACTCTTATCCAAAAAATAAAACATATAAACATTATATGATTTTATAGTGAGAGATTAAATAATACAAAAAATAAAGAATTATTTTCTTCTTCGTTATAAAACAGTACTGCAATGCTTTTCTTTCTAAATAACAAGAATATAAAAATATTATGTGTCTAAAATGATAGAATATCACACACACATATATATATATATGAAAAGTAAATAATTGTTTTTTAAGAAATTGAATGTCCTATTTTAAAGAAATTTAATTACCATTTTACATTTAAAATAAAATGACAAAAGACCGTTGGTTTTTTGTTGTATCTTTTATACAGTATCTGCTTGTTAAGGCAGTTACATGCTGGTTGCTTTGACAAAGTTTCAAAAGGGATTAATGGAGGCTTTGAGTACTGTTTCAAGTGCACAATGTACTATTTTAAAATAGTTTTTTTTCCCTTTTTTTCAAAATAATTAATATAATTAAAAATTATATTTTTATAAAAATTCTCCAACGTTGAGTGAATGATGATACAAACTTTATAGATTGTTATTATAATAACCTGGCTTGATTATTGTTACTATGATTGGATCCAAATTGTTTAAAAGGTAGACAAGCGTTCCAAGCTAACTCTCCCTATTAGCCTTCATTTTTTTCAGCATTTGATAGATGTCGGCACTACTTTCGTCCAAGCTTATCAGAGGACGAAGATGTGGTAAGACAGATCGAAAGTATAGTTGTCATGTCCGAATTGGATTGGAGGATGCCTCGAACAAAATTTTGAGTTGTCGGGTTTGATTCGATGGATTTAATTATAATATATATGAGAATTTTATAATGTGTTATACACATACAAATATAAATCACAAGTATATCCATGGTGGACTGGCAAATTTATTTAACACAAAAAATGTAGGTTTGTGAGTGCTAAGATTCAACATCTATCTCCAACATATTTGTTGGTTTTTCTCTTTCTTTTTTTTTCCCCCATAATACACTTTGTTTTTTCATAAAATTAATTAGTATAATATATATTATATACATATTTCATAACAAATTTTCTTGTAGCAAGTTGGAAGTCTTTTTTTTTTTTTTTTTACCAAACTGGATTTTGATTGGGTCTTAATGGGTTGATGGGTCATTCGGAATTTGACCAGATCGTCCAGATTTGATCTGGTTGCTCAGGTTTGATTGGATTAATGTTATGTCTTGTTCAATTCCCATTAATTTAGCTCGAATTAAACCTCAAGTCACCGGATTTTCGGATCATCCACCATATTGTTTCGAATTTGACGACTCTATATGCTTGAAAGTTACTCGACATAAATCACTCTCTTTTGACTAAATCTTTTGATAAGTTTATGATAAAGACTATACTGATCTCCAGCTGTCAAGAAAACACTCAAATGACATATATAGAAAAGAAAAATTAATGTAGATAAAATAAGTTAATTGTGATGGTCTTGTTTTCAGGTAAATTAAACGATGAATTTTGAAAACGAGGGTCTTGTTTTCCCCATATAAATTATGATGGGAGCTAGCTCCCCATTATCTTATCATTTATTTTCTTTATATAGAAACAGCAACGTTGATTGAAAAGATTGACATGTTTGTAATATCTTTTCTCATCTTTTCTTAATTTACACACACAAATGACATGTGTTTGTAGCTCAAATAACATTCATGTCTCTCTCTTTAAAAAAAAAAAACAAAAAAAGAAAAAGAAACTCGAATTTGAACCTCTTTTTTATACATATAAAATAAAATTTATTATGGTAACTCAAACGATGATTTCTAAATATCCTTTTATTTATAAAAAGAAAAATTAAAACGTACAATCCTGTCGAGTGCCGTCTCTCTTATGCCATGAAATTCAAGGTTTTCTATCACATATATGTCAACTAATATTGGAGATGCCTGCAAATATTACACTAAAAATAATCTGTATTATATTATTTGATTTTGTAGAACTTAATTAGAGTATTGGAGAATTAGTCAGATTGAAAGGTAGATAAACTCTAATTTTAATATTTCTAGTTCAAAATCTTAAAAGAGATTGCTAAAACATTGGTTTTTCTATGAATTTCTACGTGCATAATATGTTTAAAACCAGAGATGAGTTAGAACTTAAACATTTTGGTTGGCAAAACATGATCTAGAAATCCTTACCTCTTAAACAAAACCCAATTGAATGAGTAAGCATTTTGGAGAAATCCAGTATTTGCATTATGTGTTTTCGTCAATTTGTCAAAAAAAAAAAATTATATTGTCACTTTGATCAATTGAACTCTTCTTATTTTCTTAAATAAAAAAAGATAATACTCAATTAAAAGAATGAGAATGGTGAAGATAAGTGATGATAGTAGAGAAAATAAAAAAGAAAGTTTATAGTACGTAATGACTCAAGTGGTGAAAAAAAAAAAAAAAACCTACTCAATTGGCTTTAAAAAAAAATTTATTTTGATAAATTATACTCAATTAACTAAAAGAATTTATTTGATTTGAGTGAATGATAGAAAGATTCTTTTAACGAATTGGTGAAAACATAGAATATCAATAAAGAATTTAATTACCAAACATTTTAAATGAAAAGGAAATAATGTTTAATTAATGATAAAAAAGACAAAATATTGTAATATTGAATGATAACGTGAAGCATTGAAATAAATAAGATAATTATTATAATCATTATTGAAATTGGATGCGTGCTTGATTAATAAAGTTGCATTGCTTGCTTGCAATCAAGTACTCAATCGGTTGGTTGAGATAAATTCAATTGACCGAATCGATAATAAAAAAAGTTCTTTTGATGAATTAATGAAAATAAAGATTGCAAAAGATGAGTTTAGTTTATTAATTTAACACAAACCACGAATGTTAATCAAATTATTTACATGCTAGAGAGAGAGAGAGAGAGAGAGAGATGTTGATTCGAAATGATCATGCATGGCAATTGGATTCATGTCTTTGGTACGTAAATTGAAAGAAAAAGGGATAATCATTGGTGTTTTAGTGTACAAAAGCTCAAGAAATTGGAGTTCCTTTCATTGAATTAGAAGTTCTTATTTTTATAGATTGAAGTATAGCATGTTTTTTTTTATGATGTTTGTAAGAAAATATCAGGGGAGACAGAAAGGGAGAGTATTATTGACTTGGAATTGGGTATTTTTTTATTATTATTATTATTTTTCATAGGTGTCAAAAATAAAAAGAAATTGGTTTCAGAAATTTTTTGAGAAGACAGAAGCAAAAGAGCTTAGATTAAAAGGTTCTAATACCATGTAAGAAAATAATATTGAAAGCTATATAGCATGTCTCTATATATATTACAATCTAAGTGATTACAAGCTGAAGGCAAGGAACAAATTACAAGCTAAAATCAAGTACTTAAGCAAAAGATACCATGAAGATTACAGTGATACACATTTAATACAACAAATATTTACAGAATACGAAAAGATTTTCATATTCAATAATGTGTTATTTATCTAATGTATTAAAAAAAAAAGTTAATGGTTTAATATGTCTTTTTTTATAATAAGTAATTCTCCAATCTGTTTTTAATTTTTTAAAAATATATGTTAATTTTTTATAATAAGTAATTCTCCAATCTGTTTTTAATATAAATATATATTATTTATAATATATGTTAATTATGTAATCTATCATTCTAGTAAGATGCACATGAAGCACAAAGAAAAAAGTCTAAACTTGTTTAGCTAGACTGCTAGAGCGAGAACAAAGGAGAAGCTCCATGGATTTAAACTTAAAAGCCAGAAACTTTGACATGATTTGCATATGAAATAATTATATATAAATTACGTGAATAATTATATTGGTTTGGCCTTAAAATGTTGACAAAATGATAGATTAAAAACTTAAATGTGTATTTAAAGATAAAATCGAAGCAATATAAATATAATAACATATTGAAAAAATTAATAAGGTAGACCCGGCCATTAATTAATCCAAAAAAAAAAAAGTTTTAATTTCTTGACAGTTTGGGCACTTGAATCATCGAGAGTAGTACTCGATACACAAATAGAAAGCTATTTATTGAATTTATTAATGTATTATATGTCTACAGATTTATTTTATTCTTGAAGAATTTTAGTCTGAACATATACCGAAGCACTTCTTTGGAAGTTTACCGGTTGATCGATATTTGTTAGCTTTCTCCGTTATCTGAAGAGTCTTTTTCTGGAACCGAGCATCAATGGCTGCCTTCTTTTTTTCCACTGCTTCTTGTACATGAGCTTCCTTGTTCTTGAGTTTCTCATATTCTTCTTGTCTTATTTTCTCTAATTTTGCCTGAATTATGAACCAAATATAATTATATATTTGTTTTATAAGTAAGAAACGAATGACAAAAATAAATTATCTACTATTTTCCCTAGCTTCCTACAAGATCGATGGGCATGATCAGTATAACCTCAACTTTTTGGATATTAGCATCATGAGTTATTTTCTTTTTTGCTCCCATGATTTGGTGTCCGATAACATTCTCTCAACCCTGTTCATTATGTATATATATATTTCCAGTGAGATAACATCAATACATTTTTGAGGAAACAAAAATATTTATTTGAAGCAAGACAGAGAATGGCTTCATGAATTTGTGTTGGGACTCAAAGAAGTAGTGCTTACTTATTTGTTGATTTTGCTTTTTTTCTGTCTTCCCATGCTTTGAGTTTTCTCTCCACCTCTTTTTCCTTGGGACCAAGAGCTGCAATGAACAAGAAGAGCAACAATTATCTATTGGAGGAAAAAAAAAAAAAAACTAATGTCTAATTTTTTTAAAATAACCTTTTTTTTCCTTACATATATTAAAAAGTTATTAATTGTTATGTCATGTCAATGTTTTTTATTTTTAATTTTATAAAATTTTTTTTAGAATTGTATTTGAACAGTATTTTACAGAATAGACATTAATTAGGAGTATTTAAAAAATATATTATTTAATTTTTTTACCATAAAATATTTTAAAATAAATATAAATAGAAAGATAGATAATCTATTTGGTACTAAAAGAGTATAACATTTAGTGTGTAACATGGTTATTATGATATATATATATATAATTATAATTAATGTCAAATTCACTCAGTTACAATCTTCCATAAGTCTAAGTTTGCCATTTTTGCTGATTTTTGAAGTGTATATTATGCTACCAATTTCTAACTAAAATAACCATACCAAAAAATGGCGAGTAAATTATAAATTAGTTTTCCTTTTATTGATAAATGAATTAATTACTCTTTTTCTATTTCAAGAACTAATCATTTAATATTTTGATCTGTATTGACCACGTTTAATTTAATATTATTTTTAAAAATATATATATAATTTTTTCTCACTAATCCATCCATATTTTCTAGCTATTTTTTTTCTATTTCTTAAAATAAAAAAAATATTGAAAAAGAACGAAAAAGATTAAGTTACAAGAAAATAGCTGGCAGAAATTTACCTTCACCCATTTGAACTCCTTAATTTTAGAATAAATGTTACTCAACTTTGATGATCTTTTTTCTCCTACCTCACCTATCAATTTATATGAACAGATTTTGGGTTGTAGAAGTTCATTTTGTCGCCATACTCTCATATTTACCACAAATAAATATGGTGAATCTTATGGTGTGGCATACATTTATTTACTTCTAGTAAATTTAGAATTTATTTGAATTTTTTTAAAAAAATTTAGAACATAATAATTATGTTGCAAGAATTGTTAATTAATCGTTGCATGTCTAAAGATTTCACAACTTTTGCACCTCTAATCATGCATATATAGATTTTGAAAAATCTAAAATTTATTTTAGATTTTATTACAAGCATGTCTAATTAATTGTTGAATAAATTTTAGTTAGGTCATGCCTCTTTATATTAAGATTTGTTTCGAAGAACATGTTCCAGGTTTGAACCGGATTAAAATCGAATGGGTTTGAGTGTTATTACGGTTAGGGTAGATAATTTTCATTATAGATGCAAGGATATTAAGCTAAGCATTGATTTTCAATTATCGTGTTTTTCGAATATCTTATTTTATCAGCCGACTCTATCAATGTAAATATATACTTTCTATGCTATTAAAAAACAAACATCAATTTTTTTTTCTTTATATTTGTCTCAAAATATTTGTCTGGTAAAAATTTTAATTATTATATATTTTTTTTAAAAAAGATACCTCTAGTTACCATGCAAAATTAAATTTAATGATTAAAAATTATAAAAAATATATATGAACAAAAAAAATACTAAAAAATATATTTGTAAAAAAAAATATTTTTTTTATTTATATTTGTCTCAAAATATTTGTTTGATAGAAATTTTAATTATTATATATATATTTTTTAAAAAATACATCTAGTTAACGTTGGTTCCATACCATACAAAATTAAATTTAATGATTAAAAATTCTAAAAAATATATATATAAACAAAAAATAATAATAATAATATAGCATATCAATTAATAATTTTCTTAAGGCAATTTTTTTGAAACAAAGGATGTACGTCACAAGACAAGGTTCGAATTTTTCTGTTAATATCAAGTTGAAATAAGTTTTCCACGACTTATAGAAATGTGTATTTTGTTGCTGGATATTGGAAATTGGATCAGAGCCAACCCAGTTCTGGTTGGGCCAGAAACCTAAGCTGCTAAACCCAATATACCCAAAGGAAGTCTACGTTCAAGGGCCCAAGCGAGAACAATGGAAATTCAGTACAAGAAGCTACATTATTATTTAATGATGATCATAATTTTACACGTAGAGATACAAATAATAGATCTACAAACTTCCATAAAAATTCAGCAAATATATATATATATATATATATATATAGGCCTTATATGGCAGAATAGCTATGGTCTTCTTCTTCAGGACCCTGACCAAGAACAGATAGGATAACAAAGGCACCATATAATATTGTAACCACTGCAGTGAAGTTGACGAGCAAAGCCTCAGAACCGTACTTAGCAATGCCAGAGCTCTCAAGGAACGTAAGCTTCTCCAAAAACCCTAAGGAAGCATTGCCAACAGCCAATATATACACAAAAATCCCAAATAGCACATGCCAAGGGGCGGAACCACTCCTCAGTGTTGATGACCCTTTAGGGTAAAAGAATACAAGGAACCCATATATCCACTGCAAATTAAATTCCCATTTTTAAGTCAAAGTTTCAAAATAAAATCAAAGGAAAGTCGCTGTAAAATAGGTTAAAACGAATGATTTACCTGAATACCATAAAGGGAAATGATGACTATGCCAAGCCATGAATGCAAGCTGTATAGGTTGGGAGTGTTAGTCTCATTGTGATTCTTGAATGCAGCCGCAATGCCAACACAACCGAGTACTATTGCAATAGCATGGAGAACAAGATGTATTACTTTCTTCACTTCTTTCGTCAAAGGAAGAGATTTGTAACTTATAATGGCTGCATGTATTTGTGTTTTTTTGTTTGGAAAAGATAGAAACAGGAAAAATATTAGTAAGAAAAAACAAAGCAAATTAGTTTTCCAAAATGTAGCAATTAGCTGTTATGAGAAATCAAAATGTTGTTCAATTACCTTCACCTCCGATGATAACCAAGCCAATTAGCATCAGAACAGGATGAAGCTGTTACAAGAAAATAGTTATGAGAGTCACATTATCGAAAGTAGGCTAATTGGGTTATAAAACATCCAAGTTTTTGGTCAATAGAGAAATTCCTAACCCTTTTTTTTTTTTACTTTAATTTGAATCTTGAACCTTTTTTATCCGCAATTAAGTCTTTCTGTTTAGTTAATCAATTTTAGGCGATATTAGATGTGCGTGAGAAGACATGAACCATTAAAACAACAACACGTATTTTGAAAAAAACACTTCTAAACAAATGAGCCATTAAAACAATAACACGCGTTCTCTCACATGCATCTAATGCCGCCTCAGATTGGTTAACGTACAAAAAAAAACTTAATTGTGGACAAAAAAAATTTCTAGACCCAAATCTGAATATGGTAATAAAAAATTGAGATTACTTTATAACGATAAAAGCATATAAAAATGACTGTCCTCTACATTTTAGCATAAACAGTAATCATAGTAGCAGCCTTGGAAATGCCATGCTTCAATGTTGGAAGTTAAATCGAAAGCCCTAAGTCATATGATTCTCACCCTTAGCCTAAAGACAAAACAATTGTTGTTGAAGAGCATGGCCCACAGAGAAAGGTGTGTGCAAATACCAAAACATTGGACAAATCTTGGAATATAGTTCATAAATGTAAGTACAATTTTTTTTGGGCCTAAAACACGTGAATGCTTTGATAAGTTCGAAAAGGACAAGGCCACGTATGAGGTCCTGATCCAGTAATTTGCCAGAATAAATACTTCATTAGATTTATGGTTAAGATCCTAAGACATGAAGTACTGAAACTTAAACTTTTCATCATAAAATACTTATTGTTAGTTTTGAAAAAATTGAAATGCTCAAATAAAAAAAAATTATGTACTTAATTGAATAAAAATTTAAAAATAGTATACTTGTAATGCAATCATCTTTCTGTTAGTTACTGCAGGAAAGATAGGAGTGGAAGTTGGGCTTATGACCTTATGGGCTGTACAAAAGGTTAGGTAGGGTAGGTGCACAAGCCACGAAGGCTAAAATGATTTAGCTATGCATTATTTTTCACTTTATTATTTTTGCCTTGAAGATATTAATTAGGTTGCTAATGATCTCACAGCATCTTTAACCCTTCTTCTTCTTCTTCTTTTTTTTTCCCCATCAATTGTAAATGAAGCATCCAAAGGCACATTCATGGAAAACAGAGAGAAACAAAAACCCAAAAATGCCAATAATCATGGAATACACATATCTTAAGGCAAATCCCATTTGATAAGTTCAAATTCCAAATAAAAAAGCTAAGATTCTCATTCCATTAACCAATAAAAATGCTTAGAGCCATTGAATATTAAAACTCAATGTGCTCAATTCTAACTTGTTACTTAGCTAGCTAGCTATCAGGGTCATAGTAGTGATTTCATATGGACCAAAACCAACAAAATCTTCTAAGAAAAAGAATGGCCAAAGTCATCAAATCCCAAGCCAATAGCCCTTTGCCAAACCATTCAGCAATGACACAAAAAAATCCCTAAATTTCTGACGATCAAACAAAAAGCTGTTGAACGCTAAAAGCAACACAAGGGATAAACACAAATACACAACCAAACAAAAAAATTAAAACAAAAAAAAAAAACATCCAACCAAGTAAGCAAACCAGAAAGACAGACACAGACAAGTGTGTAGAGATCAGAGGTAGAGACTTACATTGAAGATGAGATTCTTATTAGTAGATTCCCATGCTAAGCCACCTCTAAAATATATATTCCAAACCAAGACCATAACAATACCAGCAATTGCAAGCGCGTGTACTACAAACGTAAACGGTAGTGCTTTAGCCCCTATAGCCATGGTTGAGTCTTCTTCTTCTTCTTGAGCTCTTTCTTCTCTTCTTTCTCCTTATGTAAAATTTTGAATACGGGAAAGGATAAAGGAAGAAAGACCTTTCTTCTTTAGTTATACTCTGCGTCTTTTTTTATGTCGTTTCGTCCAGATATTTCGTGCGATAATGACCGTTGGATGGATATCTTGTTAGTGACGTTATTGTGCCACGTGGATATGATTGATTAGCTGAGTTGACTCTTATTTCTTGTGTCTCGTGGTACCCACGCGTCCAGCTTCGTGTCTTCTCTAGATCCCTGTATTTTAATCCCATTTTATTGGTCTAAAATTGAATTTCTATTATTTCTCGTAACATTATTTATTGTTTATTTCCCACATCTTTGTTTTAAATAATATATAATAAGTCCATGTATTTTGAAATAGATTGTATTTAATCAACTCAATTGAGGATAAAACTGAAAAATTCATATTTTTAGATGTGTTTCATTTAAAAATTGGACAAATATTTTAGAACATTTATGAATAAAAACATGGACAAACAAAAATGAGAAGTAAAAAATGTTATTATTTTTAGTTTATGTTACCAAATCAACTTTTACATAATAAAAAATTAGTTTTTCTTTCTATTTTGCTTAGACAGACATTACTTAAACTTATGCATTTACAAATAAATTTGTTTCCATAATTATCTCTTATATTCTTCTCTTTCTTCCTTTAGACTATTAATTAAAACACAAATAATAATTAGCTAAAAAGATTGATTTGAGTAGAAAAGACTCTAATTGCTTAAATACGTAATCTTAATTTCGAATACTTGTGTATATAAAAAACTCTTTGGATGGTTATGTTCATCTTACATACTTAACCGAACAAGTAAAAGATTAATCTGAATTTTTTAAATTTAAATCCTCCGGAGATCAAAATAATAACAACAATAATAATAATTAAATAAAATAATTCAGCATAAATTATACGTACATAAAATTGAAGGTAAAAAATTAGGTTATTTTTGGTTAAATAAGATTAGATTTCTATCTAATTTAGATTAAATAAAATTAGGTATCACTTTTAGTCTATTTAATATAAATATCTAATTTTACTTTCAATTTTGTAGAAGAACCGTTAGAATAGAATAATTTGTTTAGAACCTGTTGGTACCTTGAGCTGTAATGCAAGGACTTAGACCCATTTTTTGTCCCAAAAAAAAAAAACTTATTTATTATCCGAACCACCACCCCAAATTAAGAGTTAAATAATCTTGAACATGAACTAGCGTACTTAGCCGGATTTCTTCACTGTCTTCGAAAAAAAATAGTTGAAATCCAATGTCGTTAAATGAAAAAAAAAATATATATATATATATATATAATTGGCACGTTTTATAGCCGGATTGCTATCAAAGGCTTAAAAAAGGTCAAACCAATGGTAGGATTTCGAGTTAGTGTGAGACTTAAGCTCTGACTACTCCCTTCACCTTTTCATAGATCCATTTTTTGGTCTGCTGTATTAATTACCGATATAACTATTATTTTATTTTCGTACCACCATAACCTTCGAGAACTATCACAACTACCATTACAATAACGACAGTTGCTGCATTCGACATTACTCATCACTGTTATTCGATTAACATGATTATCTTTGTTATTGTCATTTTTATCGTTATTATCATTACTCCAACAATGGTCATTGCCACCACAACAATAACCAACATTAATCATCTTTGCTGTGGTCGTTACTGTCAAAGCCTCTACTGCTACCACCTTGTTGTTATAACGATCATCATCCTATTATTATTATTAACATTAATATTATCACAATTATTATCATACATGCTACAATCGTAATCAAATCATTACTGTTATCACTACTATCATAATTTTTTTTAATCTTATCATCATAATTTAAAAACCATTAAAAAAGAGTAATTTATTTTAAAAGAAAATATATTTATTGATATATCCAAGCAATGAAAAATACTTATTTTTTTAAAAAATATTTTCTATAATTTTTTTCTTTAAAAATATATTATTATTTTTTTATCAACATACAGACCCTTAACTTGTTAGAAAAGGCCCATCGTTTATGTAATTCGAGATTAATAAATTTTAACTTACAAATTACAAGATAGAGTATCAGAAATAAATTTTTATGAAAAACATGTTAAATATTCGGGAAAAAAATGACAAGAAAAAACCTTCAATAATACCTATAAGTCATTACCTTCAATAATTTTCATGTGCATATATCTTGAAGTTTATTGTTAAAATTTAACATTCTTCTCCACACAAATCTTCTAATTCCAATAATATTGAGTGTTTTTTTTTAAGGTAGAAGGAGGTCTTTTCATCTTCTTACAAGCATATCACCTAACTATAAAAGATAAAAACCGATGTAATGTTTTGGCTGAAATTCAAAAACTTGTCCAAGTAATGTTCGAAAAAATGTGGTGATGCAGGCTTTTCCACGACGAATCGTAGGGAAAAGTTGATGATGATAAAATGCCCAAGGGGAACCCATTTGTAGGAAAAGATTATAACGACACCGTGATATGGCCTTTGTCACATATTTGTCAAGATTTAGACCACCGGATAGGACCATTATCAGCTGAAGTCACGTGTGACGTCAAATTGAATTAGGACCCATTCAGTTAGGACGCATCTTATCGTCCAAGTTGGAGATAATTACGAGTTAGTAAAAATTTTATAATACTAAAAAAATAAGTAGTATAATTTATTTTATAAAAAAATAAATAAATAGAAAAAAGAATAAAAAATATTTAAACCAAAGCGAAATTTTTTTTTATTATTTTTGATAGATACAAATGTTATTTTTTTATGTGTCTATTTTTTTTTTCTTAAAACCAGGTTTATAGAGTAAGTATTGTATATATATATATATATATATATACTGATTATTTTTTTAATATTATAAAATTTCTCATGAGTTACCACTTTAATTACTTTTTGATTGATGCAAAATAATAATAAATAAATAATAAAGAAAAAGAGTTTCCTCTCTTGAATGTAAATTAAGGAAAGATGACGGATGAAGACATGAGAGCAAGTCCTTCGAATTTAATAAAGATTTTTTTTTATACTTTGTATATTATTTGTGACATATTATTATGCTTATGAATTAGAATAAAAATGTGTATAAATTGGATTTTAATTAGAATTGTGTATGTATATGGATTAGACTAGGAATATGTCACAAGACCATAGGATTAGGTTAGGAATCATGTTAATCAATTAGAATTTGACAAAGTTTCCATGTACTAATTACACAAGGAATTTAGACTCTGACTAGGTTTCTACGTACTGATTACCCAAGCAATTTAAAATTTGAAGTTTATGTATAGTAATTGATCACTATAAATCATTTGATGTTATACTATAGAAACTAATTTAGTATATATTAAATCTCAAATATTTGGATAAGTTTCAAGTTTTTTTTTAATTTTTAATAGAATTTTGAGGTTTTATTTATTTATTTCAGAGATGCAATGTAAAATAATGCGTCACTTTTTATTTTATTTAATTGCTTTTTATTAGAAACAATAGAATTAGTTTAGCAATTCGCCACAATTTCTATCTCACAAAAATAAAAGAATGATATTAATTACGTAATATTCTTATTTCATTTAAAATAGTATATTAAAAATAAGTTTACTATAAAATTTCCGTGTATTTGCTCTAAAATAAATAAGATAAAAAATAAAACTTTCACACATATTAATATGATTAAAATAGAACTTAGTACTTTTTACATATTGAAAAAAATATATTAAAAAAAAAAACCATGGCATGGTCTAGATCATTGGCTAGTTGTTCATATCAAGTTAGATAATCCAGTACTATTAGTTTGACTATGTGTTTAGTGCCATTTTGATTCAAATCCTACCATATAAAGATCATCCACTAGTTGTTCACATCAAGTTAGATAATTTGGTACAATTAGTTTGATAATGTATTTAGAACCATTTTTATTATAATTCTACTATATAAAGTGATTTGATAAAAATTTCAAGAGATTGGTATGGTGATTAAGAATGTTTATTTTCTTTTTTCACTCTTTAGGTCAGAGATGCGTTTCTAAAATTATCTGAAAAATAAATTTAAAAACTATCCCATTTTGGGTCCATGTCCCGCGACAAGTGCTAAAACTAGCCCATTTAGCCAGAGACGGAGAGAAAGCTCAGCCTGAAAATCCTACAGCTTCAAAATTCAAAGGACCAAGCCCACGGTCCCTCTCTCTCCCTTTTTTGTTTTTTCTTTTCTGTCTGTTATTGATTTCCATTATGAGCACCTTGCATAGGCTGCGACCAAGATTAGTTTATACAAAAAAAAAAAAAAAAAAATCCAGATTGCCGTTTTATACATATTTTAATCCCTTCAAAAAACAAGTTTATACTAAGTTGCAAAGGATTTGAAGGCTCTTTGTTCTCTATTGCTAATAAAATTGACTAATTTCTTACAAGCTAAACAAGGTCTCTAACAAGAGAAACAGTAACTACTGATCCACTGTCAGCGTTACTCAGCTTTCCGATAATCAAACAGTAAGTTAATTAATAAAGAAATACTATACCATAAATATGAGCTAGGTTGACTTTTTTTAAACTATGGTTTGTAGTAAAAATAAAGAATTGTTGATCTACAGATCCATATTTTAAGAGATTTTTTTCGTTACAGAGAAAGATTCGAATTCGAAATTTTTCAAAAGATAAAATACACTAACGTCAATTGAGGTACAATTCGTAGGTACATAAAAAAAGATTTTGAATGAAGGCATATCATGGCTTGACTACGTTGATTCGTTTTTGCCAATTGCTAGATGTATGAGCAAAGCCACTAGCAGGACCATATGTGGCACCACAATGTGTAGCTAGAAAATGAAGCATCTTTCGAACCTTTTGTCAAAGACTACTTGGATTCTAATCGTTCCATTATGATATCTGCGATCTAAAAACTCCATTAAAAATAAATATATTTGTAAGCATTATTTATTTATTTAATAAATAAATATTTATTTAAAGTAAAGATTAGTAAATTATGTTTGAATAAAAAATAAATTAATGCAAATATAATTATTATGAAAAATAAATGAATTAATTGAAAGGTAAATGAATTAATTAAAGTGTGAATTAGAGGTTTATAATATTAATTGATATAGTTATGTACTAACTTAAGAGTGAAATTGCAAAACTTTAGGGGTGTAGTTGAAGCAATTAAAAGGTTGAGTTTTTAAATAAAATAATTAAAAAACTTTGGGACCACAAACTAGAGATGAGCCAAGTCTTAGTGGCATCTAGTTTACGTTACGTGTGGGAATAAATACTCACCATAATATTGGCATTTGGCAGGGATCTCCACCACTCTTTAGTCCACCTCTTTCTAGGAGTGGTACGAAAGGTCTATTTTTAGCTAACTTATAACCACATGAAAGGGAAAGGAAAATTTCTTCTCAACACTTCAGCTATGTCATTAGAGAATCCTCAATCGAATCCCTAGAGAATTTTCTTATTTCAGTTAGATTTCAAAAGTTCATGAAAATTCTCGATTTAATCTCTCTATTCATAATATCTGAACTACATCGGTTAATAGATTCTACCGAATTTTACCCTTTTTGCCACATAAAACAATGAATTTTATTTTCTTTTTTAAAGTTAGAAGTATTTCATTAAAAACTAAATAAATTATAAACTTGTCCTTCTAATTTTAAAAAATAAATTAGTAAGTTTTTTTTTTAATTTTAAAAATTAATTATTTAGTTATCTGACTAGTATTAACCATATTTAATTTAATATTATTTTATTTTAAAAATTATTTTCTTCATATCAATTTTTTCCTAATATCCATTTATTTTTTCCTTTTTTCTAAAAAAAAAAAAAGAAAGAAAGAACATAAAATGAACAAAAAGGATCAAATAATTAATTTTTAAGTCAAGAGAAATAACAAATTCATTTCTCAAAACTAAAAAGACTAATTTATAATTTATTCTTAAAAACTTGTGAAGAGTTCAGACGAAATAAATAAAAGCAATCAAGAAATTTGAATATTAAGACAATCAATTGAAACGAAATTCTTTGGGAACTCAATTGAAATTTCTGTTAATGTTTTGGGACAAATTTGAGGTTAGCCTTTAATCTAATCATTGTATGCGAGTAGAAGGCTTATCCATTTAGATCTACTAGTACGACAAAAGTTGTGTGTAGGACAAACAAAGAAAAAGAGAGCACGTGTAGCCACGTGCTACCACTCGTTCTCAGAGCAACTTAGCTAGTTAGCTGGGGTTTGACCACAAATGAGAGTAAATTATATTAGTCCCTCTAGTTCTTAAAAAATTAATTAATCCCCTCTGTTTAAAAAATTACTTATTTATGCACTTTTCTAATTTGTTTGTTGTAAAAAATAGATATAATAAAAAGATTGATGAAAAAGAAGATATTTTTAAAATAAAATAATATTAACTTAAATGTAATTAACTTTAATTATAAAATTAAATAATTAATTTTAAAATAAGAAAGACTAATTAATTCGTGTATCAAAACTAGGTAGATTAATTTAAAATTTAATCCTATAAATGAGGCACCAAACAATTAATGGCCCAGCAGTTTTGTGTGTCTTTGCAGTCCTGGGACACGATAAGGATGTATCACCCTTTCTGGGACAGCTTTGTGGTAGCTAATAAATATAGGGCCCCTTTTTTCGCCCCACCGTTGTCTAAGAGAACGTACCAAACCCTAATTTTGCCACTTAACTAATACATCACTAATCATGCCCTATAATATATTTGATCCCATAATAGTTTCCTCTTAGCAATCTCAATAATGCAATTATGATTGCATTTTCAGCTGCTTGTAATCTAAATGAAAAATTTTATAATACTTAAAAATAATTAATGTATATATATAATAGTTTTTCCATGGTCTCTTTTTGAAAAAATAAATAGACACATAAAAAAAAAATCACATTTAAACCTACAAAAAATGATAAAAAAATTTTCACTTTACCTTAATTTTTTTTCTATTTTTATTTTTTTAACATATTTATCTCTCTCTATAAAGTAATTTTTACTAATTACTCATTGAATATTATAAAATTTTTAAACCTTTAGGTCCAACATATATTAACCTAGCCACTCAATAATAGATAATCTTTGTTAGATTCGCAAATCTCCTTATTTGATTCGTAAATCTCCACCAACCACTCTTAAAGATTTATTTGCCATAAACTTTTCTATGAAAAAACCCTAAATCTTAACTACTATGACGCTTTCATGGGATAGATCATAGATGAGAGCATTCATTGAATAGTGATAATATTCAACGCTGTAGTAATGTTTACAAACAGACACTCCCTTCGTTTTAAGGAGATGATTTTTTTTCTTACTTTATAAATACATTAGAAAAATTATTTATTATTCTTTTTTGTTTATGTTTTTTTAAAAAATATATTTTTTTAACAATTGTATTTAGACAATTTTATAAAATAAATTTAAAATTTTGAATACAAAAATATTTTGAAACATAAATGGAAAGATATTCTAACTCTTTTTACAGAAGGAGCAGTAATTACAAGCCCACTAGACTTTTCCTAGCAGCCACCTGTCAAATGTAAATTTAACTTTTGTACCTAATAGATTCCGTTGCATTATGGATGTGCCCACGAAGTAATATGAATAGCCAGCTAATATGACACAAAAGTAGAGTTCTGTATAGTGACAAAAATCAGGGATGTGTAGTGAATGAATGCACTGTACAAAAATTAGTTGCTTGAACTAAATAAGGTAGATGCCAGAAATTCTTCCATTGTTACCTCTTGTAGCAACTTCTTCTCTGGGGCAACCTTTCCTCAAAATTCTTTGCCTCCGACAATTTAATATCCTCGTCGTAGAATAGATGCACAGGGCAATTTCGGAACTGTAACCCAAAGCTAAGGACTTTCTGTGTGAGAGAAGACCTACCACCAAAAGTGTAGGCCAATGTCATTTAAAGCATCCAGCACGACAGCACCTCATGCCTTCCTGCATTGAAAAGAAAACTTTTTCTCGGGTACAGCCATATTTGTTCTTTACAATAATACCACATGGTTCGATCAAGCTAAGTACAGATAAGCTTGTAATTTTTCTACTCTGCAATTTGATTTTTTTTAATTCAGGTTTGAGTCACCTTCAGCTCTAATTTCCAAACTTTCTGCTGCATCTTAATACACAACAATAAAAAAAAAAAAAACCACTAGCAGAGTGCAGCCTTCTTTGTAGCTTTCTGATTGTTTTTGGGGTTTCCCAGTTGAGAAGAAAGCAAAGCATACATTGTTTTGTCCTGACCATAACAAAGCCAAGCCTGTTTCAGAAAAGATCCAAGTTAGAAGTACTGAAAACTGAGCGAGTCCTTTGATGAAGATTCTCTGAAGAATCTACAATAAGGTCAAAACATGTTCAGGTCATGGAGGAGCGACAAGAAAAAGATCAAAGCTACATTCAAACTGCAATTTCAGGCAACTCAGGTACCAATCAAACAGATTTCTTGTTACTGATTCCAAATGGGTTTTTTTTTTCCTTGGAATCAATAATTGCTTTTTGAGTGTATGATAAAGTTTGTAATGTAAGTAATGTGATTCGCTCAATTCAGATTACTAACAAGATTCTTACCTTATTTTGCATCTCCATTTCAGGTGCCACAGCTAAAGAAACCTGCCTTGATAATATCTTTGGTGCCAGAGGATGTTGGAAAGACAACGTTCAAACTAGAGAAAGCTGCAGTTCAGGATGGAATCTGTTCGTGGGACAATCCAGTTTATGTAACAGTGAAACTTATCAAGGAGCCAAAATTAGGAAAGCTGCATGAGAAAATATACCATTTCATTGTTTCAAGCGTACGTTATAGTCACATTTCAAATCTATATTGATTTTCTAAGGTATAGTGTTTTGTGTGTGTTTGCTAATTCCTATGAATTCTTGCAGGGGTCATCCAAATCAGGTTATCTGGGAGAAGCTTCAATTGACTTCGCTGATTTTGCTGATGAAACTGAACCATTGACTGTCTCCCTGCCCCTTAAATTTGCCAATTCTGGTGCAGTTCTACATGTTAGTTCTCTCTCTCTCTCTATCTCTCTCTCACACACACACACACACACACACACGCACGCACAGACAAGCACACTCTTTTAATTCTCTTGAATCGACTCTTTCGCTATGTTTGATTTACTCCTAAAGCAATGCCTATTTTCAATACGTAAATAAGACTATAGAAAACTTCCATTGTTCCTCATATATCAAGAATTTTGAAACAGGCGACTATACAGAAGATGCAGGGAGATGTTGATCCAAGGTGAACACAAGCATTAACAATACATTTGTGCATTTATTTCTCCTTTTTACTTCCATTTTACTTTCTAATTTAAATTTCTCCTATCTCCTCTGCTACTAATTTACTAACTGGACTTTGTAATCTCAGAAAAATAGAAGACAATGAAGGTCCTACACTTTCTCAAGACAGAAGATTGGTGAACCAGCTGAGCAATGGCCGTACAGATGAAAATAATGGAGGTTTTACTGAAGTAAGGTCTAAAATTATCGATTTTGCTATTCTGTAGTTAATAGAGTCCAGGAAGGCTGAACTGAAGAAGTTCCTTTTGTTAAATCTTAGAGATAGATGGACTGTTATTCAAGGTTGTAACTGAACTATTCCTTGATAATGTCACAGGACAGGGACTTGGATATGCTTTTAGCACAGAATTCTGAACAAGACAGCAGTTTCAGATCATCTAATGGTGGTAATTCTAGCTTCAAATCGATTCTTAGACAAGACTCGATGCCTCCGAAGGGAGCAATTAATGGCATCACAACAAAAAACCTCTTGCATCGTAGAACAAGCACAGATTGGTCAATGGGTTCAGTGTCAGATGGAAGTTTAGTCGTCACAAACAGCCCTGAAGAGAGCCTTCCAAGAGAATTACAAGAAGCCTCAGATGACAATGTTGAAAAACTCAAAAGTGAATTATCTAGTCTAATGAGGCAGTCAGAATTATCAGAACTGGAATTACAGACTCTTCGGAGACAGATTACAAAGGAGAGCAGAAGGGGGCAGGATTTATCAAGACAAGTTAAGGAACTTGAAGAGGAAAGAGATGCACTCAAAACAGAATGTGAGCAACTCAAGTCCTCAAAAAAAAGTGCTGATGGAGGAGAATCCCTGAATCAATTGCGAGCTGAGTATGAGGATTCTAGGGTTCAGCTAGAAGAAGTCAGGCGAGAGCTTAGTCACCAAAAGGATTTGAACACCAATCTTAAGTTGCAACTACAGAAAACACAAGATTCAAATTCTGAGTTAATTCTTGCTGTGGGAGACCTTGATGAAATGCTGGAGCAAAATAATATGGAAATATCTTCTCTGTCCAGCAAGCTAGATGAGGTTCAGAAGAAAAATTGCAAACGCAGCATGAAAGAAGACACAGACCAAGAAGCAGTGCATGCACTGGAAGAAAAGGCTGGGGAAGAAAATGAATTATGTCTACTGAATCAAAGGGTCACAGACCTATCTGATGAGATAGAGGTCTACAGGGAAACTAGAGAAAAGATGGAGAATTATATCGAACAACTCACACAAGACTATGAGGATCTAAAGCAGGAAAACCATGATATCTCTTCCAAATTAGAGCGGAGCAAGCTACAAGAACAGAAATCCTCAGAATCTTTGGCTTACATTAAAGAACTTGAATCGCAGGTACAAAGATTAGAGGAAAAACTGAAGATGCAGACAGAAGAATTTTCAGAATCTTTGGTTTCCATCAATGAACTGGAAATTCAGGTCAAAGGGTTGGAGAAAGAACTGGAAAAACAGGCACAAGGATTTGAAAATGAACTCAATGCCACGACAAATGCCAGAATTGAGCAGGAACAGAGGGCTATCCATGCAGAAGAGGCCTTGAGGAAGACAAGGTGGAAAAATGCTGTCACAGCAGAGCGGCTACAAGAGGAATTCAGAAAACTTTCTGTGGATATGGCACGCAAGTTTGATGAGAATGAGAAGCTGACAATGAAATCAGTATCAGAAGCTGATGAACTCAAAGTACAGAACAGAATTCTAGAAGAGAATCTTCAGAAAGCTAAGGAAGAGCTTGCACTGATGATGGACCGGAACGGAGTAAAAATTGAAGAACTATCGATGCAACTAGATTTGAAAATGAAACATATAGAGCGGATGTCAGAGGAACTAGAGGATGCTTCCAACCAACTGAAGCGGGGAGGAGAAATGCAAGTGGCTTTCCTAGAGGAAATTCAAATGCTGAAAAACGAGATAGAGACGCTCAGAAAAGAGAAGAATGACGTCTCCAAACAGGAAATGGTGAACTTAAGAGATGAAACAGAGAATTCGAAGACATCTTCAAAAGAAACAAAGATACTGACGGAAAGATGGAAAAGAGAGAGGGAAGAAATAGAGGAAACATTTGCATTGACAAAGAAGGAAGCAGAAAACACAAGGAAGGAATTATTCAATTTGAAGTTTTCAAAGGATGAAAAAGAGGCAATGGTCAAGAACCTTTCCTTGGAACTTCAAAGCCTCAGAGATCAGCAGATTGAGTTAAAACATAGCCTGTCAGAAGAAGAATGTGAGAAAGAAAAACTCCAGCAACAAGTAATCAAATTAAAGGGTGAGCTGGAAAAGAAGGAACAGGAAAATACTAGTATCACAAAGAAGCTCGCTTTTTCAGATGAAAAGAACTTGACTCCAATGGACAAGGAAATGCAGATGAAATGTGCTGCAACTGCTAATGCAAATGCCAACAACTCTGAAAAAAGAAATACAGGGGAAAACATGCTGAATTCTGAGATATACACTACCAGAAGCAAGGCTATTGAAAGGTACAATTTCAAGTTCTTGTTTACGTTCTGATTACTGTGCCTTATCATTTATCTACCGCCTTTGTTTTTTGTGTAATTAATTTCCAACACTGAGGTAAATCTAAGCACCTCATTGTGCATCAGATATGTTTTATTTTATGATCATAAGTCCCATCACTGAAATTGGTTTCGTTCTTCAATGTTGTTTTGACAGAAAAACAAGAACTTGCTCAAAGGAAGAACTGAGAGTAGGCACTTTCCACCCAACGGATGAGGGTATCCAAACTGAACTGTTGATGGAAATGGCACAGCTAAAAGAAAGGAACAAATGTATGGAAATAGAGTTAAAAGAAATGGAAGAGAGATATTCAGAGATAAGCCTCAAATTTGCAGAAGTAGAAGGTGAAAGGCAACAGCTTGTCATGACAGTTCGCAACCTCAAGAATGGTAAGAAGAGCTAGCATTCTAGCTCTTTTTAAGATATAGGATGTGGGACAGAAATGAAGCTTGGGTGAAGCAGTTGCTAAAGCAAGCCTCTGACGAGCAAGATTGTTGCTTGTCTATTCATTATGCACATTGTAATTGGAAGTTGAGCTAGAGATGCTCGAGAAGCAGGACTGAAGTTCAGAAAGGAATAGTAAAAATATAGTAATTACACACTCCTTTTCTTTATGCAGATTTTGTTTACTCCGTATCTGTGATGTTCATGTAGGCTATATAGTTAAAGTATTAATGCCTAACGTGAAAGATGGTTATGTTGCAGAAATGAAAAGCATTGAAGTGAGATATATAAATAGAGATTCCAAATTTCAGACATCACTGTCTAGAATTTTAAGTTAAACAATCCGTTCATACCTTCACATTAGTGCTGCACAACACTGAATGTGTGTTCTATAAATCCAATTATACACTAAGACTCTTGGTTTTGTGAATTTGTCAACCCCTGGTGTATGATACAACCATGGATGGAATAATAATATCTATGTTGATTGCGTTAAAAGAAAATTTACCTGTCATAGCTATGCTCATTAAGTAAATAATGGTGTTGTTGCAGATTGCAGGGGTTAACATATTGCAATATTATAGAATGCACAGGAAAGGATGGCATAGTCACATGATTTAAAAGAAAAGCATAGCATTGGTACAAATGTTTAAGAACCAAACTTTAGCTTTATCAACATAATCCCAAACATCTATACCTTTCAGAACAATCCCTTCAATTTCTCCTGAACTTTTTTCTCAGACAGTGGGCACTTCCTTCACTCCAGACCAGCCTAGTTTGGCTTCCAATATCATCCATTTCAAAAGATAAGGTCTGCATTTGATGAAGCGTCTTATTATGATGAAAATTTAATGCAACAAAATGTCACATGCAAAAGGGTTCCCATATCATACCTGTTTTGATCTCTTGTCACTGGGTGTCCATGTTGGAATTAGGGAGGCTAATGTTTTCTTCTGGGTTGAACTCGAAAGTTGTATAGGTTGTTTCTGCTTCTTCTGCTCATGTACTTTTCTAGGAGTGCTTCCTCCTTGGTACTTGAAAAAATCAAGAATAGATGGACTTCTTCTCTTAGTAGCCTTTGATATATTTCCTGAGTACACAAAATCTGGAGTAGATGTACCATGTGGAAGGGACTGCTGTCGCAATCTACTCTTTTCCCTGATTCTGTTAAGGAACTCTACTGTCCAGGGAGAACCTGGCTGTGGACGGCCAGAATCAATTGCTTTGGAAAGTGGTGTTCCACTTCCACTGCAATGTGATATCTCCTCTCTAAATGGAAACCTAGTGGAATTTCTTGCATCTCTCTGTGTGAAAGCCTCCTCTAAGAGGTGTTTCCTGGGCTTTACAGGCACCTTTTCATGCTTATCATCCATATTAGGATGACCACGATTTTGTGGTGAACTTCGTCTGTCATTTATTATAGAGGTCCATAAATCTGAATTAAAGTTTATCTCAGTAGCCGTTGGATTATTAGGGTGACTATTCTTACCAAATGACAATCTTCTTGCAGCTTTCGACTTCCTTGCAGAATCTTGTTCGCTTTCAGGCATCCAGGGTGAGAAATATGTAGAGTTAGCAATAGAAGCAACGTCGTTCTTCAATGATACAGGATCATCAGTGAGGTCTTTGACTTCACCTTTAAAGTATTCATGCAGGTTGTTAGAGTTGGATTTATTGGGGTTAACCCAGTCCAACTTCAACTCGTTCTTAATATTTATTTCTGATACCCGGTTTTGAGCCACCAATTTATCCTTCACAGTTAACCTGGGCTGTCTTATTTCATCCCAAATCAGAGGATCTTTGGAGTTTCCAGAATCAAGTGGCTTCATGGCAGTTGGAAAATCCATCACCTGAGCAATATCCGATACCTGTTTTTGACCAAACAAATCTTTCAAAGACGAACTAGGCTCTTTCAACTTATCAAGTATCTCAGAATCTGTTGACGTCCAACGATCATATTGGTTAAATACTTCAGGACCCGGCATACCATCAGTAAACTGGTCTAACTGTTCAGACTGCCATATGTCATCCACATGCATGTCATTTTTTTGAGGGCTGTTTGTGCATTTTCTTCGTTTCCTTTCAGAATCAATATGAAGATGACATTTATCTGAGTCAGGACAAGTAGATGCAGAAGAGGAGCAGTCTGTCATTATAGATTTAGAATCCTCCCGCTCACCATATTTGCACAAAGCACTAAACAGAGCAATGCTTTCAACAGGAACCTGATACCGTTGGAGTGCTAGGATCCTGCACTCATTTGACCATTCAAGAAACTCAATAAGCATGCCTCCAGAAGACAGTATTGCATGTGCTGTTAGTGGATTGATTGAAGGAAATTTGGTAAGGAATGATTCTGCAAGAGTTTCTGATTCAGGCATTTTAGGATATATGCCCGTGGAAGGCTTAGTGGCATTCAAAATACTGCTTAATATAATTTCATTAGTCAACTCAGCTGAATAGGAGGAAAATAGCTGTAAGTCAATTCCCAGGCTTGCTGCTGCTGCATAGAGTCCATCAGAGGATTCCATTACAGTGGAGAGGAAGTTAATTTCCCCCTCAAAGACCTGCAGAAAATGTAACATGAAAGGTAAGAAGCAAAGTTCCATAATAGCAATGGAGAGGTAATTGAGAAGAATATCCTGAAGAAAACCTTCATATATCAGTCAAATGTATTACTGGCGGTCTAAAATATTAATACAAGCACAATATAGTTAAAATACCTAAGGATTCAAATCATAGCAGAAGTCCCTTTCAAGAAAAAATAAAAATTACATAACATACGCACATAATTAATGTAAAAAAAGTAATATCTGATGAAGCTAATCTATCGAAATGATCATGAATTTAATATTGACCGGTAAGATTTCAGTAAATATGAATATGCTTGAGAAAACTCTTTTGCAGAGTTCCTGTTAGACATTTAAGTGCTATGCCTTTAGCTAATGCTTACTACTGCTTGGAAGAAGAACTTGCACATGCAGTAGTTCATCAATTCAACAATTATAAGATAGACCTGTCCAGCATGGTGTGAATTCAACCCAGAGCGTTTCCAATCATAAAGCATAATGGATTGGTGCTTCACCATATTCCAAGAACTCCAGAGAAAATGCACAATTTTCATTCTTCTAAAGACTGGACTACTATCCATAGAACTGGTGGAGAAAGAATTCGAAGGACAATATGTAAAGTATAGCATCATAATATACGGGAACTACCAGAATGCAGCCACTGAAAGCGAAACTCAGCAATGTCAAAACATTTGTAGCAATATTATCAATGCAAAGAGGCAAGCATGAAGAAGCTTCATCTGCAGCAGTTGCTTTCTTTCCAATATTTCCACAATCATACCACACTAAGCAAATGGAAGGACTAATAATAACATCCACAGGCAGGTTTAAGTCACGCTCCACAACTTGTGCTCCTTCTTTCTCCATTGCAAGAATTCTTTGGTATGTACATCTTCTGGATACTATCATTTCCTTGTCAAAATTTTGAGTATTCACAATAATGACGATGTCAGGGAAAGACACCATGTCCCCCTGAGTCTTCTCAGCTTTCATTGCATAGGGTGCATATGGAACTTGGACAGGCATGCAGCAAGCTTCAGCTTTATCTGCAGCTTTTGAAGACATCATATCATACTTGTCCTCCATAGGTACAAAATTCAGCAGTTCCTCCAATTTCTGGTCAATGATTTTCTCATTCGGACCAGGAACTGAATGAGAGTTGCCTTCCTAGGATAATGGTAATGCTAGGTTAGTAACATTTAGTTGTACAATTATGTTTGCAGAATTAGTGAACATTGTAATTGAAAATATAGTTCACAGAAACATCGTTAGGCAAAGAAAGCAGTTTATGGGAGGAGATAAACCTCAGTAGCGTGTCAGTATGATGAATTGAGAAGCTATATACGAAAATTGTCATAAATTATCTTATATTTACCTTCATTATATTCATGTTCAAGGAAAAAACTGTTACTACAATGAGCAAAAAAAAAAAAAAGAAAAAAAAAGGAACCTCTCCATACAGTAAGGACTGGCACCAAGCCCAGACCAGTTTAACTCATTTAAGAAATTTACCTTGGGAAACGAAGCCCTGGTATCAGATACCTTGACTGTAGATTCACTTTTTCCCCTGGCAGTAGCTTTCCCAGGATTCAAGAAGTAATCAAGATCATTGAATTGCGACATAGATTTGAACAACAATGAAGCCTTCCCGGCATTTTCTCCAGTTAATGTTTCTCTATTTCCTGGGTTTTGACCTCTATCATCCAAAGACTTACTTGAAGCACCTTCCACAAGTCGACTGTTGGAAGTTTCAGAAATCACTTTCAACAATTCCTTTTGTTCTTCCATTTGTTGCCCACTCAAATCATCATCAGAGAAAACAAGGTCAATTACCAACTTTATACCATCAAAGGATTCCCAATCCAAATCAATGCTGTGTGAATCCAAGTCCTCCAACATGTTTTGATAGAGGGATGAAATTTTACAGCTGTAGTTATTTTCCTCCAAGATATGCCAATCCAAATAAATCCCATGGGACGCAGATAGAGGTTGTGGCTTGATTTCAGCTAGTTTTTCCTCCACAATGGCATAGATTGACCTTATCTTGTCATGGTCTGAAATAATAGGTATCGGCAATGATTTAAATGTGTCATCTTCTAGTGTTAGTTCACAACTAACAATCAATTCATTAAAGTTCTTAAAGTTCATATCTTCTCTGAACATCGAGTCACATGTTTGTGGTTCATCTGTTGTTTGCATCTCAAAGAAGACTTCATACAGTTGAGATGAATCCATATTAAGGAATTTGAATTCCTGAAAAACAACTGGGCTTGTTGGCGAAAAACAATCTGCAGAATCTCCATGAGTCTGCAAAATTTCCACCATGCTTATAATGTCCATTCCCAGGAAAGTATCCAGGGATGCCAGCTCAAGTTCAAGGCATGGCTTTGATAGACAATGGTTTGTGAGAAATTCTGAAGTATCAAACTGTATAGAAGCCAATAGCTCCTTCCCATCAACATGCAGGTTACCTTCTTGAGTCCATTTGGATTCAACATGCTCAAGAAATAAAAGAAACTCATCTTCCATGGGCGGGTTTGTGAAAGTTCTGAGACTCATCTCTTCAACTTCTAAAAGAGGAAATGTGTTATGATAAAAGTGTGCTTGCTCTTGAACAGAACCATCATATTCCAATGCACAAGCCTTTTCATCCATGTCAAACAATAAAGTGACATCTTCAACTGAATAAACTGATTCTTGAACCTTGTACGGATATTGAATTTCAATCTCAGGCCTAAGCAGATCCTACAAGTGAAAAAAAAAAAAAAAAAAACAAAAAAGAAAGAAAGACAACTTAAACCATATGATGATTTATGATTGTCATAATCATAAGCATCTAAGAAAACCAGTTAAAAACATCAAGACCAGCAAACTTTGAAAATTTTTTTTGTCTAAACATCTGATTATGAGAGGAAGTAATGCTAAGCATAATTATTACAGTACACGAAACTATATAAAAATTGTAACTAACTTCCAAAAATCATGTGAATGAACTCATTATTGTTTGCTTATTTCCTTCTGACAAAACAAAGAGATAGTTGTAAATGAGTGAAGAAAGAGTCTGCAAGCAGTACCTTTTTTTTTTTTTTTCATATATCCATGATTGTAATACACCATTTTCCAGAATGAATCAGGTATGAGCAATAACAAAGACCAACACCAGATGAATTTGAACTTCTAGTCGTGATAAAATGCTTCTTTAATTTCCCAATCTAATCTTTTAAACCAAATAATATACTCATCCATTCCCAAAAACATAAGGAAAATAACACGAAAAAGTCAAAATAATATTTTAAGACCTGGAATTAGCCCGAAGATATGAGAATCTCAATGCCCAGGTCACTTATCCTTCTATCACTTCACATAACAAAAGTGGTTCTAACTTCTAAGGAGACTAGATCAAAATCACATGCAAGTACATTATACAAAGACTATCAGTTATATACCATGCCTCAGACACTTACCAAATCATTCTCAATCTCTGGGATTTCAGAGAGAATTTGCATCCCCTCCTCAGAAAAGCACACATTCTCCTGCAAAATCACACAAAACACAGGGCATAAACACAAAATTCTCGCACACATGCACAACCAAAGGGTATCGATACCCATTATGCATTATTCTACACTTCAGAAGTACCAAGAATGTATCAAGCTCGGGTTCTTCAAATTGTATAGCTTCGAGCCTTTCCGAATGTTTATCATTCCCACTATCTGTCTGCCATAACAAATGAGCTTTATACATTACACGAATCAATCCAAATAAAAAATGAAGTTTAAGAAAAACAGTTTACAAAACATCCACTTTCACTTGTTTTGAAATTCAACCTGTTGAGCTTCAGTTGTGAAACCTCTCTCGCTCTCCTCTTTCTTCTGCTTGTAAAGATCCTTCTCGGCTTCCTTCTGCAAATTGAACATAAATAGTGAATTTCACATTAAGTAAATCCATCTAAACTCACCGTTTCACTTTTAAATCATGTAAAAAAAAAAAAATCAGAACAAAATCAACCCAATTAAACAGAATCGGTTATTAAAAAAAAAGAAGCTGTTAACTAAAAACATTAATAATTTAATTATCTTTCATTTTCAACTCTAATATATATATATATAATTTGATCAAAGCATATAAACAAAATGTCATTAAGCAAATAAAATAAAATAAAACTCAATAATTTTTCTAAAAAATATGATGTAAAATATAAAGGCTCTAATTCGATAACAATATCCGCCGAATTTGAAAACTATCAACTAAATTAAGAAGAACGCATAATCGTCACAAACCAAACACCAAAACAGAAAATCAAAAAATAAATTATAAAATTAAACACTTCAATATTTGATATTTGACCTGATGAGCTCGATTAGGTTCGAAATCACGAAGATCAAAATCGATGAACTCAGGAATGGCATCGGCGATGAATTTGGAGAGAGCGGAATCGATAGGAGGTCTTTCGATCGGGAGAGAGATGGTTTCGAGAGGATGAAAGCGGAGGAGATGCTGTTCTTGTTGCGAAGAAGGAGGAGGTGGAGGTAAGTGAGGGACTGGAAGATTTAGGAAGCTTAGGGTTTCGATCGGAGAAGTACCGAAGTAGTCTGTGTTTAGAAATCGAGTTCGCATTTTGCTGATCGAGCAAGAGAGGAAGGGACGGAGCTAGGGAGAGTGAAGTGTAACGGACGAGTACTTGATTTTATAAATTGAAAATTGAAATTCAAAATTGGCGCCTCTAGATTTTATGGGCTTAGCTTAACCATCCTAATAGTATACAGTAAGGCCCATCAGGATTATACATAGCATGCATTAGCCCAAAACGAGCCCAGTCTGAGTTCTACAGTTTTTTTTTTTTCGAAAATGCTGAGCTCTAGGAAATTTAAAAAATCGACTTGGAATTTTACACAGACCCCAGATATTATTGGATAACACTACGTACGTGTAGTCTTTCTTGTTCTTTGTCAATACAATTTGACGATAAATGACCCTTTTGATTTTGAGAAATTTTTGTTTGGTAAAGATTATCCACTCTCATCAACGTCTTCGGCATTGCCACCGCGTGTACAGGCAGCTATAAATGCGTGTCAGGAAATGGAGATGTCTTGATTGTTTTATACGTGTCAATCCCCCTTCAAGCCACCTCCATGCAAATGTGGAAACAGCAAGGCAACGTTTCTGTCTTGTCCCTCTATAAAGTATTCAATTTCTTCTGCGTGTATGGTTATCTTTTTCTGTCGAGGAAGTAACTGACTGGTGGAAACTTGTTTTTGGTGTAATCTTTGGCAATTTAGTTACTGAATTCGGTATGGAGTCACAAGTGGCACGCCCACATGGTGTTCATCAATATGAGCATGATCCCAACAATGCTGGATTACATCCTGGTAAGAACAATTAACCTTAGTTGATTAGTTTCCTTCGTTCTTGTTGTAGTGTGGTTTATGTTTTTGTTAATGTTTGTGGACTGTGAAATGCTTTTGGTTTAATTAGAGGTAGAGGGTGAAGATGAGCAGCACCATGAGAAGAAGTCAGTGTTGAAGAAGGTTAAGGATAAAGCCAAGAAATTGAAGGACAAAGTCAAATTACATGGTCATGGCCATGACGAGCATCATGAAGGTCATGTGCCTGGCGATCATGACTTGTATGAGGAAGATGATGAGGATGAGGATGAAGAAATGGTCGAGGACCCAGAAATTCATGGAGCCTCAGGTATTCTTACTTGCTTCAATGTCTGTATTGGTTAACAATTGGTATTGGCCTTGCTTGAGGAAAAAAAGGTTCAGATTTGAGTGTGATGGAATTGTTTGGATTTTTTTATGGCTTTGACTGTGAATTGTATCTGCAGCCTATGATTCTGGTGCTATTAGAAGCTCTGTTCAGGGACAAGGGGGAAGGTTAGGTGACCCTAGGACGTATTATGGAAGTCCAACAACGAAGCAAGAGGAACATACAGGCACTGATCCGATGAAGAGCTTTCTTCCTGGGGAAGAGGAAGATGAATTAGGACCACCAAAGGTCCTTCCTGCTATAAAAGAACACCGTGAACCAGTTAATTTACCTGCTTCTATTTCTCCTGCAATTGTTGAACAAACTAGACATGCCGATCCTGTTGGAGGTGTTGTTCATGAACAAGAAAGGATTAGAGGGCAACATGGTTTGGAGGAGGATCCTCATGCCCCAAAGGCTGGACTTGGTGATCATGCTCCTTCCAATTATCAGATTAAAGTCACTGATCCAACTGGTTCTGGTAAGTTCTTTCCAATGTAGGTATGCATGCGATGCTTTTGGTATTGATGATTGGCCTAATTTTTGTCTTTCAAAGGGTCTGATTGTTGCATTTTGCAGGTGGGAAGGAAGCAGGAATAGCTAAAATTCTTCACTCTTTTGACAAAATGAATGTCTATGATGAATCAAAGCAAGGGGAAAAGCAGAACTTATCTACCGGACTGCGTGATGGTCAGCTCTCCATGCAAGAGGAACATACAGGCACTGATCCAATGAAGAGCTTTGTGCCTGGGGAAGAGGAAGATGAATTAGGACCACCAAAGGTCCTTCTTGGGAGGACTGCCGCTATAAAAGAAGTACCCCGTGCACCAGTTAATTCTCCTGCAATTGTTGAACAAACTAGACGTGCTGATCCTGTTAGAGGTGTTGTTCATGAACAAGAAAGGATTAGAGGGCAACCTGATATTAATTTGAATGTACCAGTAGGTTTGGAGGAGGATCCTCATGCCCCAAAGGCTGGACTTGATGGTCATGCTCCTTCCAATTATCAGACTAAAGTCACTGATCCAACTGGTTCTGGTAAGTTTTGTTCAATGTAGGTAGGCATGCAATGCTTTTGGTATCGATGAAAGGGTCTAATTATTGTATTTTGCAGGTGGGAAAGAGGCAGGAATAACTCCAATTCTTCACTCTTTTGACAGAATGAGTGTCTATGATGAATCAAAACAAGGAGAAAAGCAGAACTCATCTACCGGGCTGCGTGATGGTCAGTTCTCCATGCTTCCCACTGGAAGCCATGACCAATTTTCTGCAGAACCAACTCCCCCAATGCCCATTAGCACCCTAGAGAACCCCGAATCAGATTCAAAGTCTCTTGACGTCTTGAAAGATAAGGAGCATCCATGTAGTGACATTGCTGATAAACCATCAACTCAGAGTAGCTACACTGAGAAAATATCCTCGGCCACTTCTGCAATTGCCGATAAAGCAAAAGCTGCCACAGATGTCATAGCTTCCAAGCTTGGATATGGAGAGAGAGGCAATACTATCAAAGAACATGAAATGGCACATGAGGGACAAAATCCTTCGAAGCCAGCATCGTCAGTGGAATATGGGAAGAAAATCGCTGCAACCGTGACAGAGAAACTCACTCCAGTGTATGAAAAAGTTCATGATGTAGGCAGTACTGTAACGTCAAAAGTCCATGGCAATACTAACACTAGCACAAACACCAGCAATGAGGCAGACAGGAGGATTAAAGGGCAAGACAGAGGGTTGTCAGTGAAGAACTACTTCGCGGAGAAGTTAAGGCCTGGAGAAGAAGATAGGGCGCTTTCTGAAGTCATATCGGAGACTTTGAACAAAGGAAAGGGTGGGGCTAGGATGGGGAAGAAAGATAAGCCAATGGGGAAAGTGACAGAGTCAGAGGAGGTGAAGAGGAGGTTAGGTAGTGTAACAGAAGAGAATTCTGGTGGAAGAATGGATTCAGCTTCTGTGTATAATCCTGGCATGGCTGTGGTTGATAAACTTAAAGGTGCTGTTGGTTCTTTGTTTGTCAAAGGTGCAGAGTCTAGAGCATCTCAGCAGCATCCACTCAGTTCCTCCAATGCAGGTAAAAATTAAACACCATCTCAAACTTGGATTTCGAAGTTGAATTTTGCGGACACAATCTGAAAGATTAGTCCAGATTGTTTTTTTGGTGTTTCTGGGTTAGCAGATGTTGAAGGGCTTTCTTCTACTTATGCTAGTGGAGAAGAAATTGGAGGAAGGAGACTTCAGGAGTCGGGGAACTGAGGAGCATGCAATGTCTACTATTCCTACAAAAGATCGCCTGTTGTTCTTAACATAATTGGTTTCTTCTACTAATTATGAGAAGTTGTTTTCCTTTGATGTTTGTGTGTACGGAACTTTAATAAAATGGTAATGGCTCTGTATGATTGTGTGGACACTATGGAATTTTATGTAATTAACTTTCAAAGATCTTCAAAGTAACGTTAATGGTGTTTCTTAATCCCCTCGAATTTGTGGTTCTGTTTATTGAATGCTGCCTCTCCCAAACAGTTCCTCTATTTAAGCAATTTTCCCCCCACTGAAAAGGACACCATGTTTTCAACAAATAGCTTAGACCAAGGTGAATTCGTATGATTATTTGCTATGAAGTTAGAACCATTTTTTCTGTAATTCGGTGCTTTCTTTTCAAGGAATATTTCTCAATTTGATTGTATAGAGATTCAAGTTGGAAAGTTCTAATATTTTGGAGGTTTTGTTGAGAGTATTCTAGTGGTTTTTCATACTTTCCCCTTGAAGAGAATAGGTAACTTCAGATTTCTTTTCCTGTGTGAGAGAGAGTTGTTCCAAAGAACATTTCGTCGGCAGGTCGGGGGTTTTTTTTCAAGATTACTAGGATTAATGGTCGGAGAGTTTAATGATGTTATAAGACGAGATGAACTTGGATTACAAAGAACTTGCAGGATTTCGAGGACTTCCTGTCTGCACCAGTTACATACAAGGTTTTGCCATGGAATTTTGGGATTGTCAAGATCTGTCTAATCGGTATTAATCATGACGTTATAGTGGCATTTAAACAATAATTTATCGTCGATCATTTTTCAAGTTGATTTCGGAGACTACTAATAACAATGACATGATCTCTCTTCTATACAACTTGTTGTAGCCATTGGCTAAATAGAAGTTCTGTAAATCAAATAGGTTAAGGATTCTGCTCTTTCAATTCTTATTATAATTATTTATCATCATTTGTAATTCTAAACAATCACATCATAGTCTAATTAAATTTACAACCTGTTTTATATACTAACTTAGTTGTTGGAGAGTTTTCCAACCATTTTTTTTCCGATTTGAAGCATCATAAAAAGAATCGTTCTGGTTAATCGAAAGAGAGGAGAGCGAGATAGAGGAGGGAGAGGGAGAGGGAGGAGAAAAAATAAAATTATTTTTTTATTTTTTCCACTTAGCAAAAAAACATTAACGTGTCATGCCAAGTGAATAAATGTGAATTCCTTTATTTCAGCAGTCCGTTTTGATAAAAAAAATTAGTCAAAAAATAATCAAAAGGATCATATTAAAATAAATTAAAGAGTACAAAGAGAGGATGAATAAAAAAAAATACAAAAACTGCATTAAGAAAATATAAAAAATAGAAAAACGTTTGATGTAATTAAACTCATCATGAGATCCATGGCTATTCTTTATCTTTCTTTTGTCATGCTATGAGATGAGAATTGGGATCCGCCATTAGCAACTGAATTGGTGTGTTTAGGCCTTCAAAATCTTGCTAGGCAAGGGTTTAAAAGATGGGTAAATTTTTTATTGCTTTAAAAGAACAGGATGTCTAACATCCAGCCAATGCCTACTCCATGACCGAGTGTTTGCAACATGGAAATATTCATCATCATTTCTTTCTTGTCAACTAGCTTGCTTAATGACGTACCAGCCCACTAAATATATAATTACGAGCCTAACAAGACAAAAACAGATTCTGTTCTTTCATTTTTTTATTTTCCTTTTTCCTTAATACTCAAAATGGCTCTGATTTTAGTGCCATAAATTTCGTTTTTTAGGTCAGGTTCTTGCTGATTCATGGATCCAGCAAAGGGTCTCTTAGATCTTATGGTGCAATAATTGTTACGTGCTTTTCTTTGTCTTTGTTTTCTTCTTCTTTTAGGTCTTCAAATTCAAAGCTTTTTGCCATTCTGTTGGTGGATTGTGAGCTTAATTTCTTTGGTCAAAAAATCAAATTAATCTAAGAAAGTAAAATCTTGGTTTTACCCTAAGGCCGCTGGTAACGACCTCTCAAGCCCTTGAATTGCATGCTCGTCAAAATCTGAAGGAATATTTTATTGAATATATATATTTTCGTGTTAATCGAAATTAAATTCTTCATTTCTTAAGTTAGGATAATGGCACTGCACATTTAGTTTTTAATAGACTACTATACTGCCTTTTAGACAAAACCTATCTAAAAATATGGTAAAAATTATGTCTATTAACGAGTGGCATCTATTTACAAAAAATTAGTCAAGAGCTACAAAAGAGTAATCATATAATTGTAAATAATGAACATGTACATTTATTAGAAAATGATATGTACTGTCCATATAAGTGAATATCTGATTAATAAAAATTAAATTAATTAAAGATTTTGTTCGTTATGAATTTAAAAACTCTTATTGAATTATTAGTAATAATCATTCGTGATTTTCAGCTTAACGAACACCTAAACAATTTATGGAATTTATCGAGGCTCACAAAAAACACCATTAAAAAGAAAACAACGTGATTATCACCACTAATGGTTATGAAAGTAGCTGATCAGCCTAACTCATCATATGTTCATCTACATAAATTATACAGATTATGTATTAATCGAAATAGAGGGTAGAGAGAGAGAGGAAAAGGAAGACGAAAAAAATAAAATGACGTGTCATTTTATCTCAACTGTCCGTTTTGATCAAAAAATTAATTGAAAAACAATCGAAAGGATTACATTAAGAAATATTAAAAAGTATGTAGAGAAGAATAAAAAAATATAAAAAACGTATTAAGAAAATGTTAAGAATAGAGGAAAGTTTGATGCTATTAAAACCATCCTCATATCCATGGCCTCTTACTTAGTTTTTTTGTCATGCTATGAGATGAGGATTGGAATCCGGCATTAGCAACTGAATTGGTGTGTTGAGGCATTCAAAATCCTGCTAGGCGAGGGTTTAAAAGATGGGTAAATTTTTCATGCTTTCTAAGAACTGAATTGGTGTGTTTGTAACGTGAAAATATTCATCACCATTTCTTTTGTTTTTTTTTTAATAACTTAAAGTGTCCGGGTCGGTTTGCGTGTATTATGACTAATCTGTGAATACACTAAACACTCTGCAAGTCTAATAAATAGGTAAGACATTACGGAGGTGACAAACATACGTAAAAAGAGTCAAACTCAAGTTATCATTAGGCAAGTCCTCAACCGCTAGGCTATGACCTCAAGACCATTCACTGCCATTTCTTTCTTGTCAACTAGCGTGCTTAATGACGTACCAGCCCACTAAATATATAATTAAGGAGCGTAACAAGACAAAAACAGATTCTGTTCTTTCTTCTTCTTTTTTTCTTTTTTTTTTCTCTTTTTCTTTAATACTCAAAATGGCTCTAATTTTGGTGCCATAAATTTCATCTTTTAGGTCAGGTGCTTGCTGATTCATGGATCCAGCAAGGGGTCTCTTGGATCTCATGGTGCAATAATTGTTACATGCTTTTCTTCATCTTTGTTTTCTTCTTCTTTTAGGTCTTCATACTTATTGTGAGCATAATTTACTTGGCCAAAAAATCAAATTCATATAGAAAGTAAAATCTTGCTTTTACCGTAAGGCCGCTGGTAACGACCATTCAAACCCTTGAATCGAATGCTTGTCAAAATCTGAAGGAATAGTTTCTCTTGTTTAACATATATAAGTCACCATTAAAAAGAAAACAACGTGATTATCACCGCTATTGGTTGTGCAAGTACATGATCTGCCAAACTCATCATCTGTTCATCTACATAAATTATACAGATTGTGTATTAATCAATATCGATTATGTATTGATATACATCGATAGGTTTTGGAGTTCATATAATGATACGAGTGTGACGAAGTTAAAAAAAATTATCAGTCTAATTCTAAAATTTTTGTGCTTAGTTAAACTTCAAACGGATCAATAAACAAAACTCATAGTTATGCTTATGATGTATAGGTGATTTTGGTTTTTTTTAAAAAAATAATACTTGTTTAAGCCATCAAAATTGATTTTTACTATTTTTTAAATTTTTTTCTTATTTTCAGATTCTTTATATTTGTTTTCTTTATGAATTGTTTTTAAGGTTTTGATCGAATTTTTCTACCTATGTGCAATTTGAAGACCGAAAAACGTAACTTTATGAAAGTAATAAAAATTTATTAAAAAATACCTTAAGTTTATCTTAATTTTTAATAATTTTTTATTAATAAAATTAAAATTTATTTTTTGATATTTATACATAATTTATCGTATTATAATAGATGGCTAGTTAAATTTTAGATCAACGTATTTATCTCTTTTAACAGCTTCAGTTATGTCATGTATTAAATCATATTATTCTTCAGATCGGTGATGTGGGTCTAATTTGATGCTTGTATCTGTATCAATGTCACTTTCTGACATGATCTGTCTCCCTCGTAATCTTCGAAAGAAAGAATGATGAATTAATTCTCTACCGTTTTTATGACCTTTTGAACAAGACGATGGATTTCGCCTGTCATTTTGCTAATTTTTTCCTGGTGAAGGAATCTAAATGGGGCAGGAGGCAGTGCAGAATGTACTTTGGATGGACACTGGACAATACCCTTAACGCTTTAACTAATAGGAAGAGGAAACTCGTTAGTCCCAACTTTGTCTTCAATTGGACGAAACCAGCGGTTTTCTAAATGACATTTAGAAAATGGGGTTGATGTGGTTGAATGATTTCGTTATAATTTTTTAATATATCATTATATTTTTAATTGAATTAATTTTATTTTTAAATATGTATTAAATTATTTATTTATTTTTTAATTTTTGAGTTAAATAGCTGAAATTAATGGCATAATTTATAAATAAAAACTTTTTATTTGTCTAGATTGTTAAAATATTTTTAAAATAAAAAATTACTATATAAAAATCACATGACTAATTACTGACAAAACCAGCCATTTCCTCGATGACATCCTTAACCGATTTGCATAAATTACATTTAGAAGATGGGGTTAAGGTGGATGAATAAGTTAAGTGATAATTCTTCCATTATTATATTTTTAAATATATATTAAATTTTAATTTTATTTATTTATTAGACTTTTGAGTTAAATAACTAAAATTAATGGCATAATTTGTAAATAAAACCCTTCTGATTTGTAGTAAAAATATTTTAAAAATAAAACATTACCATATACAAATCACATGGTTAATTTCGGTTATTTTGCATGAAATTCTTATTGACTTAACTAATTTCTGTTAAAATTTTAATTAGAGATATGATGATAAATTAAAAAAAAATAGAGATATATTGGTAATAATCCCTAAAAGATGCCTAAATTACTAAATTACATTAACTAATCATCTGATATGGAAGGAAAGTCAAAAAGGCCAAAATATACAGGGAAGACCTTTCTGCTTGGCTGCTACCCATTTGTTTTTTTTTTTTTTTTTTTTTTTGAACGTTTTCTTGAAGAAATTGAATGCTACCTACTGTAACACGCAAAGTTATAGAAATGGAAGAGATTAAAGCAGAGAAAAAACAATTTCCTTCTGCAATTCAAGAACACAAACCTGTACCTTTCGCACATGGTTCTTCAATAAATATGAATCCTTGAAGGTTCTTTTTCATAGGGGCAAAGCTTCTCTGAAAAAAGTTCTTATTTTTACAACATGTATTTAGCTCTGTATAGAACAAGTAAAGCTTACAAGGGGAGAAAAGAAGAAAGGAGGAGGAGGAAGAAGAAGAAGAAAGGGAGTGAATTCTTGGTTTAATTAATTACTTTTTCTCCTCTTTATTTGCTTCCTTCTTTCCTTCTTTGTTTTCCTCTTTTTTTCTTCTTTCTTTGGTTCTTTCTTCTCTTCTTTTGCAGGTCCAACTGAAACTATGTCCACTTTCCCTACTTTCTTCAGCTTTTTCAACACTGCCACTGCATCCATCTGACCTATCACTGTTAGCTTCTGATCTTTTAGATCTGCTGCTATGGAATCAACTCCTGTTTAAGGCAAAAAAAAAAAAAAAAAAAAGAACAATAACTTACTAATAAAACCTTCTTAGTATTTGCTTTAATCTGTCTCATCAACTCCACAAAATAAACACAGAGAAAGAAATACCATAAATATCAGCAGCAGCTTCTATTGCTTTCTGCTTTGTTTTATCATCAGTCATCGTCAGGACCTTTAACACCACCTTCTGCTGCAAAGAAATTAACAAGAATTGTTAAAAGAAATTCTTGAAAAATATTAAATATTGAACCTGAAAATAAAGAATAACTCAAGGAAGGGCACCTGAGCCATTAGAAGAGAGAAGGGTGGAAGAAAGGAAAATAACGGAATTAGAGAAGTTCAAGAGCTAGTTAAATTAGCGGTGGGCTTGCTATATATGTACACGCACGCTAATTTTTTGAGGTTGAAGTTCCAGTATATCCTTTTATTGTTTTAAATGTTTTAATAGTATTTTTATATTAAATTTTTTAACTATTGTATCCTTTTATTCTTAATTATATTTGTATTTAATTTTTTCGATCATTTTTTTCAAAAAACAGAAACAATTTTTGGTTTTTTTTTTGTTTTGATATTTTTTTTATTTACTGCTTAAAAAAGTAATCAGAGATATTAAATATAGATGTAATTAAAAATCAAAGGATACGATACTTAAAAATTTTAATAAAAAGACTCGATTAAGACATTTGAAACAATTAAGGGATATTCTAAAATCTTTAATCCTAACCATTTGGTTTTTTACTACAGGTGGAGGTGGAAGTGGAGGTGGAAGTGGTGGGTGATTACATGCAAATATATGTGTAAGGGTCAATGGCACTTTTTGACAAAAATGAAAGGTAGGATGATGGATATGTTTGAGCCACTTGATTGGTTGAATTGTCAGTTTATGTTATTTTTTTCCCTTTTTTATAAAAATATTCCCTCTTGTTAGTTTGATAATTGATAGAGTAGGCATGTGAGATTATTTATATGTTTAGGGTTTTTAACAAAAGTTTTTTTTTCCTTATAATCATGTTCAAATATTCTTAATTGGCGTGGATGCACCCATTCAAGTACAGATGAAATATTTAATAATTAATTAATGTATAATATAAATCTGGATCGTGATGGATAGCTTCATGATATCTATACAGTTAAAACAACAAGAAGAAAATTTCAAGAGCTTCGCAAGGTATTTGGTTCTGTTTTCTTTGTTTGGACAGTTTGACTAATAAGATAAAAGGAGAAATTTTATAATACACAATGAATAATTAGTGTTATATACGGTAGTTATTTCTTAGGCTCACTTTGAGGAGAGAAATAGACACATAAAAAGAGAAAAAAAAACGGGAGAAAGAAAATAAAAAAATTTGAACGGACGTAAAAATCTTCTTATCACTTTTGATGGATATGAATATAATTTGCTTTTTTTTATGTGTCTATCTCTCTTCTCAAATTGAACTCAATATGTAACTACCGTACATACCACTAATTACTCTTTGTGTATTATAAAATTTTCCATAAGAAATAAGCTAGTTTTTAATAACGTGAAACTAGATCGAGAATATTTGTTTTAGTCTTACATGGAGTTTATTATTGGACAAAGATTATTCGATGATAATTTTGTATAAACATGAAAGGATCTACCTCACAGTTCGGATGATTTACATAATTAGACTAACAAAATTGAAAATTGGATTAAGTCAGATGTTGAATTTTTGAAATGAAAGGAAATCAGGTGCTTCAAGTATTGATGGTATTCTTAGATATCATAAGAGATGTTTTTTTATGCATTTTTTAGGTCCAACCGGTGTCAAAAACTCCAATAAAATAGGAGTTTTGGGGATCAAATGGGTTCTAGAATTGAGTGTTTTCCATCTTCTTACGACAAAAAGCCTATTGAATTGTTGAATTAGACTCTTCAAATACTATCAGTTTTATTCATAAGAGTTCATATGATAGGCCTTGAAGGCTGAATTTTGATTTTAATAGTTTTGCAAAACAAATGAAATAGTTCAAAACATTCAAAAACTAATTAATTAGTTTTTAACCTACACTAATTAACCATGTTTTAATATTATTTTGTATTAAAATATGTCTTTTTTTTCAATGCTATTTATTTATTTCTTAAAATAATAAATAAATAAATTAAAAAAACTAAATAAGAAAGGATTAATTAATTAGTTTTTAAAATCAAAAGTATTATTTAATTTATTTTGCAAAACTGAAGAGATTAATTTATAAACTTTGGAAATGAAAAGGCTAATAGAAATAGCAACGGAGATCCTAAAACTGTCACTTTTAAGATCTGTTTGGCATTATTGCGTTGTGCATCATGAAATGGTCAGCAATTGTTTGATTGATGGAGATAAGGGGGAAGAGGCTTTCCCAATGTGTTGACAATTTGAAAGCTGTGGCCAAATTGCTTTCTTCGCCATAATTAATTTTCTCTTTCGGTTTTGAAGATTCTCTTCCTTCCAAAAGTTGGAAACCAAGGATGGTCTGCCCTACCTACAAGGCTAAAAAAAGCAGCCTAATAAAAAGTTAAATATATTTAGTTTATTAGTGTAATATATAAATATATAATTAAGAAGAAGAAAATTTATTGCTAGGAAATAAGGGTGACTATGGCATCTCGATTCCTTTTATTTTAAGAGCAATTTAGGTAAAGAATATTAGGTGGTCTCGCCTCAAATATAAAAAAATTTGATCAAGGCAAGATTTCTACCAACGAGGACAAGAATAAATTATAAATTAATCGTTTTAGTTTTGAAAAGCAAATTAATCAATGTTTTTGTTTCAAAAAATAATTATTTATTCTTTATATTTTAATTTTTTTTGATAATTTAATCATTTTCAAGAAATAAATTGATGTAGAGAAAACTTATAAGAAGAAATTAAACAATGTTGATCTGAAATTCACACACAAATTTTAGATATCGGTATACTATAACTTATTGAATTGCACGCAAATACCGGAAAATAAGTTTGAAATTTCATTGATTTAAAAAATATTAAAAATTAGGATAAAATTGAGATATTCTCTCATAAAGTTTTATTAATTAAAGAAAGCTGTATTTTTCTGTCTCCAAGTCATAAATAAATAGGAAATTCAGCCCAAAACCCTAAAGCAACTCAAAAGGGAAACAAATACAAAAATTCAAAAAATAAGAAAAAAATCTCAAAAAAAACAGTAAAAATCAATTTTGAAGGCCTAAATAGTATTTTTTTTGGCCAAATCACCTCTACGTTATGGCGATGCGATAAATTTGACTTGTTGAACTGTTTGGCATCTAATTAGGCTCAAAAAGCCTCAAAATTGGATCGATAGTTTTTTTCAGCTTACGCTACGCTTATACCATTTCATAAATTCTAAGGTCTCGTTGATCTGCATCATAAATAAAATAAATAATATAGCTAGAAAGATTGATTAATAAAATAATAGTTTTTTAAATAAAATATTATTAGATTGAACATGTTAAATAATAATCAAATAACTAAATAATTAATTTTTAAAATAAAAGGTGCTAATTAATTCGCTTCTGAAAAAAAAGGGATTGATGTATAATTTACTCACGATGACAAGTGGACGACCATATCATATCCAAATTAGAAAAAAAAAAAAAAAAAAAGGCAATTAAAAGCTAGTCATCAACATTAAGCAAATAGTTCAGAGAACACTAAATATAAATATCATAAATTCCACAAAACTAAAATGAAATCAATACAATATAATCTTCTTAATAAAAAAAGAAAAAGGAGGACAAAAAATATGATTAAATTAGCATTACATGATAGTGCAAGCATGAGGATTGTCATCACTGAAAAGCGAAGCAACGGCCTCATCAGATGCTACAGCAAGTGAATAGACAGCAGGAGTGTGAAAAAAAGTGTGGACGCCATTAGTATTAGCTACATTTTTGTAAGTACTGTCGTAGTAATGGTCGACGACGTAGGTTGGATACTTGTAGAATGAGGCAAAATGAGAGTATCCTGGAAATGGCCATGGCTCTGCTGCTTTCCCTGCTCTTTTTATTGCTTTGATCACCTTCTTTTCCTCCAATCCATAGCCTCTAACAGTAATCTTTTGCTCTTCCATCTCTACTTCCACCTCTTCTACTCCTATTACAGACACATGGAAAAGATGAAATACTGATGAGCTACTATTAGTCCAAACCGACAATCCATACACCAATCATTCTGATTCCCATTTTCGGCCCATCATACCAAGGGATTTTATTGGGATAAAAGTTAAATCTTTATTTATATATTGTTCTTGTGTTTTAATTACATATATTAATAATGTTTAAGTTTCTAATTTGTAAATAATTTTTTTTAACTTAAATGTCTTAAATGAAAAAAAAAACCTCTAAAGACTTAAAAAATAAAACGTGAAGGTCATGTTATTTTTAAGTGTTTTTTTAATATATTTCAATAAAAAATATTTCGGTCAAAAAATTTATTTATGATCAAAAAAATCAATTGAAGACTTAAAAATTATTTACGGACACAATAAATGTAATTAAAAACGTACAGACGGATTGAAAATTTAGACTATTTTATAAAAGCATATTCAATTGTTTATATACTCTTCCTATGTTTTAATTACATATATTGAATCTTTAAATAATGTTTAAGTTTTCAATTTTTTAAATAGTTTTTTTTGAACTAAAATGTCTTGATTGAAAAAAAAACTCTAAAGACTTTAAAAATAAAACGTACTAATCATGTTACTTTTAAGTTTTTTTTATATGTATTTTTTAATCAAAGATATTTCTAGCAAAAAATTTATTTATGATTGGAAAAACAAATTGAAGATTTAAAGATTATTTAGAAACACAGTAAATGTAATTAAAAGGTTAAAGACAGAATCAAAATTTAGACTATTATATAAAAACACATTAAACTGTTTATCTTTTTCATTAGGCCAAACTCGATATCAATTTTGTCCTCTAAAGTTTGCCGTAGCAAATCCAGGATTAGGCCAACAAGCCTATCACATTTGAAGTGACAACTCAAGTAAGGCCAGGCCTGGAATCCATAATGGAAACATCACATAGCCTGGACCATTGGCGATATACTCTTTATCTATCTACCTGCCTGCCTACCTTTTAGTTTGAGGAGAGCTTTCTTTAACTTTGAAGCACAGCCCTCGCAATCCAAGTTTGGAACTCTTACCTCTACCATCAGCTGCAACATTATATACAATATTAACCACTGTTTTTAGTAGCAAAAACATCAACATATTCTTGAACAAAAAGTGTATGAAAAAGAGAGAAAAGGAGACTTACAGACATGGCTGGCTTAACTTGGTCAGGTAGCTAGAGCAGTGAGTTTTGGAGAAGAAGCAACTAGCAAGGCAGCAATTTTGAGGGTTGTCTGGAAGGGCTAAATAAGAAGCACGAGGGCTAGCTTCTTGGGGTTTGAAATTTGAAAGCATGCAATGAGAGTGTTCACGCGTGGATTAGGAAAGCGTGAGAGCCTTTTCTGTGCTGTTTCCTTGAGGGCACGCTCTGAGCTCCTGGGAAATCATCACAAGGCACAAATCTATGACAAAAAAACACTTGCCAGTTCTATGTAGGACCTTTCACATGACTTTGCTTATGATCATTGAGGATTCGTATGGTTATTGTTATAGTTTCTTACAAAATTAGCAATGCCCACATTATATTAGGCCATCATATACAATTGGGAGTAAATTATAATTAGTCCTTTTGGTCATATGCAGATTGAAAGAATATATATATATTGTTATAGAGTAAATATTGAGGTGTTTTTAAAATTGCTTGTGTTAGATAATAATATTTATTATATCAAAAATATTTTAAAAATCAAATCATTTATCAATTTTAATATCCAACACTAAATAGCAAGGTAGGGAACGTAATTAATTGTGATTTTAATACAGCTGTTTTTATTTTTTTTAATTCAATACTAAAAATATCTTCGAATCAATTTTTATATATCTCATAAATTAATTTTTTCTTAAACATAATTAAAAAGCACTATCCAATAGATGATTTTAAATATTTTAAAAATAAATCTTTAAAAATATTCACGAAAACTTATTTATAAATTAATACTCATTTACCACCAGACCGTCGACTTGCATGTTGTTCTTTTCACTCTTTTCAATATCCACGAAGCACACATTAAAAAAAGAAAAGAAAAGAAAAAAAGTAAGCACTACAAAATCAACTTTGTCAGCACAAAAGAATTTCTGAGCAAAGTACTGAATCTTCCAGGCTACTTTTACTGAGAAAAGCTGACGTTAAAGACACTCAACTGGTGTATAGCCTGCAGGATAAAAGAGAACAGTTTGTCAAATAAAAAGGGGAAAGGGCAGACCTCCAAAATGGCCCCAACTATTAAAGCAATCACAATTTTATCCCAAACAAATTTTTGTATTAATTATTTTTTTCCAAGTTTCCTTTCATATTGGATTAAGGTTTCATAAAATATATATATATATTTCTTTTGTAAGGAGTTTAATGTTTTTTTATTGATAATGAATTCTAAAAAACTAGAAATCAAAATTATTCGAACATATAAATATAATATATTATTTTCTTAGAAAGCTGTAAAAATGGAGAGATGGAGATGTAAAAAAGATGAAAAATTATATCATTCTCTTGTCCCTTCAAAATGAATAAAAGGAACCTCTGTGTCATAATTTGGAATGCCTACTTGGGGGCAAAATGATGATAGGTGATAATGAGTTTTATTCTTACAAGAGAAAAAGCTTTCTTGTTTAAAAAAAAAGGCACAGAAATTTATAATAAATTATAAATTAGTCCTTCTTATTCGAAAAACAAATTAATTTTTTTAAAACTAATCATTTAGCCCTTTACGTTTTTAATTCCGTAAATAATTTAGTCATTTCATCAATTTTTGTTAGATTAGTGATTTATTTTAAATTGCTCCTTTTTATGCCTTATTTCTTTTTTTTACTCACTTTCTCCCTTTTCTCAATCAAATTTTTTTTAAAAAAAAAAAAGAAAGGAAAATTGAAAATAAAAATCACTAATCTAATGAAAATTGATGAAATAAGTAAGTTATCTATGGAATTAAAACAAGAGATATTAAATAATTAATTTTTGAAAAAAGGACTAATTAATTCGTCTGTCTAAAAGAGGGACTAATTTATAATTTACTCCGGAAATTAGGTGGGATTTCATTTCATGGGCTGGGGGTTTAACTCTAGAGGAAAATTTTTTGCTTACGTTCTAGCTTCTACGCGGGTCCAAGCCATATAAACTCCGGCTTTAGGCTTACCTTTTTTCAAGAGCAAGCCCAAGTCTTATTTCGATTAGGCTTAGACTGGTCCATCTAGGCCCTTATACAAATTAAATTAATCACAAGGACTGATCCAGTCATGTGGAGCCAAATTGGAATTTCGAAAATAAGTTGAAAAAAATAAAATACAGCAAATTAATGGTGACTTTTTTCTGGTTTTACGACCGAAGGATCCTCATAACAATTTTAATGAAATTAAATATATATTTTTTGGTTCGGCAGGTTATTCAAGAAGAGATCAAAAGATTTATAAAAATTTTAATTTTCATAATTTAGCTTGAGCTTTGATTCTTGTGATTATAGGAGTATACCTCCTTAATCATTAGACTTATTTCGTTAAAATATTATTGTTGTTTCATAAAAATTTTATTTTTTTATTATTAATCTTTTATTATTGTTTTTCCACCACCACTGTTTTTCTTTCCCTCCATCTCTTATCACAGTGAAATTAATTTTTAAAAAATATAATATTATTATTATTATCACTGACACTTTTTTTTTTTCTCTATCATTATCAACAACCGTAATTATTTTTTTGTTTTTATTATCATAATAATTGATGAAATTATTTTTTAATTATTATTTTTATTCATTTTAAAAATTAGATATTAAACATTTTAAATTTTATTTTGATTTATATTAATATTTCAAACAGAGTATAAAAATAAAAAATATTATTTAAAATTTTCAATTTTCATTCTAATACGTATATTTTTATTTTTATTCCAGAAGATACCACTGCCATCCCGTGTATTTTTATGCATAATGTATTTGTTTTTTGTTTTTTTTTTCAGAATTTATATGTTCCTTACTATATGGACATAATTAATACGAGAAGCAGGTGATCTAACAGAGTATTTTCGGTCAACCCTTCGTGATCCCACCATCACGGAGCAAAGCTACCCTTGAAAATCGAAATTTCGTATTCTTTTCTTTCATCTGAATTTTGTTACTTAGCGGAGTCAATCAAGGAAATATTTAATGTAGTACTATTTCCTCAAGATTTGAACCCTCCCAATGCTATAATGTCATCTTCTCTTAACATTTTATAAAACTTAAAAAATAATTATAATAAATTATTTTATAAAAAAATAGAAAATTTTTTTGAGCCAACATGAAAATTTTCTTATTAATTTTATTAGATTCAGATGTAAATTTTTTCTTTTTACATATCCATCTTTTTCTTAAATAATAAATTCATAAAATTACTATTATAAATATATACTAATTATTTTTTAAATATTATAACATTTATCGTCGTATTTTTTCTTTTTAACCTTAAGTTAATTGCTAGTTTGGAAGCAAACTTCTTTTAAAATCAATCCTAATTCACTAGATCCAAGAACTTAATTATCCTGGACAGTTGGATTCCACTAACGATAAGAAGTAATACTAATTATAAAGTTACTAAAATCAAAATCCCAAAACTAAAACTTCTATGTATCAACAAAATGGACAATTTAAAGTGGTGAAACATGAAACTCATCAAACAAGGCATTTCCCATGTTTGTGTTTTTTCACTGTCCCCATGTCAGCAGTTTCATTAGGTAATAAAGCTAACTACTTTCCTTTGTTCCTTTGTGCTCTCGCTCTTTCTTTCCATAAGAAGTACTGTAATACTATGGAAACAGCCGCTTTGTTACGAGATTCTTCTACCCCTCTAAACTTCCCTTGGATCTCCTCATCTGTCATCTGACATCTTCTCTGTCTCTGTCTCCCCTCCAATTGTACACAGCTGTACTTGAGAACTCTCCGTTTTCTCTCTTATATTTCCTTGTCAAAAATCAAAATTAACTACAGGACTTCTGACCTTGTTTCTTGGAAATTCAAAACAAGAAAAGAAGCATCAAGAAAAAGCAAAAACCTCCCTCAACACTACGTGGGGTTTAAGGCTCAAATCGGTCAAAACTGAAGAACCCATTGGAGGAAATCAGCTAAAGTTGGATATTTCTGACATGATTGTCAGATATCGAAGTCATCAAAGTGTGCAAAATGAGAGAGATCAATAATAGCATGAAGCAGAGGTTTCAAGAAATTACGATCTGGCGGCCATTTATGAAGTTGCCAGCTAGATCATCTGCCGTCGTCTCCGTCCTCCTCTTCCTCCTCGTCGGCGCGTTGGTTTGCACCCGTCTCCTCGACTCCACTGTAAGGACTCGTTTTATTATTTTTTTTAATAAAGAAATTGCATCCGTCGCAACTGTTAATTGTTATTACCATGTAAAACCCATCAAAAGTATTTTTTAGGCACATAGCAACTTCTTTCCTTTTTCCTCGTAAAGGTAAAAGTTCAAACTTGATGCCTGTCGGAAGAGAGGATGTCGATCAAAAGTTCGAACTTGATACCTCTCGAAAAAAAGAAGACATCTATGTTAGCTAAACTAAAACTTATTGACAAAACTTCTCGTTAATTTCGCCGGAGAAAATGTTTTTCCATTTTTCCTCCGGCGAAGGAATGGAAGCCGGTGGACGTTCGAATGAGAGCGTGTCGGTTCACCAAATTTCCACTGACAAATTCGTGTGCCGATCAGTGTCTTGACTTATTGATGCTGTTTCATGTGAGGGGGTCCCACTTGCGGGATGCATTGAGAATTTCGTGTCTGCTTTTTATGGCTTTTTGAACAGAATACCTGGCATAATCTGATTGGCAGTTATTTTATTTGACCTTTTAATTTTCAAACATCGAGCTCCGTGTTCTCATAATTTTTTTTTGTTCGAATAATTTTATGTTTATTCATTCCATGAGAAAAAAAAATTATTATTTAGATTCTAAAATTTTTTATACTATCTTGGTAGTGCATTCGATTGGATCATTTTGTTTTTAAACAACATTTTATTACTTGTGAAGCTATATAATTTTGGTAGTTTTTTAATTGCTTATGAATATTGCAAGTTATAAAAAAATTAAAAATATAAAAGTTAAATCATTAGTTTTTAAAATAAAAACTAATTAATTCGTTTTTCAAAACTAGAGAAATTGATTTATAATTTACTCTCATATGTTTCGTGTTTTAGTTGAAGTTAGCCCGTCTAATATATTTTTTTTTTTGGTTTTATGAATTTTTTATTAGACATTAATAATTTAAATGGTTTTTCTTCTTTCTAAATTATTTTAAATAGCGAGTGAAATTTAAATTCACATTATTTAGTAGAATGTCAAATAACTTTGCTAGTTAAACTAATTATTATAAAAATTATTCATTATTAGATGCATTTGTTTTTAGATATTAGTTAGTTTATTTGACATGATATCATGCAATTTGAGCTTAGATTTCACTAGTTTTTTTAAAAATTAAACCAAAAAAATCAAAATTAAACAAAAAATATATGTGAATTAAAAAATAATTTAAAAAAAGATTAAAAAATAATTTTATGAAAACTTTCATAATAAATATTTTTAAAATATTTGAAAACTATAAAAATGTCATTGCATAATAGAATAAGTAACATCTGAATCTTCATGAATAGTACGAATGAATATAAGTGAATAGTATTTCAAATAGTATAATAAATAATAATTGATTGTTTTATTTTAGTTTTTTTTTTTTTTTGTTAACCAGTACCTAAAAAAAAGGATTTAAGAATGTGAAGGGCTAGCCTTTCTGTATAAGTTAACTCTTTATGAGCATTCTATATAAATAAAAAAATATATATAACTCGTTTTCTTGTATTATATGATATCAAACATGATACTATTATGTATGGTTTTACTTTCCGTAATTCAATTTTATTTGCTCACTTATTTTCCATTTTTTTCCTTTTATTTAAATAATATTTGGATATTTTTTAGTTAAAATTTAGGCTTCTTGCAATTTGGGCTTTGATTTAGGTTTCTTGTTTTGGATATTTTCTTGATTTTCGCAAAATAGGATGTGTTTTGGGTTGGATTTTAGGATTTATGTTTGGGGTTTTTTTATTCAACATTTCTCTATTGAATTATATGAATATTATGTATATTAAGGTGCTTGTTTGATAATAATGAATAGAGTGGTGGGAATAAAACTTTCATTTTTATTCTCACATTGTAGTTGTTTGGTAAAAAGAAATGAAGTGAGAATGAGAATAAAAATTTACACACAACTTAGTTTCCATATAAGATGTGAGAATAAAAATAAGGAATGTGAATGAATTTTTTTTTCAAAATAATAATATATTTTATTTATTTATTGTTTATTAACTACTTTTACTATTACCACCATAACCACTACCACCACTACTATCACTATCATAACCACAATCATCAGCATCACTTTTATTATTTTTACAACCATTATAGTTTAATAAAATTATTTTTTAATAATTATTTTTATTTATATAAAAAAATCAGATATTAAAAAATTTAAATTGCATTTCGATTTCTCATTAGTATTCCAAACACGGTATGAAAATATAAATATCTTTTTGATTCCTTAATTTTCATTCCGATTCCTACATTCTCCTTTCTATCACTCTATTCCCGATTTTCAAACAAGTAATTAACTTTTTTTTTTTTTAATAAATTTACAATGAGATGCAAAATAAAATAATATTTTTATCATTTGAGATTGATAACTAAACATTGATATACAAAATTTAACTTTCTTTTATTGCTCTTTAATATTAATAACCAAAACCTATTTTTTAAAAAAATGTTTGTTTAACAAACTAACGTGTTCAATAAAAATTAACTTAATTCGAACTTATTTTACTAATACCCTAAAATAATTTTGCATTGATTTTTTTAAAAAAAATCTTGAATATCGAATAAAAAGTCGTGAAAATAGAAAAAACTCCTAATAGTTTAATTTATCATTAATTACTCAATTATAAATATATTTGTTTTAAATTAAGTAAAATATAATCTTTCTAAACCCCAATTCATATATTAATAAATTTCTTTTTTTCGTGTTTGCAGGTTATTAGCCGAAGCGCGGTCGGGAAACCATTTTTAACCAACAAAATCCCCAATACACCCCGAAAGAAAATCGAATTCCCGGTCAATTGCACCGCATTCAACCCAACACGAAAATGCCCCACGAATTACCCTACAAGCATTCCAGAAGATGAAGACAGTCCATCACCACCATCTACGTGTCCGGAGTACTTCCGTTGGATCCACGAAGACTTGCGTCCGTGGGCCGAAACAGGGATCTCCAGAGACATGGTAGAAAGGGCTAAAAGAACAGCGAATTTTAGATTGGTGATCGTGAATGGCAAAGCATACTTGGAAAAATTTAGAAAGTCTTTCCAGTCGAGAGATACTTTTACTGTGTGGGGGATCATACAGTTGTTAAGGAGGTACCCAGGGAAATTGCCTGATTTGGAAATGATGTTTGACTGCGTTGATTGGCCTGTTGTTAAATCTAGTGAATTTAGTGGGCCCAATGCCTCGGCCCCACCTGCTTTGTTTCGGTACTGTGGTGATGATGACACACTGGATCTTGTCTTTCCTGATTGGTCTTTTTGGGGATGGTAAGCCTTTTCAAAGCAACTTTTACCAACGTACTTATAGCAAATGTTTTTGTTCAACAATATAGTATTTTGGCCCAGGTTTTTTTTTTTTTTTTTTTAATTATGGTGAAATGTATTCTATGCTCGTATATTATATATTAATAAATTCTATACTACTGAATGTTTTTTTTTAATCTCTTATTAATCATATAATGACATGTAATTAACGAAGGTGAATGATAATTTTGATTTGTTATAATTTTTAATAATATAGGATTTGTTGTGTGTCATGCCTCGACGGGGAGATTAAAATTAACAATAATACAAGGGCACGGAGTGAATTTCATCATTTTTATTTTTCGGTTTAAAAATGTAGTTTTTATTCTTTGGATTTGCAATTACACTTAATGTAGTAGCTGATGGGATATTCTGTGCAAATGGGGATGCAGGCCAGAGATCAATATAAGGCCATGGACGCCATTGTTGAATGACATAAAAGAAGGAAACAAGAAGACCAAATGGATGGAAAGGGAACCTTATGCTTATTGGAAAGGAAATCCTTCTGTAGCAGCAACCAGGCAAGACCTCATGAAATGCCATGTATCTGAAACGCAGGACTGGAATGCTCGTGTCTATGCTCAGGTGATTGAATGAGGGAAATGCCAAGGAAGCTGAGATGGTTGTGACCATAGTTTTAAATTACGGACGGTTGAAAAAAACAGTCGTCGTGATCGCTATTGCAGATCGCGATTTACTATAGTATTAAAATAACAGTAACGGGATGGTTCAAAACTGTTACACAATGGTCGTTATATAACGTAACAGCTGTTATTTAAAACTATGGTTGTGACTGCCCCATTTGGACCATACATGGCTCACACGAACTGGTGGATTGCGCTGCAGTGTGCGCGCCACCTAATGTCCTAATGGGGCATTCGCAAAAAGGGTGGCTGCCTCTAGCAGTCCCAGACTCCCAGCTAAAATAATCTTAACTCTCCTTATCACAGCTTTTATGATGCCTTAAAATCTTTTGCAGGACTGGATTAGAGAATCACAGCAAGGGTACAAACAATCAGACTTGGCAAACCAATGCATTCACAAGTAAAAAATAAAAAAAAATGCGATCTTTTAGTTTCTATCTGATTAAATTTGTTTACTTCATACGATGAATGCTCATTGTTTGTTCTTGTGCAATGCAACTGAAGCAGGTATAAAATCTACATTGAAGGATCTGCATGGTCAGTCAGTGAGAAGTACATTCTTGCCTGTGATTCTGTTACTTTACTGGTGAAACCTCATTATTATGATTTCTTCACGAGAAGTTTGGTGCCGAATCGGCATTACTGGCCTATTAAGGAGGATGACAAGTGCAGATCCATTAAGTTTGCTGTTGAATGGGGCAAAAATCATACTGAAGAGGTAAATTTTTTCAGTGCATTCTACTGTTGCATCAACATTAGAAGATGGAAAATTTCTCCAGTGTATGACATTCTTTCTTTGGATTGTCAGGCACAGGCAATGGGAAAAGCGGCGAGTGAATTCATTCAAGAGGACTTGAAGATGGATAAAGTTTATGACTACATGTTTCACCTCTTAAATGAGTATGCTAAACTCTTAACCTTCAAGCCTTCTATACCTCGAAAAGCTTTCAAACTATGTGCAGAAGCAATAGCTTGCACAGCAAAAGGTGTAGAGAAGAAGTTTATGATGGACTCCATGGTGATGAGTCCTGCAGACACGAGCCCTTGTACCATGCCTCCTCCCTATGATCCTCCATCTCTTCATTCCATTTTTCAAAGAAATGGCGACTCGATAAAACAAGTCGAGTCTTGGGAGAAGAAGTACTGGGATAATCAAATTAAGCAATCTTAGATAGGAATAAATAGTCTTACTATTTATCTTTTAATGCACGTATATAAATTTTATAGCCTTGAATTGCAGTTCTTTTCCATTTTTTCACTATGAAAGCGAATAGTATATTTTTTTGATGATAGTGTTTGCCCAAAAAAAATTCTACGAAATAAATTTCCCTTGCTGATGTTTTTGCTTTAATATAATTTGTTACAATTCTCATCTGTTGTAAACTCAGAGCCAAAGACAGCATAGTGACTCTCTTCAGTAGACAGACCACAGATCTCAGTGACATTGTTGTAGCTTTCTTCAGAGTTCCCAAGGTTTCTAGATAACAACTTGCTAAGCATTGATCTGAAAGTGCTAGTAATAGTTGCGAGTGTCCTATTTCGACCATCTATGAGGGAGACGTGCTCATGTAGAGGTTTTCGTAGATGTATGGTCCAGTATGGATACTCGCAACATACCTGCCGGTGCCCATAGCAGCACTTGAACTAGATCAGAGAAATGAGAGAGACATCAAAAGGAAAAAAACAAAAAAACCATTTCTTCATCTGTCTTTATCCCTTGATTTCTACTTGTAACAAAACTATTCTGAAAAAATTAAATAGTCAATATAGTAATTGTAAATCTTAAATGGTAATGCCTGAAACAAACCTGCCCCTGCATTGCAGTCATAGCCACAAACTAGAGCTTTTGTTGCAATCTATGTCCATTAGTAATTGTGATCAGGTGCTTGGAGGATATATAATAACATAGTAGGGTTATTTTAAAAATGAGGACATGTACCTATTGTTTCCATCTCTTCCTGCACTTCTTGGACAGCTTGAAAATTTGTAAGTAGTACAACTTTCTTCTAATCTGTTTGAAGGTGTTGTTTCTGAAGTTCAATTTGCCAATCTAACAAGATTGAGGGAGCTTGATGCATCTGGAAACGGACTAACATTAAGTGCGAGTCCTGATTGGTTTCCTCCTTTTCCGTTGGAAGCTATAGGACTGGCTTCTTGGCATTTAGGTCCACAATTCCCATCCTGGCTTCATTCACAGCAGAACTTTTGGTATCTGGATATTTCAGACTCGAAAATTTCAGATAACATTCCCAATGGGTTTTGGAATTTGTCTTGCTAATATGTTCATTTAAATTTCTCTCAAAATCAAATCCGCGGAACAATCCCTTGAACCTTTCCTACAACAATTTGCAGATGGTCGAAATAGGACACTCGCAACTATTACTAGCACGAAACAATTTGGCTGGAAAAATCCCTTCATGCTCTCAATTAGTGACCTTTGATGCCTCCAGCTTTTTCGGCAACGAAATTTGCAGAGTCCCATTTGAAGAGAACTGCACTGTAATTAATGAAACACCTAAAGGAGAAGGAGAAGGGGAGAAGGAAGCGAATGAGGTTTATGTGATCATGGGCCATGGATTTGTGGTTAGCTTTTTGTTAACGTTTGGCTTCCTGGTGATTAAAAGGAGATGAATGCAGAATACATGTACTTTCTGTTTTCGGAGAGCTTGAGGTACAAATTTGAGGATGCTGCCTATAAATTTTGCTAGACATTATCTCAGTCCTTGAAGCGTCTTGTTATATTCAAATCCATGTTACGCTATAAGATTCTATTCTTCGCATGTAGGTCCACAATTTCCCTTCTGGCTTCATTCACTGCAGAACTTTCTGTATCTGGATATTTCAGACTCAAAAGTTTCAGATGTCATTCCCAATTGGTTTTGGAATTTATCTTACCAGTGCGTTCTTTTAAATTTCTCACACAATCAAATACGCAGAACAACTCCAAGTGTACCGAGTACCAACTGCTACTGCGTTTTTCATATTTGAAACTCTCATTGACCTAAGTTCGAAATGCATCGAAGGCCCATTACCTTGTATTCCTTATTGTGTGGCTGCACTCGATCTTTCTAACAATGCTCTATCTGGCTCTATTTCCCATTTTTTGTATGGCAAAATGAACAAATCAATGCGACTTCAGGTTTTTGTCTTAGAGACAATATTTTGTCTGGAGAATAAAGGAAAAATAAGCGTTTGACTTGAACGCTTAAAAAAGGTCATTCATCCTATTCTATAGGGAGACTTACGTGGTGGACTAGAAGAAAAAACGTTATAGGCATAGTAAAAGGGAGAGAAAGGACGGCAGAATGGAGAAAGAAAAATAAAGAAATAGGAAGTTGTACTAGGAAAGCTAAAAAAAGCTAAGAAAGCGGATTTCCATGCATGGAGGCAGATTGTGGAGTTGCACGGCACTAAAAACAAAAGGAGCTTTGCACGACAGTAACAAAATTTGGTATAAAAGGCTTGGCACTTGCACTGCAGTGGGAGGATTGCACGGCCAGAGAAAAGAAGGAAATTGGAGCGGCAGCCAGAAGAAAAAATCTATAGAAGGATACGGATTCATCAGACAAGTAATTAAAATTTTTTTAATTATTATTCTGATGGATTTTCCATGTGATTTTTTATTTTCAGATACAATAAATTTTTTTATGGAGAAATAAAATATTAAGTTAGAGAAAGAGGATTTTAATTCTTATTTTATGTGATTAATTATTTTTTTCAACTCAAAACTTGATTCTTGATGCGTGATGAATTTATATTGTTACATTTAATACTTTAAGAGAGCGATCACTTCTTATTGATTTAATGACATGTGCTTGAGTCCAAGAGAGAATTGTATGTGTTAGATCAAAATAATATAAATCACTAATTTACTATTAATCGAAAGACAACTAGTTCTAGTACGATAGTAGAAAAGAGAAATGCACGATGACATGCTTATTTTACATTAAAGGATTCCATTAATTTTAATGCATTTAGATCTTAATTTAAGTCACATAGAAATATGGATGATTTGTTAGGTGAAGAATAAATTAAGTTCACTAGAGATGGTTTATTAAATTGTTCGGGGATTCTGTCATCACATATATTAAGATAGACTTTAAGGTGGTTTGTGAGTTGAGTTAATATAGTTAATTGCGTAACGTAGAATTAAATGAATCTATTCTTAGCTGCTTTGATATCATCTTCCGATAATTTTCAATTTTGCAAATTTAGAATAGAGTTTTAATTTAATTTTTATTCTTTTAATTGTTTTTATTAATTCAACTTATTCTAAGTTAGGTAATTTTAGTAATGCAATTTAATCCCTCGTGAGAACGATAATTTTTTATTTTTTATTGCACGATTAAATTAGATTTATTGTTTTTCTAATTGTGTTAAAAAAAGTAGTAACAGTTAGAATATATAAAATAGGAAGTAATAAATTCACAAGGAAACTACATATTCCTCGTCAGGATATAAGAAATAGTTATTGGAAGACAGAATGTGCAGATTTCCCATAATAGAATTTGCATAAGTCTGCAGATTCGGCAGCTGCTCAAATTCTTTTGATCATTGTCGCTAACAAGGTATATATTAATTCAGAATTTACATTTGTGGAACATAACAAAAAGGAAACTAATGCCAAATTGCTGAGAACTTGCTAAAAAACCAGTCCTATTCCTGCTTTAGAAGACTTTTAAAGAGATCACCAAAAAGATGGTTAAGGAAATAAACTAGCATTCTCCGACTGAAATGAGGGTTGATCTAATAATAGGCATACGATGGATTTGATTAACCATTACCATAAAAAATAAAAAAATAAAAAAAAGCAGATAACATCTAGAAATTTTTTAGTAAAACAGCCTCACATTTGTACCTCATTTGATCCAAAAACTGAAAGTAGATGTGTCTCCATCTTCTTTTAATCACCAAGGAGCCAAATACTGACCAAAAGCTCAACACAAATCCAAGTGTCATGCTCACATAAAACCCATCAACCTGAAAAAAAAAATATGTGGAAGATTTTCCCACTGAGTGCTTGAAGGAATTGTTTTTTTCATCTGTCTTTATCCCTTGTTTTTCCCTGAAAATAAATTATATAAATCATTAATGGCTGAACTTTCCTGCCACTCCTTTGCAGTCATTGGCTATTGACTGTGACTTATGGTTCAGCCATGTCAAATTTTCAAGTCACTGGAAACAGAACAAACTGGAGCAATATAAAATAAGCATGGTTTAACCTGTTTTCTTTGGCCCTGGTGCTACTGAAAACGAGACAAGAAGTTAAGGACAAGTACATATTGCTGAATTTTATTGCATGTAGTTTTCAAAGAACTTTCCATGCTTCATTAGTTCAGCAGCATATCAACATCTTATGATCAAATCCAGGGCCACAAGGAAGAACGGCAGGATTAAGTTTTTTCAGTTTAAGAAATACTATAAATAACACACCATTGGTGACCTTTATCATGCCCTTTACTTATTTCTGTATAAGAAGTTCATGGTAATGGAAAGTTCAATGAGTTCTGTTTTCATTATTTTCCTTTGGTTCCTGACTATAGGAACAACTGTCACTAGCTTCAGTTATGGAATCTCTCATGTAGGTTGTGTTGAGAGTGAGAGAAAAACACTTTTGATGTTGAAGCAAGATATAGTAGATCCTTCAAACTTGCTAGCTTCTTGGGCTGGTGATGGGGATTGTTGCGGGTGGGCCGGAGTTGTCTGTGACTACATGACTGGCCATGTTCGAGAGCTCCACCTTGGCAATCCGTATTCCACTGATGATTTTGGATCTGATGAATATTTTGCTTATTGGAATTCAACGTTGGGTGGCAAGCTAAATTCCTGAGCAACAATAATTTTCAGGGAACACAAATTCCAAGCTTCTTAGGTTCTTTGGAAAGCTTGAAATATCTTAATCTCTCTCAAGCTGGCTTTTCAGGAGTGATCCCTCATCAGCTTGGAAATCTGTCAAATTTGCACTACCTTGATCTCCAAGCTGGTTCAGTGATAGGGGATTTACAGGTTGAGAATCTCCAGTGGCTTTCTGGTCTTTCTTCTCTAAAACACCTTGATTTGAGTGGAGTAAACATCAACAACGCCTCCAACTGGCTACAAGTGACAAGCACTCCCTTCTTTGATAGAATTACACTTGTCAAGCTGCATCCCCTTCCATCTTCCTTCTGTTCCTTTCGTAAATTTTTCCTCTCTTATCATCCTTGATCTTTCCTCGAATTTCTTTCCTAACTCTGGAATTCCTATTTGGCTTCTTGGACTTGACAATTTGGTTTCTCTTGATCTACATGGAAACCAGTTTCGAGGTCCAATACCAGATGGTCTTAAAAATTTTACTTATCTTAGGAACCTTGATCTGTCACATAACTAGTTCAATTCTTCAATACCAGACTGGTCGTATAATTTTAGCCATCTCCAGTTTCTCAATCTTGGCAATAATGACTTCCAAGGCACAATCTCAAATGGCATTGGGAACCTGACTTCAGAAATTAGTTTGGACCTTTCGTCCAACAAACTTGAAGGAGGAGCTCCAACATCATTAGGAAAGCTTTGCAACTTGAAGTCAATTGACTTGTCAGAAGTGCCACTGACTCAAAATATATCCACCATGTTGGATATTTTTTCTGCAGATTGCTTTTCAAAACGGTTGGAGTCGCTGGTTATGAGGAGTTCTCAACTTTCTGGTCATTTGATCAATAGACTTGGGCAATTCAAAAGTCTTGTTGAACTTGATCTAACAAGGAACTCAATTTCTGGTCGACTTCCAGAATCTTTAGGGGAGCTTTCATCGCTCAGATCACTGGGGCTTGCTTCGAACAAATTGAATGGAACCCTCCCAGCATCTCTAGGACTACTTGAAAATTTAAAAGTACTACAGATTTCTTCTAATTTGCTTGGGGGTTTTGTTTCTGAAGTTCACTTTGCTAAGCTCACAAGATTGGTGTATTTCCAAGCATCCGGCAATCAACGAATGTTGAATGTAAGTCAAGATTGGATTCCTCCTTTCCAGTTGCAAACCATAGGATTATCTTCTTGGCATTTAGGTCCCCAGTTTCCCCCTGGCTTCAAACACAGAAGAACTTCTGGTACCTGGATCTTTCATACTCAAATATTTCATGCCTCCATCCCTGAAGAGCTCTGCAGTCTAGCTTCTTTGCAAATCTTAGACCTTCCTTACAACAAACTCCTTGGAAGCATCCCGAGATGCGTCTCGAACTTCAGTGCCATGACTACAATGAGTAATTCTTCAAACAACTACTTAGGATATAATCCATTCCCTGGAGTGTTTTATGAGAATGCAGTTGTTGTGATGAAAGGGAGAATAGTAGACTATGGCACTATTCTGCGTTTTGTTAGAAGCATGGACCTTTCCAGCAATAACTTATCAGGAGAGATCCCAGAAGAAGTGACAGCCCTGATAGGATTGCCGTTGTTGAATCTATCACAAAATCATTTCACTGGAAGAATCCCCAAAAATATTGGTGCTATGGGAGCACTGGAATCACTTGATTTTTCTGTAAACCAACTCGTTAGAGAAATCCCTCCAAGTATGTCAAGCTTGACATTCTTGAGTCACTTGAACTTGTCCTACAACAACTTGGATGGAAAAATCCCTTCAAGCACCCAATTACAAAGCTTTGATGCCTACAGCTTTCTCGGCAACAAATTGTTCGGACCCCCACTACCAGAGAACTGCACCGTATCGCCTAAAGTTGAAGGTGGAGAAGGACAAGATCAGCACAGGGAAGTGATTGGGTTTTATGTGAGCATGGCACTTGGATTTGTGGTGAGCTTTTGGTCAGTACTTGGCTCCTTGATTATTAACAGGAGATGGAGGCACACCTACTTTCAGTTTTTGGATCGAATGAGGTACAAATCCGAGGATGTTCTACGTAAGTTTAGCCAGAGATTATCTGCTTCCTTGAAGTGTCATGTTGTAGATTAGTTTATGTTTCTTCTTTTGTTGATAGTAGCAGTTAGTCAACTCTATTGTATGCTTGTTATAGTAGCAGAAGCTAGTTTATTTCATCAAGGCATCATATCGGTGATTTCTCAATGCATTTCAGATGCCGGAATAATACTGTGTATCAAAACGTAAACCGGTGCAAACGTCTTATCTTAACAAGAATTGAACATGACAAAATAATGCATAATATTAGATCAAACAAGAAGGTTTAACATAAAATTCAGACAACAAAAATTAGGAACAAGTTAGGAGAATAAACATGAATAAGTAAATAAATAAGTAAACAACAATGGCGAAATGTAATTCATCGAGAAAGGCTGATTGTTGAAAGAAGGAGAACAGCAGTGTCTAAAGAGCTCGAGACTTTATGATGTCGAAGCTCATTTCGCTAGGATCTGTTGCTTGCAACTCAACTTGAATGCCATCCAGTTCCCTCTTGAATCTGTCTTTGGAGCTCGCGTAGACCATCTTACTTCTCACCCTTGATGTATCAGGTGACCTACGAAGACAAAACGATCTAGTTAAGCTGTGCCTAGTTAGCATTTTATGATATTTTGTTCAAAGAGGTGACCCCAACAAGCAGGGCAGCCTTTAGACAGAGATTAATGTACAGATTGCTATAGATTACTTGTTCGAGCTAGGCAGTATAGGAAAGAAAAATGCTGAAAAAATTGAGCAGCTATTAAATTACCATGCAATGAAAAAGATTTTACTTTTCTGGCAATTCTCATTAGTAATGAAATCATAATCAAAGACAGCATAGCGACACTCATCAGCAGGGAGAGATGCAGCGAAATCCTCGTAGGTTTCTTCAGGGCTCCCAAGTTTCTCTACCACCACTTGTTGAGATTCAATCTTGAAAATGATGAACCGATAGTTTCTCTTTGATTTTAGTTCCAAAAACTTCAGCTTACATGAATCATCAACAGCCATTCCAGATGCCGCGTTCGCCTAATTCATCCAAAAGTTTAATTCGAACAAGTAAAGAGAACAAGCAGAAATGCATGAATCACAGAATTTCCAACAAAAGATATTTGACCATCCTGGCCTAATAAATTTTCATTGGATTGCACTTTTTTTTCCCTTCCCTTTTCCCTGTTTTCTTTCTCAATTCTTGGCAATGGTTTGAACTTTGAACCTTTTGATTTAATGGCAAGTTTTCAAATATTCAACCATCAAAGAACAAGAATAGCAATAAGAGAAGTTCTAAAAGCTTAGAACAATTGTTGAAACTGCATGATGGATATGGTGGAATGAAATTACGAGGCATGAATCATTTAGGCTGCTAAAATTCAATGAGTAAACAGAAATGTCCTTGATGTTCCAAAAAAAAAAGATAAAGAAATGGCCTCAAATAAAAATTTGAACAGAAATGCCTGTTAAATACACATATTTGATTCAAAAGCAAATCATGCGAGGTTTCTATATAAAATATGAAGATCAATGGCACATGCTTTTTCATTTTCTTAGCCATCATATCATAACTATCAGAATATATGCCATAAAAGTGTAGGAGAGAAAGAGCATACCATGTTGCCTTCCACAGAGAGCAAAAACCTCGTGACAACCCAGCTGGAAGAAGAGAAAGGAAAATGGGATTGAAAGATGTGAGTACAGAAGAGCAGAGAAGAGGAGAAGGGGGTAGAGATCCTTAATTTGGTGTATAAGATGAAAGGTCAGACAAATACGGGGAAGGAGAGAAATTTGAGGGACAAAACATGGGTTGAGATTTGTCTAACATTTCAAGCCTCATCATGTCCACAACAATGGCTTCATGTATCAATGGCAGCAAAAATAGTAAACACCAACTGTTTAATGTTGCCACGTTATGGCCTGCCTTCTCAGCCTCTCTATCAAGTACCAACCTTGCTGGCTCTTGTTATTTTGGGGAAAATGTTCAGAATTTTCTTGTAATTATAGTGATTTTATTTGGGTATTGGTCATTGGTCAATGATCTTTTTTTTTTTTTTTTCAATTCATCGGAAGCTAACGGACTTATTGGGTTATACAACGAAGATAAACTTTCTTATTATATAATAATTAAAGAAATTAAAATCACCAAAACTTAAACTTTACTGCAAGAGAGAAGTTAATTGTGTACACAATCGTTACGTTAAACCTAAACCCTTTTGTGTATGATATTTTTTTTTAATGGTATCAATTTAGTAAAGTATGAAAAATCACTCCTAACAACCAACAACAAGATCCATAATACAGTAGAAGAGTAAATTTAAACAGATCAAATTAAAAAAAATTCAAAGTCATGTGATAAAAAACAAAAATTAATCGATTTATTAAGGAGCAAATTATAAATTAGTCCCTCTCGTTTCTTGGCCCTTCCTATTTCAAAAAGTAATAATTTTGTTTTCATGTTTTAAAATCTATTTGTAATTTAATCATTTTTATCATTTTTTAATTTATTTTGATTTTTTGTTTAATGAAATAGAAAAAAGAAAAAATATATGAAAAAATAAGAGATTTTGTAGAATAAAAATAATATTAAATTAAACATAATCAACACTAATTAAAGGAATAAATAATGATTTTTTAAAACAAAAGAGATTGATTAATTTATTTCTTGAAACTAGAGGGACTAATTTATAATTTACTCGTTAATTACAAGGTATTGAACACCTTGAAAGATGACACTGATTCAACACAAAATTGATTTGCCTCTTTATAGGTAACACAAGAACATCAGAGAAGGTCAAAAAGGACATAGGATGTTACAGATAAAGCTTGTCATATTCAACTACTTGATTGTTTCTATCCTACAAAGGTAACTACTTTGGGACCTTGTTTCTTCTTTGATTTTCCATCATCTTTTGGAATGCTATACGTGTTTTCTGTCATAAAATCATCATCAAGCTCGTCTCCACTTATAAACTTAGTCACTCGCCCGGTAGGCCTTACTTCCCTTCCAATGGCTGAAATTCAGAGATAAGTAACAGGTTAAGTAAAATATTACACATTATATAGAAAAAGAAACGAAGTAGGAAAAAAAGAAAGAAAGAATATATATGGTCTTTAAAGGACATAAATGTTGACAAGAATCATAGGCAAAAATCATATAATGACAGTACTGGTTTGCAACCCAAACACCATATCTTCTACAATTCCCATATGAAGTCTATTTCCATGTAGCTGATCATATTTCATTGTGACCCAAATAGTGGGGTGGCACATCACATTAGGATTATGTATTACTCTTATCATGTTATATCAGCCTTGATCCTATTACTGTAAGACCCACAATTCATGCTTCAACCAACAGAGCAAAGCATTTTAGATGAATCACTGTCATCAATCATTTCAATAGAGCACGGTGATTTTCGCCAGGTCCAGTACTAAGTATGAGATTGTCCAGTCAAAACAGCAACCTTTAAGGATCAAGCATTACCTATTCTCCTGTTTTCCTATTTTCTTTATGTTGTCTAATAATGTTTTACAAAGAGAATGAAATCCAGAGCCTTCTAATTATATTCAAGAGTTCAAACTACACCTGTATAAGCTGTATTCGAGCTATTTCATAAAGAACTGAACTAAAGAAGTACACAAACACCATCCAAATACCACAGAACTTGAAACAACATTAGCAATTTACAATACGTAGAAAAGGAGACAGGTTCGATGCAAAAAATAAAAAATAAAAAATAAAAGAGCAATTGTATTCTCTGCATTAAATTTTATGTAACCAACTCAAGATTTGCATAAGCAAAAAGTTTTAAATAATAGCAGTTAAAAGCTTGCATGTTTTATGCTTACCTCCTCTGCCAAAGGCTGCAGAACCTCTCTTATCCTTATCAGGACAATCTTTAGCCAAATGTGTTACACCATCACATATTTTACAGCAACCACCCTGTAAAAAGCCATATATTTCTAAAATGTCAAAATTAACGGATGGGTAGTTGCCTAGATGGCGTGAAATGGAAGTCAATTGAGCATCTATCCAGATACCGAGTATATAGCCCACCATCAAAGAGAAGAACTTAGTGTGCACTATGACAACAGCAACCATGAAAAATAGTTAACTTTCACATACCTTTGGGTATATACCACGAGTATTTTTAGGACAGTCCTTGCTCAAATGTCCACGTTCATTACAGATAAAGCAATTGGCAAACTTTGTTCCCCCTGAATTATAAAAGAGAGAGATCACATTTCATAATAACAATAGCATGGTCAGCTACCATACTACAAATGAGATATCAGAAAGGTCCAGTTCTCGTTACAAAACCAGAGGTTACTGAGCTCTTTATTATTATTATTTGTGATAAATGAAAAGGATTCATAGATCAAAAGAGACGAAAAAGGGCTTTGCCCTTACAAGAGGTATTACAGAAATGGCATAAGCCTAGAACAAAGGGAAACAAATCACTGAATACAGAGAAAATACTAAAGAGAGTGAAGCAAACTGCCAACTCTTATGAAGCAAAAGCTACTTTGGATTGTTTAGAGCTGCATAAAGCAGTTTAGATTTGTGGAACCTGCTCCTTACAATATCAACAATCCATTTGCTGACAAATTCCTCAGGGTATAAGGAAAGTTAAAAAGAAAGCTGAATTCCTTGGAATGAGTCAAGCTTTATGACTATTAGCATTGCAATATGCATGCTTCTTTTTACCCCCATATAATGTCATACAGATGGACCTAAACCTAGAAATCCTTATCTAGTAAATTTCACCTCTCCAGAAGATACTCCTGACAACCAATTTCCAAGTTCTACCACTTGTAATTGAAAGCTTTCTACGTAATTAATCTATAACATAGCTGATCCAAGCCTATAAATATTACCATACTTCTAATTTATAGTCATTTTCATTTAAAAAAAAAAACAAAAAGCAAAAAATACGTGGACTGCCACTTTTCCATAGACATTGGAAGAATGATTCTGATTTACCAGTAGTCATGTTGCATTTACCAACAAACAATCAATCAAAGCAAATGTAGGAACTAAAGAAATGTCTAATTTCCATTGAAATTAATTGCATAATAGAAAATCATTCAAAAAGTCAGCCAAGCAAGAGCTATAAAAACTCGATTGAAAGATGAAGTACCATCTTCTCGAGGTTGAGAACATTGAGAAAGTGAATGCCCTGTTTCCCCGCAATTATAACACAATTTCTGATCCATAGTCTCATCATTCTTGTTAGGACAACGCTTGAGGCTATGCCCTCGTCGCCTACAAAGCAAACATATCTGCAACCATAATTAACAAACAAAACCAACATTTTAATAAGCACCAAATGTTCAATTGCAGACATAGCCTCGACACAATATCCAATTCCAAAACTAATTTTCTTCCAATTCCACAGCCATACTACTATTAACAGCGAAAACCCATATCAAACTCAACAAAAACACGCTTTGTTTTTTCTAACCAATTCAATACAAACCTGAAGACAAATTGCATATCGAACACAATGTTTATCACCAACCAATTCAATACTTGACAATAAATACTCAAACTTTACGATAGTTATAAACCAAAACCAAAAAACAAAAGAAAAAACAAAGAAGAAGCCTACCTTGTTCTTTTCCCATTCATCTTTTTGAGGGCAAAGTTTGGCAATATGGTCTTTAGCTTTGCAAATGAAACAACTATCACCAGGCTTCATACCAGGAACTCTAAGCGGGTGTTTACCAAACCCTTTTTTGTTAACCTTATTAGGGTCTTTTGGGTCAGATTTTTTTTTCTTGAACAAGCTCTTTTTCTTCTTCCTCTTGTTGGGGTCTTTTGGAGGTGTTGGTTCTGGTTTTGGAAACAACTCTGGATGTTCTTCTTTGTATCTCTTGCGTGCTAATTTCTGTCTTTGGCTCACCATCTTCACTTGAAAGTGTAGAGTTAAAGCACAACCAAAGAGGTTTTCAGAAGAACTTGAAGTAAGAGGAAGCTGTGTTCTTAGGGTTTTACAGTGCAAAGTGTTTCCTTTTTGGCTGGTGACAGGGGCCTGGGAGGAGCGGTTTGCAGCAGTTTACAGTTTAATTTTGTTCTACTTCGAAGTCCATTCTAGCAATTATTTGTTAGGCCCAACTCGCCAGACTGGACCTGAATTTTATAACCCAGGAGGAACAAAGTGGGCCAAATTTAAGTCGGCCCAAATTTACAAGACAAAACCACTAATGGGCTTTGTGCTTTCATCCGAAACATCCATTTATTCGACGTCAATAAATTTTTAATTTCTTCTGGAATGATCTCAAGAGCGTACATTTTATAAATTATTTTCTGGATAAAGATAGATTTTCAAAAATTAAAATATTATCTATATATATTATTTTATCTTTCGATAGCCTTGAAAATCTTCAGAAAATTGACTGGATAAAGATAGATTTTAATAAATTTGCCACCACTCATGAATCATGACAAAAAGAATCACACGCTTCATGGACAAAAAGCATGACAACTGTTCCAAAAATAACAATAGAAAAGTACATATGATATGACTAGTTGCCACCGGGCCAATCACCTGCCTTGAATAGGATAAAACTGCCTAATATTCTATAGGGCGCAACAAGGTTGAACCTTCACAGTTCACATCATTACCTGTTACTAGGTTGTCATCATACCAGGTGGAAATTTTGGAAAATAAATATCAAGAGATGACCTGTTCGAATGGATCGACCTCTTCGATGATTAATTAGGTTAATTAATACACAATGCTTAAAAAATTCCATGGAAGCAACATATAAATTAATTATGATATATAATTTTTTATAGATATCTGAACTCCATAAAATTTGAATTTTTTTAATTAAAACATAAATTTTTTTATCGAATTTAAGAATTTTATTCTTATATTATTGTTGTTTCATACTCTAATCAATAACAGCTTATCACTTACCAATACTCTAGTCAATAACAGACTTATCACTTACCAATAACAGACTTATAATATCACTAATTCAATCATCTAATTTAAATTCATCATGATACATGACAAGTTGTTATTGATTAAAGTTTATCATGTGTATTTACATGACATATTAACATATGAAATAACAAAAATATAAAAATATAACTCTTAAATTAAAAAAAAAACTTAAAATATTAATTAAAAAATTCAAATTACACAAAATCTCGACGTATATAAAACACTATAATACATTATAAAAACCATCACCAAAATGTTCACATAATAAATAAATTAATAATATTATCAAATACACTCTGAATACGAAAATAACATAAATTTTCATTTCCTACTGCCTAATGCTATCGATGAACAGCTCCAATCTATTAAAAAAAAAAAAAAACATTTGGGACTGGAGCAGATGGATTACAATATTTAGGCACCAAACTTGGGGACTCTGGCAGTTGAAATTTGAGCAAGGAAGTGTTCTGCTACAATCCTTCTTTGGATTTTCCCACTGGCTGTCTTTGGAACGGAGTCTGTGACGAAGACCTTCTTTGGGACCTTGAAAGCTGCTAAGTTGTTCTTGCAGAACCTCAGCACCTCCTCCTCATCAATCTTTGATCCTTCTCGAGGAATTATTGCGCAATTTATCTGTCGGCAAAACAAAACTACGTATCAGAAAATCTCCAACTCCTCTTGAAATTAAAAGTGCTGATCAAGAATTGTAAAAAATTGTCATCATTCATCAAATGAAATGCACAAACAGAGAGATCGAAGCCAACAGTTGGTTAATTACAGGAGTGATCGTTACTCATCCGCGGCAAACTGTACAACTAGCCGAAGTATAGTCACACTCATGACCTAAAAGGTTCCAAAAATCCAGATTTCCTGAGAGCAACATTTAACCAAATACTTCCCTTTACAGTCCCACATCGATCCATCCATCTCGATACGTAATTGGCAAAAATGGTTACAAAAGGTTTCCATGCATGACCTAATTTGCTTTCACATGATAACATGCCCACCAAGAAGCTATGACTTGTGACAAAAAGTATAAAAAAAAACAGAAAGAAAAACGTAGTTTCTAAATTGCTGCTTTCAGGTAAATGTTTCAATCACAGTAGGGCCAAATGACTGTACTGTGTCCCACCATTACGTTTGCATCTAAAGTTTTCTTCTTTTTTGACTTGAACATTTACATGTGGCTGCTAGTGGGATTAAGATGGTTAATTAGGCGTTAACTAAACAAGATGGCTGATGGAGGAAATTAATTATTTTACATAATCTTACCTCTTCACCGTATTTGTCATCTGGGACTCCGAAAGCAACCGCTTGCGCAATGTCTGGATGAGATAGAAGCACTGCATCCACTTCAATTGGCGATATTTTCTCCCCTGGATCAAAAAATGCCAAACACCAATTTTATTTACAAGATGTAAATAATCATGGAGCTTCCTGATTGGCCACACAGAGTCTAAACAAAACACGCAAGAAAACTTCCAAATTAATGGATGAACCAACTACAGAAGCTTCCCGAAAGCTCGCTAGTGTTCATGAACCAATTTGTTGCCACTCAAAACGAGAGGTCAGCATCAATAGGGTAATTTTCAAAGAAAGCAATCTCCAAATGGAACAATTTAGTCTCAGACGGCAAACCCCAAAATCGAGAGGGATTATTAAAATGCTTCAAGCCCTAAACTAATTTGGATGGTGAAGTTATCATTCTAAATGACTAAAACTCTGCTTTCTTATAGAATTAACATACAGATTCCATGGTTTAATCATATTCTAATACTTCACCTAACGGCTAAAGGCAAGAAAGAACCATCTTGACGTTATTCAATTCAAAACAGATTGAGCCCACAAACAATGGAAGGAAAACGACATAAACATGAACAGGAAAGGTATTTTGTCGCATGATGCTTTGAATTAAATCATAATCAACATTACCTCCACGATTAATAAGCTCCTTGATCCTCCCCACCAGATGCAAATAGCCATCCGAATCGAAATAACCGAGATCACCGGTATGGAACCATCCGAATTGAAACGCAGCCTTATTAGCCTCCGGGTTGTTTTTATAACCCTTGGTCACGTTTGGACCTCTAAGGCATACCTCGCCACTAGCATTAGGCTTTAAAATTACACCATTTTCGTTCAATATCGCCATTTCTTGAACCACCGGTTTACCTACCGACCCGGCCTTATGCGGGCCGTCTTCAGGTAATGGATTCGAACACATCAAATGCGCTGCCTCTGTCATTGCGTAGGCCTCCAAAACCGGGGCGTTGAATGCCTCCTCAAGCCTGGCCAATATAGCCGGCGCAAGAGAGGCGCTACAGCTCCTGATGAACCGAAGTTTTGGGTACTCCGGTTCGGGGTGACTAAAGTGCCGGTCCAAAATAATTTGGTGGATGGTGGGGACAGCAGTATACCACGTAGCGTTATATCTGTTCATGTCTTTCCAAAACGTTGAAGCCGAAAATCGGCCGGCAGCTGGCAAAGCTACGGAAGCCCCGGCGGCAAGCGAACTCAGTAACCCGGCTACTAACCCGTGAACGTGAAACAACGGTAAGACTATCACCGTTGAGTCTGACTCAGTGAGTTTGTACACCGATTTAATGTTATTAACCGAAGAAGCCAGATTGAGCTGAGTCAGTGGCACCCCTTTGGGCCGACTTGTGGTTCCCGACGTGTGCAAAAACAGTGCCACGTCAGATGGGTCGTTAATGAGTTGGGTTATCGAATTGGGGCCTGACTCAGTCTGACTGAGGGAAATAGAGAGTTCAGAATCGGCTCCACTGAGTGTGGCGGTGGCGTGAGGGATTTTCAGCTTGGAAGCTGCCACTTGAGCAGAATTGTTTCCTTCTTGTGGGGTTACTAACAGCTTGGACTCTGAATCTGATAAATAAAACTCGAACTCCTCCGTCGTGTACGCTGCATTGAGCGGCGCTGCCGTAGCGCGGGCTCGGATCACAGCCAAAAACATTATCACAAACTGTAATCATCAAAACAAACATAACACGTTACTAAACCAAAATTAACGTACAAATTAAAATCTAAAATACCAACATAACAAAATTGAATTTACGAGAAAAAATGAAAGAAACAAACCTCGACAGTGTTAGGAAACGTAAGTGCAACAACATCGCCAGGCTTAATTCCAGAGGCAACAAGACGAGAAGTGGCACTTTCGATGATTTCATGGAGACGAGAGTGGGTTAAATCCAATTTGCCAGATACGGAGACGGCTGGTCGGTTAGGGAATTCTCCGGCAACCAATTTTAACAATCCGGTGAGCGTTGAAGTGGCCATTTTTTCGGGAGTTGCTAAGAGATAAGAAGAAGAAAGGAATGTGATGAGTAAATCTGAAATTGATCACGACAATATATAGGGAGGCTCAGAGGGAGCTAAAGTTGGCGATTCCTTCGGTGTAGGCTTCACTTGGTGCAGGTTTACACGTGGTAGAATGGGAAACAATTTGGGATCAGGGGTGATGAAAATTTTTATAACAGATAAAAAATAATTAGTGATATATATTTATTAGAGATAGACATATATAAAAAAAAGAAAAAATTACATTCATATCTATCAAAAGTAATAAGAAGATTTTTACGTCTACTTAAATTTTTTTATTTTCTCTCTCTTTTTTTTTTGTGTATCTATCTCTTCTCAAAGTGAGTCCAAAAAATAATTACTATACATGTCACTAATTACTTCTTACGTATTATAAAATTTCTCCAATGATGATTTATTTCCATCCGGTGCGTGGTAAGTCATTGTAATCTTTCTCTTTTTTCCAAAAAAAAATTATTATTATTATTATTTAGTTTTTATATTTTTACTTTTTTTTGTTGCTTAATTTTTTTATTTTTTTACTATGAAAAGATTGACAAAAAATAATATTTTTAAAAATTAAAAATATTAAATAAAACTTAATCAATTCTGATAAAAATTAAATAATTAATTTTTAAAACAAAAAAAATAATTAATTCTTTTTTAAAAAAATAGAGGGATTAATTTATAGTTTACTAGCATATATAGATACCAATTCTAAAGAATTAAAAATTGTATGTCAAAACTAGTAAAACTGATGAAAATGGGAAGTGATTAAGGATGGATGTGAAGTGGGATTAAATTAAAGTTACAATTCAAAGGAAGAATTAATTTTTATTAATTTAACTATTACAATTTTTTAATCAGTTTTCTTAATGCATATTAAATTGATAACAGATTGATTGATTATCCAAATAGGATTTGGTTGTAATTAAGGGATTGAGAGAAGTTTCTTTCTTTAAGGATAGAATCGACAAGGGAGTTAATTATAGTTTAATTCCTATAATCCAGCAAAAAAAATAAAATTAGCTTCTCTCCTTTCGAAAAATAAATGAATTAATTTTTTTTGTATTTAAAATTAATTATTTAATCTTTATATTTAAAACCTTTTTAACTTAATCATTTTTGTTAGTTTTTAATTTATTTTAATTTTGTGTTCTAATAAATATAAAAAATAACTAAAAATATGAAAGAATTAATGAAAAAATAAAATACAATAATATTAAATTAAGTATGATCAACAATAATTAAATAATTACTTTTAAAATAATCAATTAATTTATTTTTTAAAATAAAAAGATTAATTTATAATTTACTCTTCTCTATGATGTATCATGTAATATGTCATATGTAATTAATTATCCCATTAACCAGCCTTTACCATCTTTAATTCAACAATTTTTTTTTGCATGGTAAAAGTATTGGTTTCAGATCAAAGTTTCCTGTCTTGTTAACTTTTCTTTTCTTTTTCTATATTATTGAAATTAAAAAAAAAATGAATTTAAAAACTACTGAATATATATATATATATATATATATATATATAGTAGATGTTTTTTAAAAATATTTTTTCATACATATTAAAAAAGTTATTAATTATTATATAATATCAATATATCTTGTTCATATTTTTTAAAAATATATATTTTTCTAATTGCATTGGAGAAATTTTTTACAAAAATAAATTTTAATTAAAATATTTTAAGAAAGTATGTTATTTATAATTCTGCTATAAATTTAAATAAAAAGAAGAATGATCTCTTCTAGGAGTAAAACAAGAAGCACTGGGTAATTAATTGGTGGGAAATGACCGGACTGATCTGCCTCGAGAATTTCAACATCTGTCTCTAGCTAGGAGGTGGATGGTCACAACACGCGTGTGAGTTCTTTGGTCCTCGGAAGGACAAGTCTGACATTTGCCGACTTGGGTCAGAAAAAATCAAGGATAGATTTATGTTTATTTGCATACGTGGGGATGGTTTATTGGATAGTAAGCAACACCGTCAGACATCTTGCCACCAAAGACACGATGATTTGGGGTTCTGTCTTTCTACAATGGGACCGATGACGATTCTAGATAGAGAGTACTTGTTCAAATTTGATAGCCCTTGTTTTAAATCTATATTTTTTAATGCAGATTTAAGAATAATTATGTTGATAAAAAAATACGGGGAAAGTGGCTTTCCCCTATTTTTATTTTTTTTTAATTTTTTGCTATTTTTTAAATTTAAAAATAAAATAAAAATTAAAAATAAGAAATAAATAATTAGTTTTAAAACCCGATGAACTAATTAATTTTTTTTTAAACGAAAAAAACTAATTTATGTTATAAAATAATGAATGTCCATATGAATGTCCATCTATTTTTCATATCTCCACTACTCATGATCCTTAATGTGATTCAATTCATCATTCAATTTGAGAAATTGAAAGGATTATGCAATTGATGTAATTTTAATTATTCATAGTCCCTTCCAATTCTCATCTCAATTTTGAGGCCTATAAATAGGCTTGATTGTTTATTTGTTGATATACAAGTTTTTAGAGATATTAAGAGAACAACTTGAAGTTTTCTCACTTGTATTCACTTTATAGTGAATTCTTCTTCTTGCCATTCTTTCTTTAAATTCTCATATATCTTTTATTTTTCACAACACGTTATCGGCACGATTGTTACGCCAAACGACGCAAATCATCTAGCCTATTAAGAGGTATGTACCTAATCTATCTTTTATTTTAAATCTAATAGTACATATAACGTATATTTGAAAACTTGAATAATCTAATATATATTCTAATAATCTAATGCATGTTGTTTTGAGAAGTTTGAATATTATTATTATGTTTGTTTTTATTTTCTAACATCATTATTATATCTTGTATTATAGAATTTTTATCACGTCAAACCTCACAAAACTTGATTTTGTGGCCCTTGACATTTCGGGCAAGAATTATTTACCATGGGTGTTTGATGTCGAGATACATTTAAATGTTAATGGCCTTGGACAAACAATCATGGATGATAATCAAGAATTCTTGCAAAACCGTGCTAAGGCAATGATCTTCCTTCGTCATCATCTCCATGAAGATTTGAAAACTGAATATTTAACAATGAAAGATCCACTTGAACTGTGAAAAAATTTAGAGGAAAGATACAACCACAAAAAGACGGTAATTCTTCCAAAAGCTCGTTATGATTGGATGCACTTAAGGTTACAAGATTTTAAAACCGTAAGTGAGTATAATTCTGCAGTATTTAGAATCAGTTCCCAACTAAAATTATGTGGAGAAAATATTACCGATTCCGATATGTTAGAGAAAACATTCTCTACTTTTCATGCCTCGAATATGCTCCTGCAACGAGCGATATCGAGAAAAAGGTTTTAAGAAGTACTACGAATTGATTTCATGCCTACTTGTGGTCGAACAAAATAACGAGCTACCGATGAAAAATCATGAATCCCGCCCAATTGGATCTACTTCATTCCCCGAAGTGAATGTGACATCTTATAATAATTTTGGGGTGGACGTGGTCGTGGCCGTAACCATGGACGTAGACGTGGTCGTGGTATTAGTCGTGGTCGGAATAATTATCGTTATAATCGTGGTGGTAATAATAATACACCTCATCCCCGAAGTGGATAAATTATGAAAATAAACAAGAAAAGAATAAAGGTGGATCAAGTCGGCACTCCGAAGATGAATGTTATAGATGTGGTATGAAGGGACATTGGTCGCGTACCTGTCGTATACCAAAACACCTAGTTGAGCTTTATCAAGCCTCATTGAAAAAGAAAGAAAGTGATATAGAGGCAAATTTTATATATCAAAATAATGTTTGTGACAATGTTCCTCTTGAAGATTTCGGTAACTTAACACATTTAGATGTTGTTGATTTCTTTGAAGATTACGAAAGAAAAAATTATTAAGTTAATAATAATTGTTTGAAATTTTGTTACCTTTTGATAAATAAAGAAGTTTTATGTTTTATTTTTATTTCATCATATTAGTTTTCATTTTTATTTATTTGTTTGTTTTTGTGTTTATGAAGAATATATTGATATTACCAAGTTTGTAATTGATTTAAACGTCATGGAGGAGAATCTATGCCTCGTGAATAGTGCAACCACACATACTTATACTTAAAAATAAAAGGTATTTCTCCAATTTAATGATGGGCAAGGCTAATGTTAACACTATATCCGGTAGTGTTGATTTAATTAATGGCTCCGGAAGAGCAAATATATTACTACCTGGAGGGAAAAATTTGATTATAGATGATGCATTATTCTCTCCTAAGTCCCATATAAATTTATTGAGTTTTAAAGATATTCGTTTAAATAGATATCATATTGAGACAACAAATGTTGAGAATATTGAGTACTTATATATTACAAAAATTAAATCGAGGTAGAAAATATGTATTGGAGAAATTACTCGCTTTCTCTTCGGCATTTATTATACAAATATTCAAAGGATTGAAACAAATGCCATAGTAAACCGGAACTTTACTAATCCTTTTATTTTGTAGCATGATTGATTGGGCCATCCTGGATTCATTATGATGCGAAAAATTATTGAAAATTCGTATGGACATCCATTGAAGAACCGGAAGATTCTTCAATCTAATAAGTTTTCATGTTCTACATGTTCTCAAGGCAAACTTATTATTAAGCCTTTACTAAATAAAATTGAGATTGACTCTCCGGCATTTTTAGAACGTATACAAGGTGATATATGTGGACCAATTCATCCACCATGTGGACCATTTAGATATTTTATGGTTTTAATAAATGCATCTACAAGATAGTCACATGTATGTTTATTATCAACTCGAAACCCGGCGTTTTCGAGGTTACTTGCTCAAATAATTCGATTACAAGCACAATTTTCAGATTATACCATTAAAACAATTCGCCTTGATAATGTTGGTGAATTTACATCTCAAGCTTTTAATGATTATTGCATGTCTATTGGAA